ATCAAAAACTCAGCCCGAAGAAAAACACTTCTTTCCTTCCTCCGCCTCCGCCTCCGCCTCCGCCTCCGCCTCCGCCTTCGCCATAGTGTTCGCGCGACGACCGAGTCAGCAGCATTCAAATTGCCATCTTTACAGATCGAACATTATTTCAGTCGCAAGTTCAAGTTTCTCCGATTCGCCCCGTCGAGTAGAGCCCGCGCCAACTCCTGGAAAGTTCTCATCGGGACGAGACAGGAGGGAAAAAAGACGGCGAAAGCGAGTCGCTGCTGCTCCCTTTTCGCTCATAGAAATCTCGAAGCGCCATTACGCAACGGCCCATTAGCACTTGGGCATCCAACTATTTAAACACCATTAGCCATCGCCTCTCCAAATTGCAGACACTGCGAGGACGAGAAAGAGGGAAAAAAAGAAGGAAAGAACGCAGCGAGCACGAGAAAGAAAGGCAGAAGTGTAATGATTTACAAACAAGCGTATCGCGCGCCAATTATTAATTCATCGCGTCCGGAGCCAGCGGGACAATGAAGCAGTTCGCGCGTGCTAGTTCGAGTATGATTTTTGTTTGCCCACCCCTTTCCCCCGTTTTTTACTATTTCGTTTCTTCGGGGCTGCTGAGTGGCTATTGAGAACGAATAGACTCTCAATGTCGCCCGACCGATTTACTCGAGTATTTGTTTTTGCTGAAAGCCAACTCGTCCAGTATTTTTTCCTCTTTCCATCGAGTTTATAGTTTCATGCGCATACGTGCCATCTATTGGGGTTCTTTCGCGTATTCTATCTTCACCCAATTCTGTTGCAAGATCACGTTTTCCGTAATTCACGAATTTTCGATCACTTTATTGACAAACTTTCAATGAAAATATTTAAATGTTTCTAAAATCCAACCAATACGATGTTGAGCAAACGAAAATCGTTTCCAGTGATAGCATTGACACTATTTTTCAAACAGCTTCTTTATTCGTTTTTAGATTATCAGCCAGTATAATGCCAAATAAATTGACTTGTTCCGACAATCAACGAACGCTTCCAGTCTTTTCAAATGAGTGCTTAATAATTATTTTTCATTCCACGAAATGATCTGACGCGCAGCGAGTGAAGTCTTGTCAAAAATGTTGATTTAAAAAAAAAAGTTATTTCTCGCCAACAATTATGCAGTCGGACAAGGATCGCCTGTTTATCAAATGCCCCTTTTCCCGACAGATGTTTGGCTTGCTCGAGAGGTGCAGATGCGCGCACGAAAGAGGGAGTTTTTAATTTACTTTCTGGAAAATTCACAAAGAAACTTGGCCAGAAGTTTATACCGCGCTGGCTTGCTCGACTCTATATCTCCGACATGCAGCGTTGTGCTCGCTCGCCTTAATGAGAGTACATTACGCTTTCGCCGGCAATATAGAGTCTCCGCTCGAGAACTTGATAACAGGATGATTAAGCCACTACTCGCGGCAGTGTTGTTCCTGAAAACCAGCAAATCAATGGAGCGCACTCCGCGAGTGTTTATCAAAGCGCCCTCGCCCCTCTATTCTCTCAATCGGACCGCGTGCGCGTTTTTATCTTGTCGTGGATTCACCGAGATTCAACGCGGCCGAGGGCGCACTCGGGAAGCCGCGCGCTCGCGACGGCAATGACGATAGCGCGGACGGCGCCTCCGTGCCCGCTGCGACGACGAAGACGTATCGCGAAGCGTCGGCGAGCTCGCCACGCGCAATCGCGTCGTCCGCGAGAACCCATGTCCCGCCGAGCGCGAACCCTTCGCTTTCGCGGCATCGCGCCAGCCTCGGCATGTTCAGCGGACTCCGGGCGGAGCCCGAGGGAGCGAGCGCGAACGGAAGAAAGCAAATGCTTGGAGGCGCAATAAAAGCTTATCGATCGCGCGCCGGCGTAATTAGCCCCTCGACGCGAGCGAGGGCTGCCGAGAAAATTGACAAACTAAGTGTGAAATCGAAATGCTCGAGCGCCATGGGCGCGCGACCCGCGAGCGACTTTAATCACCCATTTTCTTTTCCTCCGACGAGAAAATGGGCGACGCGAGCCTCGTGCAATTTAATAGAGGCCGCGCGCGTCTTCGCGGCGAAGGAGCCGCTAATCCATGGACGGACAATTCTTATACGTTGTGCTTCGCCTCGTCTGTGCAGTCTCCACGAGGCGGCTCGTTAGCATTGCAAATGGCGTTACGCTCGTAAACACGCTGTACGCTCGCGCAGAGGGGGTGCTGTTTATTAAGCAGGCTCGATTTCGCGCTGGCGGCGGCGACGACGTCGGTGAAAGTATCGGCTCGCGGTACGAATTCTCTCTTCCATTCCGACCCGGGCAGCGCTCGAAAACGTTGCACGTCCGGAAAATTCCAGCGTCCCTCCTGCTCCCGTTGTCGCTCGAAGGAAGCCGCCGTTCGGACCTTTATTAGAAACATCAATCGACGAGACGGGAGCACACAGCGCCGGCACGAAAATTGCAGGCTCGCCAGAAGTTAAACGCGACGGGGCGAGTCGGCTGCGGCGCAAAAGAGAGCTAATTACTACGCTTCTCTCTCTATCTCCCGCGAACCTCATAAAGCGCCGTCGAAATTAACCTGTTACGTCCGGGCCGGACGCCGGGAAAAAAGAAGGAATCGATGAAAATTGCACGCGCGAAATGAGACTCGGGCTCTGCCCACGAAAATTGTACCGCGGAGGGACGCCGAGAATGAATAATACGGCCAAGTTCGCGGAGGGCTGATATTTCAAGTTGGCGAAATAAGCCGGCCGGCTCGGATAATGAGCTCGCGTCCTAATAATCATTTCTCACGGCTCGGCCGCGCCCCGGGAAAATCGCGGTTTCGCGCTGACTGCGCATCGGCAAACGAGCGCGACGCAGGCTCGACGACGCGCGCCCGGGCAGAAGAAATCGTAGTTGCCCGCAGCGCGAGCGCCAACTCAAACGGCGAACTTGGCCCGGGCCCGCGGGGAGCGCGCCCGGAGCAAACTCGCACGCCGTGCAAAGCCGGGCGTATTGCACCTCGTCGTTAAACTTCGAGGGCCGTGTACACGGCGTTGAAGCTCTGTGCGGCTTTCGCGGCTCGAGCGCGCTTTAGGCTCTTTTCCGTCTGCGACACTGCCGAGCGCATCTGACAATTCAGTTATCAATGACACGGTGAGACGCGCCGCGCCAAGAGGTCGGCAGAGGTCGGCGCGTCAGAGAAAACAGGTCCATCCGACGAGCCACGCTGTCGGATTTCTCTTGCCACGGGCTTGCGCGCCCCATCGACCGAGTCGAGCGCCAGCCACTGGGATTTTTGCTCGCCGACGGCGCTCGCTCGTTGGCAACTGCCAAATTGAGTGTGAGAAACGACATGTTTAGCGTGTTCGATCGATCGAGCGTAACGCGACTCGCCGATGTCGAGCTCTTAATAAGTCTGAAATGTCCGAAAGAAGCCGCCCGACCGTTTGCCGTACAACGAGGCCGCTCGAATGCAGGCACCGATACGAATAAGCTCATCGAAAGGCAGCTCGCCGGCAGGCCGAGGACAGGCGAACGCGAGCCAGGCAACGAAGAGCGACAAGGGCTTGGCCTCGTTAGCGTCGGGGCGTCCACGGCGTCAAGCCGAATTTAATGCAGCGCTCGCGCGTACTTTTTAATTTGGCCAACGGCCACTCGCGCGCTTCATATTTCACGCGGGCTATTTCTCTCCCTCGGCCCTCGCTTTTGCGCGCCGGAACAGTCACGTAAGCCGGATGCGACGTACGTGACTGAGAAAGCTTCTATTGGATTTTTCCGGCAGGAAATTAGCCTCATCGATAGCTCGCTCGCTCGCTCACCCCCGACCAGTCGCAGTCACTGTTATATATACACGCCGCGTAGCCAGCGAAAGTGCGGCATGTACTAATCCACTCCATTATAATCTCCAGTGAAAGAGAGAAAGGGAGCGAGAGGGGGAGAGAGGCGGAGAGAGGGAGAGCGTCCGCAAGTTCGAGGCAGACTTTGAAATTCGATTTCCTCGCGCGAAAAGCTGGCCGGACCCCTTCCTCCTGCTCGTAGCCGGATATTAAGCCTGGATGCGTGCGTACGCCAGAGAGAACATCAGCGCAAAGCAAAACTGCCAACTGCGCCGGCGGATGTATTTTACGCGGCGAGCTGAGCGTGATACCGTAACGTTGGCGCGCTTTCGCGCGTCGAGATCGACGCGAGCGCGAACGACGAGAAAAAACATTTGGCAACGAAAGTAGTTTGTCACGAGTGCGCGGGCAGCGCCGTCGCGCATAAGTCTGCGGGCCACCCTAGAGTTGCCAGGAAAAGCGCCAGCGGTTGGCCGATTGTAAATCACGCGGCGCGGACTCGCGGATTAATGCCGAATGAGCCGCGCGCCTGACGCGGGGCATTAGCCGCGCGCGCCGAACGTTTACCAAACTACGGCGCATTTATCGTTTAATCGAAAGACAAACAGCCCTGACAATCGCTGATCCTCCCTTCGTTCTTTTTCAAGGGGGCACGCGAACAAGCTCACCCCTTTTTTTTGCTTTTTTCGATTGATGCTTTGGACGCGTGGGTGACCGTGCGCTTCTCGGCGAGCGACGCCCAAAAACAATTGATCGAAACGTAATTTGCGGCGTCCAACGAAATAACGCTGGCAATGGAAGGCAAACTTTTTCTCCGAGTAAAATGCGACGCGATGGTGGAATGTAGCTTGCTGAAATCAAGTTACCTCGCAGAAAATGTTTCATTTTCAATCAATGTCTTTGCTTCAAGCAAGAAAAACAAATTTTACAACCCTTTAACATGACACTTTTTAACTTATCGCTTTAATTATTCTTCGTCAAATAAGGAACGTCGATGATTAAGAGTAGAACGCAAGCGAGAGATTTTTCGCGGTCAAGTACAATATCGCAAAATCTAGGGTGGAGAGTAAGTGCATCGCCACACAATCAATCGTTCAATCCGTAATAGCCGATTAATTGTTAAAAGGCAAGATCGTTCGTCGCGCTAATGAAGAGTCCGTTTGTAATTGAAGCTGCACGCGTCTGTTGTTACAGGTGACATAAAGGTGAGCGTGATGGTACCGAAGGAAGCCGAGCTGAGCAAGTCGGCAAAGCTCGAGTGCAATTGGAAGCTCAACGGCAACGCCAGTCTCTATTCCGTCAAGTGGTACAAAGACGAGTACGAGTTCTTCAGCTACAATCCCGACAACCGCGACAATACCATCACTACTCGGATTCTCAATGGAGTCGTCGTCGATGTAAGTAGCCTGCTGCATCCTCTATATACCGACACTGTCTGTGAGCCACACGAGAGCTCGCGAGCATGCAGCTTGTTCGGTGAGTGGACGGTCAATTTTATCGTCGCGAAGGGCCTGCACGCGAATCCCCGGTTCCGCAGCAACGTTTTTTGATCGATGCGCGGGTACGAGAAAAAATTGGACGCGCGCTGTACGACACGCAACGGTAAAAAGACCTCCGCGAAAAACAAAAGGAAAACAAAAATTATTTGCCGGCCGTTCGGCTAACTTTCAAGGTATCTGCCTTGGATAATCCGATCTCGTCGTCCTGATTTGTCGCCAGCCAGCCGGCAGCACAGAAGAAGAGCTTCAAGCTTGGTTGGTGTCTTGAAAAAAAAAATTAAAGGACAAACGAGTGGCGTCTCGATTTCGTACCGGCGGAAATTGGAAAGGTCTTTTCGGGTAATGTACACGGCCAGTATAGCGAACTGAGAGAGAGAGAGAGAGGGAGGGAGGGGGTTGGGAATTGATGTCGCGTTGCGCGCAAGATGAATCGCGTCGAATTTCCCAAGGCAAGGGAACTTTCGAGAGGCGCGCGCTACAGTCGCTTCGCTCTCTCGAGTGCAACCATCGCCAAGGATACACCGAGTGGGCGTGATATCAACTGCTCGCGCCGAGAAGGATTTGTTGTTCGACATTTTGCGTTGTTGAACGAAAAGAGAGAGCAATCAGGCGCGCGTTCAAATTACAAGCCTCGCGAAATGAACAACACCAGTGAAGGGAGAGTCGCGCTTCGGCTGGCCGCGCGAAAAATCATTGCCGCCCCTTTCTCGCGCGCACGTAAATCCCAAAAAACGGCGCGGTTGAAATACGAGCGCGAGGCGCTCGTTGGCCGCGTGTCTACCGTCCGCTTGGCGGTAAGCACGACAAAAGATCGCGGTAGCGCCAGCAAGAACAAGCCCAAAAAGCCCGGCTTTTGCGCGTCTCGCGGCCATTGTTGCGAATTAAGCTCTGCGCAACGGTAAATTCGACGGGACGCGCCGAGCGGAATGAAATTACGAGGGCCGAGGGGCCGCATTGTATGTGCGCGTGCGAGAGAACGCAGCGGGATATGCACGAGGTAAAGGGATCGACTCGACGCGATGGATTTGGGGGAAGCGATGCTGAAATTTCAGCGATTACTCGCTTGTGAGAGTTCACCGCCAGCGATGCTTTTTAAAGATCCAGCTAACTCCGCGACGAAGCGATTTTATAAGTTATCTGTGCGAGATTCAGATAAACTGTAAAATTATTACTATTTTTTCAATCATCTTCTTGCGTTAAGAATTTACGATACATGGGCAATTTTCTCAAAACTCCTTCTAGAAAGAGATCAAGAAGCAAGTTTTTTTTTAATACAATTATGGTACTGTGAAAATTTTCAGAGTCGTAAAATTGAATTAATTATGTATAGAAATTAAGGTGATATTGTAAATTGACCTATACATAAAATAGAATACAGCTTGACTTACCTCCTTGTTTACCGTCTTTATATCTTTGGCAACTTTCCGGCCAGAGTTTTGGCTAACATCTTCTCTTCTTTGAGCAGCGAAAATTGTACAGGCAGTTGCCATGTAAAATTATAGACATGTAATAGACCACCAACGCAATGCTGCCAATCTGAGCAACATAAACTCTGTTCGTACGCGAACACCTCAAGAAATATATTGCTCGTGGAATCTGCGAAAAGATTAAATATAAGTTATTGCCCGTGGGACTTTTAAAGTCATGGTAATTCTTTTTATCTGCCTTGCATTATGGATAGTATTCGACTCCGCAATGACCGACCTATAGCTATTTTTGAATTCGGCTGGGAATAGAAAGACAATGATTGTTTTTTTATTTTTACGTATAAAAGGAATGTTTATTGGTCCTATTTTAACATGACTTAATTAAAATTAACTCTTTATAATTGTTATTTTCGATATAAAACTATAAATATCAACTAAGTTTCTCAAGCTTATGCAGTGGCGAACTGTTTATTAAATCAGAGTATATATAATTAATGGTGTTTATACATGGTATTTATATTTTTCTAGAGGAAACGTAACACACTCAATTCAACGAAACGTTATTCCAAAAATGTCTGGGAATTCGTTTTGACGTTTTATTCACGTAACCGTAAATTTTCCATCTGAAAAATATAGCCGTGTATGAAATGTGAAAAAAATAACTTCTATCGAATCTCCGTATAGCCAGAAAGAGAACAGTTCGAGCGCGTAAAAAATAAATGGTCTTGCGATCAAAGAAACTTGTCAACTAAAAAATTGTTCTTTCGTTAATTTTTTTTTTTTCCAAGTTGTTTTAGTACCCATCAATGGATCATCAAATTTGCGTGTAATCGTCCACTACGTCGCTTTATTGCTTTTAATGTCTTTCAGTGGATTTCGATTTTTTTCCATTGGCGCAATTCTGCAGGTTATACCAGTCACCATATTCCGAGGCTGAAAAATAAATTATAGTAAAAATAAAGAATCAAAATAGTTTGTTTATTTACTACAATTTAAAAACATTTTTTACTAAGTATATGTCAGTTTCTCAATTTGTTCAAACTTGATACGTACTACATCAATGTCATTAATATCCATTGGCTTCTTCATCAGAGTTTGATCCATTCATATTTGCATATGTATTTGATAGGTGAGGTCTCATTGACGAATTAAATGATTTTCTCTTCCGTTCTTCTACTCTCTGATATTTTTGATAATCTTTGAAAGCTTCTTTGAAACATCTATCAACAATCGATTGTGATGATTCTGTTGTCATAATATCAACTGCAATAATTTGATCAGTTGTCTTGTGTAGATCTTCATCAATAGATACAGAGTCCAAGTTTGACAGTGAATACGTTTGACCAATTGATAATAATTCATCAAATGAAGAGATGCTACTCAATGTGGCCTGAATTACTCTTGCATCCTGGAAAATAAAACTTGAATTAGAAAAACAACTTAGTTAAATCATTCTCATAAAGTTAAAATTGCATATAATTCACACAATAGCACAAGCAAGTTTAATAATTATTATTGGTTCAAATTGAATTCTGTTAGCCAATAAGTAGCTTATACATATTTTTATGATTATTTACATACTAAAAACATTTAAAAGGTTGTTGTTATTAGTCATAAATACCAATGAATAATTTAGATGAAATTTATTTAAATATCCTTTAGCTAGACAGAGTAAATAAGAATTGACATTTATTAGAATAAAAGAAGTCTTGTATACACAAATAAAGACAGGAATTTTCTATTTTTAACTATCTGTTTGAATTGTACATTGGTAATTAACTTAATTTGAAAAAATAAAATATGAGCGAAATTCAATACCTCTAATTTATTAACTGGCAAGTGGTTAATGTCACCCAAATGTTCAAAATCCTTGCTTTTTGTACTTGGCATATTGTTAAAATCTTTATTCTGATAGGCCTTTTGCATACATTTTACGTTATTCATATAATAATTGGACTTCTTAATTGGCTCTTGAATTGTATCACTAGATGCTAAGGTTTGCCTTAATAATCTTAATCGGTCATTTGCAGGTTGTGACTAAACAAATAAATATCATTAGAATTTAACAGAATGAATTTTATCAACATTTTAAAAACATGAATTTACCAATTTTAATTTGTAAACATTTTTGGAGAAATTCAAGTTCTTTGCAGTTTGTACACTATTATTACTGATAGTTGGTTTCATAAGAAGCTCATTTTCCAATTTCAATGAACTTGAGATATTTTTAGTTGTGTTAATATTGCTATCATTGTTCTTTGCCTTATCCAATCTTTCTTGTAGCGACATTGGACATTGTAACTTTTTAGATGAGTTAATAGTTGACAAAGGGTACGATTGTGCTCGATTTTTATAATTATTCAAATTGATTGGTGGTAGTTTTACAAATTTTCCAGTTGTTCTAGGAGGTCTATACTTGTCATTCTGTTTTGATAAAACATCTATAAAAAAACACGTAGCAAAATCATCATTGTTTACTCATTACTAACTCTATGGTCACACTACTTCTTATAACAAAACTACGCTACAAATATGTACATCTCAAAGCAAAACAACATTCAGAATAACAACAGAATAAATCTGCACTTACTGTCACAGTATTTATCGGTTGATTGTTGCCCAGTCATTTTTCCAAAGTCGCAGATGAAAGCGCTGAATGAGTAAGCGACGCACAATACTGACACCGAAAACACAGAACTCTTAGACTCACACAATGTCAAGCCGGTGGAAACAAAGCAAACGCGTGAAATTGTGCACATGCCTTCAGCAAGTTTAATAATTATTATCGGTTCAAATTAAATTCTGTTAGCCAATAAGCGGTTTATGCATATTTTTGAGATTAATTATGTACTAAAAACATTCAAAAGGTTGTTTATATCAGTTATGAATATCAATGAATAATTAGGATTAAATAAATCTAATCTATTAGTAAATTAGCAATCTAATTATGATCACGTATACAGACGCTTCGCGAAAGTTAATCAAACCGGACGGCTTCCGTAAACAACTCGACGACGAATACTCGGATTTGAAACTACAAAAGCCGGCGCTACGTGTTGCGCGAACCGGAAGAGGGCGCTATACTGCTCTGCTTTTGCTCGAGGTTGAGCAGAGCAGTGTCTAATAAGAAAAGCCCAGGGAGGGACTATCGCTCATCGCGTTAATTCGATATTGCCAACTGGTGTGTACCTATATCAATCGGGGACCATTGCTCAATTTCCGTAGTAATTTTTTTTTTTTGGCACCTTTTCTTCACGTCTGGATATCGTCTGTCCCCTTTCATAAACGCTTTTGCTTGATGATGAATTTCTTCAATTGTAGTTGTATGCATGTATGTACGCACACATACATACGTGTATTCGTTCAATGTTTGCCCCTCACGTTAACTTTTTGAACACTATTTCATATAAAATTATTATAGAAACACATTTTTCATTCAATGATCATCGTTGTATCCATTTTCAAAGCAAAAGAGTATAATGTTAAGCTTTTCTGTTTGATACTTAATACTTATAGTGGTCCATTAACGAGCTATCGCTCCCTAGCTAGGGATTTTCATTATTCATTATGAAATTCAGTTTCTTTTAAAAAGCCATCGCTTTATTCTCTTTATTTATAATCTGTCAAATAAAAGTACAACATATAATATTTCATCAGCGTTGCTGCTGGAAAAATTGCGTCTAGGGTCTCCAAAATATTTCACTAAATGGTTAACGTCGCCTGTCGATTCGGTTTCTGTTCCTGTTCCATTATCGAAAAGAAACAAATAGTATATTTATTTGTTGATTACTTAAATTTAGTAATTAATAATTTTTTTATGAAGTATTGCTGAATTAATTGTGTTTTACCAAAAAAAAACAACGTTAATTCAAAAGTTACAAAATATCATCTTTCCAATCTAATGCCGATGTTTACATTGTCATGTTTCATGCTACATTTATTTACATATACTTATGCCGTTGAATTGAAGAATGAATAAGTAAACCAAAAAAATCTTTATCTTATTCATAATTAGTAATATAAAAATAGCGAGAAAAGGTTCAACCGTTACTTCGAGTTAACAAATTTTTGTAAAAAGAAAATGGTCGTTCTAAGGCTATATACACACCGCATTTATTTGTTTTCATGTATGATAAAAATATTTGTATACCAAAATATTTCCAACGTTATATTTGTAAGCTTTGCTGTTCAAATTTGGAACAATCAGTTGTTATTATGTAAGGCGCGGATAGAAAGTCAAAATGCAACAGACATGTAACAAATCTCATGATTCTAGTGAAATATTTTTAGAACCTTAAACGCAATTTTTCCAACGGCAACGCTGTACTTCATAAACATCCCATTTATCGCGATAAACGTGAAATTCGTTGAATATTTTAGCGATAGCATTAATAACGTATAGTACTAAAAATAAATCTTAAATGCACAAAAGCCAAAAATTTTTCACATGTGCACGCAAAAAGTAATGAAAAAAAATGATAAGAGATAAATGATAGACTCACCTATGGTTGGTGGCCGTCGACCGACAAATATTAACATTCTGAACAATTGAAACCTTGACTTTCTCGAAAATTCAGCAGTTTAATGCAGCAAATTCAATGCAACTCGCGGTGCACTGAATTCTACTGCTTGCCGAGAGAGGGATGCTCTTCTATTTGACTTGCTTCTGAATTCGAGCAGCTCAGCTCTCTTAAACTGCGAGCCAAGCCCATGCCTACTTATACATCGAATATATCAAAATCAAATGTATTCTTTAAATAATTCTTATATCTTTTACTTGAAATTTAATTGCTTTGATTTGTTTTTTTTCTTTGACGAGAGTTCAGTTAACTTTTATCAGCCTGTATTAAAAGATGTTATTGAAAGTAGAGTTTACCCAAAAAGTGATCTTTTATTTTTTTTATACAAATGTCTGCATTCTGCACGGGCACCACACTTATTACACAATTAGGGAATGACAGCACTTATTCTTGTTGTTGACACGATTCAGACTCGTATCGTTTGAAAAGCTATCGGATCACCCACTTTGCTGTGCTCTTTCTCGCATCGGGCGAAACAAAAAGCCGGTATTTTCATAAAACGACACATTTGCCACGGTTAAAAGCTAAATGCCAGCGACAGCATTCGCGAGCGTGAGCGCAGTCCTGAAAATAAAACTGCTGCGAGAGGCAAAAATCGTTGGCTGAGAGCGAGCCACCACGTTGTCATATCATTTTTCCGCCGGTGTGTATACAATTCACTACGCCGATCCTCTCGCAGCCGAGTTAGAGCTCTTAATGGATTCGATCGGATTACCACGTGTTCAATTGAAAGGCTCTCGCGGTCATCGATAGCCTGGAATTTTTGTTTCTACACCGCTCTCTCCCTCTCTCGAGCGTGTGCGCAGCCCGCGCCCGACTATATTCCGTTTGTTCTACTTGCCGCGTACCAACACCTCGTTCCGCTTCGGCTGATCGATACTTTAATGCTGTCCAACTCTTTTTCGTCTGTCTTTGCGAACAGCGCTCTGCAATTGACTGCGTTTTTTTTCGACGACGCTTCCTCATTCGGATTACGAAAGGTGTGATTGGTTTCGATGTTTCAGGAACGCGCGAGCAAGAAAAACGAGGTGATGTTGACGGATTTGACGCTCAACAGCACGGGCCAGTACAAGTGCGAAGTGTCAACAGACGCACCGTTCTACCACACCAATTACTCAACCGGCCACCTGACCGTCATATGTAAGCTTGCGCCAAGTGTTTTGCTCTGCTTTCGATCTCTAAAACGCGCGAAAGACACTAAACTACGAGTATTAGGCGATTTTCCGGGGCGCCAAAGAATGAAAGTCGAGCACAAAAATAAGCCATATGTTTTCCCAAGCGAAATAATTGCGCGAGTCGCTGTTGCTTTCTTTCTCGGCGAAGAGGGGAGGGAAAAGAACGAGCAATGCACTCCGGCTCTCGGCAAATAAAATTCAAAGGCGATGCCCGAAAAGCGCATATTCATTAGAAGAATGAACGCTGCGCGCGTAAAACAAAAGTGGGCTGGGCTTTTTTCAGCGAAATAAAGCGCCAAAAGGAGCAAGACAAACGAGTGCAAGCCGGCGGGACTTGCTCTCGTGTCGAGTGCATAGCGTGCAGATCCCCTTTGCGAAAGCCAAGTCACGAGGTTTGCACTCGAAATTACGAGCGCTCCTCCATCATCGTTTTCGCCGAAGGGACGCACGCACGCTCGCTGCGATAAATTCACTTCTCCGCGAGAGAATAGCCTGCTCGTATGTGCGCGCTGATTACAAGAAAGGAGGAGGAAAGGCTTACTTTTATCGTCGCCTAATTCCAGCGAAACCGACGGCCCGTCGACTTGGGATGGCGGCCTCCGATCTCCCGGAAAATCCACTCGGCTGCCGAAGAAAACGAGTGTTTCCCGTCGTGACGAGCAAACTTGTCGAGAGATCGCTCGCCAATGAATATTCCCGAGTGAAAAACGAACTGGTCGCGAACTCGAGGCCGCGTAGCCAAGTGTTCGAGTGAGCTGTCCGTTGGACAGCTCCTCGGGGGCTGGATTTGCATCAATTAAAATTCCTCTCCGCGGGAGCTTTCGCCGAGCAATTACCAGCGGTTTTTTCTTGTTTTTCGTCGTAATAGCGCGCGTCGGCACGAAAGCTCGTGGGTCGAAGTGCCTTGCATCTCGCGGAGGAAGCCATCGGCAGGGACGCAGCCATTAGCAGCGGCAAATCAATGGCGTGCACGCGGTTCGCCCCCGAGGAGCTTGCTCGCGCAGTCTGGTCAGGTAGATTCCATCGGCAGCGTTCTTGTTATCGGCGTTCGCGACGAGTTCGCGCTGGAAAACAAAGCAGCGGATACGTTCGATAGCCGCGAGGCAGGCACGAAGACGAGGCGCACGTCCCGCCGCGCGGCTACTGCATAATTGAAGCTCGACGTTCGCCGCCGTTGCCGTCGCCGCACGCCTCGCGAGAGAGATTGACTCGAGCGAGTCCCCGTTGGCTGGCGCCGCTACCGCGTCTGACCCGATCCCGTGCGCCCATTAAAATCTCAAGCGAGCCAAGGATTGCTTAATCAACCTCCCGGACGAGATGCATATCGCTTGCAATTTCTAATAATGCCGAATGGAGATGCGCACGCTTACGGCTCTCCTCCCACTTTGGCCGATTGAAACGATAATCGTCGCGAGATGCGATTGGATGGGCGAAATCGAGGGGTTACAGCGCAGACACATCGAGCACCGCGATCGATCGACGCGCTCGCAAAAGAATAATTGGCGCGCGAGAGAGGGAAAATTAAATGGCAGAGCCGATCGACGCAAAAGGAAAAAGAAGAAAAAAACAGCAAGACGCTCGATCCGCCGAGTAGTAAAGCGTTCAGGCTGAAAAGCTTCTTAAAGTGCTCTCGGCGGTTTGAACGACAGGCCGCGATAAAAATCTGTAAGCATTCGATTATCCGACAGCCGAGGCTTTGGATGTTGCGCGTTGTGTGTATACTCCGTGTAAAGGGGAGTGTATATAGCGCATAATCGCGCAACTTTCAACCAGCGCGCGGGTAAACATCTTCTTCACCCCCTCTCTCCTTACTTTTACGAGCGAGAAAGTTAAGCGTCGTATAATCTCTTAACCGGCTGATGAGTCCATTCACATTGCGCCCAACAACTTTTCGCTATATATTATACCTTATTATTCGCGTATGATTCTTTATTATTCATTTGGGTTTGCACGTCACGGTTTGTCTCCATGAAAATTCTCACTAATTCACGGACGCCACGGGCTCATCTTTCCCGAGCCAACTGAAACTTACGTCACGTCCATATACTCCGAATCGAGCTTACGGTATTTTCCGCGAAATCGTCAAGGGAAAAAACTTGTCGGCAGCAGCGCGCCGAGAAGGAAAAAAGAGCATCGAGAGTCCTCCTCGCAGCAATTAACAGAGCCCCTCCCGCGTTTCCTCCGCGAAAAAAATCACGCGACCTCCCACGCGAGCGCTTCGATCGGTCTAAACACGCGTTAATTGAGTTGGCTCGCGAGCTCGCGCGAGTCGCCGTCCAAATTGCGAAATCGTCCAAAGCTCTTTCTGGTGCAAATTAAAAAGCACCGCTGCCGCCGTAGAGCGAGAGAGCAATTGAAAACGGATTTTCACCCTGCGCGCGTGTAATTATCGAGGTCAACAGCCCCGCGAGCGGGCGAGAGGGGAACGCAGACCAGCACTCCCTCTAATTTTTTTTCTCGCCAGCGTCGCCGCGGCAAAATCCCCTAATTGTTAATTCGGAAGTAATGCGAGAGTAGCACTGCCGCCGGCTTGTAATTATTATTGCCGTGGTTCGCCGGCGTTTCTTAGTAGTATTTGTTGTGCTTTCTTTTTTCATTGGGCTCAACGAGCGGAAAAGCGTTTGATGATTTTTCCCCGGCTGCCGGCGAGCTCGTGAATTTCGAAACAGCGCGACTGTTGACTAAATTGAAAGCACCTAACGGCCTAGCTTGCAATTTTCATTAATTCGTCGGCGGTAAAGTTTGCCGAGAGGGAGGGCAAAAAAAACGGAGTTCGAGGAGCATGCGGCTCGCGCCGTTGTAAAATGCTGGCGGCGAGTGTAATTAAAAATTGAAGATGCGTCCCTTCGGCTTGATTACGGCTTCATACGGCCGCTCGGCGTAAAACCTCGTCCCTACACTTTTTCCCGGCTGCCGAGCCATCGGCGTAAATAAGCCTATATAGGACTCGGGGCTCATAAAGATCGCAGCGATTGATTTCCGGCGGCGGCGGCGGCGGCGGCGGCGGCGACGCGTAGCGCCGATCGTAAAAAAGGCGCGCGGCCGCATGCGATTAACGTTGGCTGGATTGCCGCCGCCTAACGGGCCTCGTCGGTCGCGCCGAGATTTTTTGGATCGCGTTGCCGAGGCTCGATTCATGGCCGCGCCGCAGCGCGCTGTCTTCCGATATTGCTATTCCGCCCCCACAGCTGCTGGAATTCTCGTTTTGGCCCGGCCTCTCTTTTATTTCCCAAGCGAGATACGCCCTGGGCGCCGCGGCCTCGATTCGCGCAGATTTCTATCTCTGTGTCGCCGATTCGGGGACGGCTCTTTTGACGCTCGCGCGGAAACGTTGTTGCACACGCCGAGCACTCGATCAAAAGAGAGCCGGCTTGCCGGCAAGTAAGTCAGGCCGGGACAGTTAATAACGACGGCGAGCGAAATCTCCATCGTCGATAAAACTCGTCGGAAAGTTCATAACCCGTAGGTGTGCCGCTGCCGCGGCGGCGTCGTGGCGCCGAGGCGTCGCACTGGCGAGCAGCCAGCCCCGCGCGCGGACTCGACTCGGTCAATCGGCCTCGTCCTCGCCCCGCGCTATCTGCGCTTTAAATTTGGTTAGGTCTGCATCGAGGGAAGCGCCGCCCGGGGATCAAACGACGGCAGGAAATCAGCGGTAGAGGATGCGCGCGCTCGCGTATCCAATTAAAAGTTGGCTTAGCTAGCCGCCAGACAAAACCATACGCTCGCTGCAAACTGGCCCCGCAACGATCTCTATGATAAAAGCCTCCGCGCGCGATATCTTGTTTATCGTTATGGCCGCTGGACCTTTCGGCTCTGTTTTTTGCCGCGCGCTCAATATCTGGCTCGGATGTTATTCCGCTGGTTTGTTGTTATTTTTGTTCGTCCCCCTTTGATCACCGATTCTCAAATTGTCAATTTACAAGTACTCCAACGAATTACACGTGCGCCTGTTCGAAAGCTGCTTTCGATTCGCGAGCGCATCCGAATAATTCCTAGTTTTTCATTTTATTTTTTCTTCTTTATTTTTACGTAATTTCTCCCTCCCTCTCTCTCTGTGATTTTCATTTGATGCGCGTCCAACATTCCAATCCGCGAAATGTTAACGAGCATCCGCTTTGAATCAAATGCAGAGCTTATTAACGGTTTCATCGAACGTTCACTTGTTTTTCGCTTTTTAACTGAAAATTCCGCGTTGCGCTCTAATAGGAATAGAAATAGATATTCGATGGAGCTTGTGCGCCAATTGTTGTTTACGCGGATTCGAATGGAATATTGCTGAGCTTCCACAAAACTCAAAAATATTCCATGGCATTCGTAAAACTCATATCTCTGCATTATCATTATACAGCATAACAGAAATCGAATCCAGGATACTGCGCAATTAACTCATTCATTGCAACGGTGCAGGGCGGAATCGTCAGTAATTACGATATGAGATATCGATAGCTCAACAGGATTCCTAATAGCTGTTCACACAGATGAAGTGCGCGCGCCCTCGACTGAAAAGAATACAAAAGCCATGTAAACATGCCGCGGCAGACTGAACGCCAGAGCGAGCGTGCGGTTCTCATCGACGATATGCGTAATCAAATTCGGGCTCGAGTGACGGCGGCAAATGACTCTCGAAGCCTGTTAACTCGATTCGCCCTTCCATCCGCGCGCGAGAACTCCCAAAGTTTTGATAGCGGAACGCGGAAAAAACAGAAAAAAGGCGCTTCATCGATCTCTCGCGAAACGGCATTTGGATTAATTATCTTCTTAGCGTGCGTTCAGCTAATTAGTAGCCGATGATACCGGCCGCCTTGAATATTCCCTTTCCGCAGTAGGGGGAGGTGGAAATCAAGCGATCGAGGGATTAGTGAAAGTCGAGTTAATCCTCTGAGACAATCGCATTATGTAAAGTCGGTCTCTCGCTCGCGCGTTAATTATTCGATCTTAATTGCAGAAAAGTGGGACTAGGAGCGAGCGAGAGAGAGAGAGAGAGAGCAGAAGGCGGAACGGGCGCGATTGTCAGTGTTGCACCGCTCTCCGACGCTTCAATTTCGCGTGAATTACGCTTTCGCGATCGCGTTACGCGCGTGCCTGGCATACGGTAATTGGATTATACGGCCACTCTCCGGCAGAAGGCTGCGCCTATATTGTAGCTGATAATTAGATCGTCGTTGAATTGGCCGGCGCGTTAAGTTTTCAATACGGGAAACGGGAAGTGTTCTCGCAGAACGAGAGCGGCCCGAGGGAAGAGCGGCAGTGACGAATCGCGTAAGACCTAATTAGCTCGCGGCTTCCGGGTCGCGTGGGGGAGCAGCAGCGTGGAAGAGAGTTGTAGTTTCGCCGCAATGCGAAAATATTTCCTCGTTCCTTGGCAGCGAACGCGGCGGCGGTGGCGGCGGTGGCGGCGGCGGCGGCGGCGCCCGACAATGCACAATGCAGATGCACATCTGCCGGCTCTCTCCTCGTGCTATCTTATTGGTTTGGTCTTTCTTCTTTTTTTCGGACGCTTCGCGTCTTCCGCCCGCCGCGCCACTGCTCCGCCGTGCGGCGCGTTTGAATAAGTGCGGCCCGTTCCGCGTCGAGTTTGCATTTTTACAACGGCGCGCTGTCTATTCACTCCGCTCTCTCGACTCGCTTGGCTTTTTAACCTGCGCGCTCCTCGACGCGATTGTCTGGGTGCTTTGATGAACGTTTGACGAACGTGGTCGTTCGCGAGCTGCACTCACGATATATAGTCGAACAATGACGTTGCTGCCCTAGTCGATCCCGTCCTCTTTCTCTTCCTCTTCTTCTTCCGACTGCGTATTTTTTATGACATTCTTTTTATTTCATGGTATTTTACGAGCTGCGAAATCCAACACGAAGGATATTGAGTTCTCATCTTGTTTCGCTAGCTATTGCTTTTTTGTCTCAGCCCCGATGCGCCTCTTGACGCCGCGTCCTCTGTGTCCTCTGATTTTACAAGCGACGAGACCAACTTAATTTCAGATGATATCTTCCGAGCATCTGCGACTTGGAATGGACATCCTGTATCCCTGCTCGAGTGTATTTGCGAACGAACGCGTAGCGGCTTGCAATCGTCGAACGCCATATATCGCCACGTTTTAAAAAAGAATACGTCCGTGTTTCGAAGGAGCGAAAAAGGAAGGACACTCGCTACGAGATAAAGCTCTCCGGGCGGTAGGAAATATAAGTCGTAATACGGGCATAATGCGCAACTCCATACACTCGGTCGCTGATATTTACGAGCATCTTTGCCCGGCTGCTGGGCTGTGTGCATCCAAGCCTCGTAAATCGGCACTAGCGATGCGTCACCATCACACGCGTTATACCTACCATACGAGATTTCATATGCTTATTCCACGACAAGTCGATAATTGCTTCTTTTTCGATGTTTCTTTCGTTTTCTTCTTTTCAAAGAGTTCATTAGTTTATTCATTGAAAGTGAATAATTCAATTGATACCAAGGCCAGTTCGAACGGTCATTCCCAAAGATTTACAAGTGCAATTTTTATTCGAGAGTAAAAAAGATGAAGCAGCGTATATCGAGAGTAAATCTGCGATCAATGCGGCCGTAAATAACGAAATAAAAGAGAGGGAGAGAGAGAGAGAGAGAAAGGTGTCGTAAATAATTTTCAGTAGCCCCAAATAAGCCGCTAACTCGGCGCGACTGCCAAGCTCGCGCGGGCGTCCGGGGCAATTACGCGTGACGCTGTCGCGCGGCGCCTGTGCCAAAGCTTTCCTCCGACACCTTCATATATCCCCTTTCGTTTCTTTTTGATGGCACTGGTACGGAAGAAATTTTTTTCCTTCCTTCCTTCCTTCCTTCCTTCTTTCTTTCTCTCTTTCTTTCCTCGCTGCGATTGAAATCAAAATTTACGCCGTTGCAGCGCTGCCAAGCCAGGGGCCTGAAATCAGGGGACTCGGCACTCAGTACGCTCTCGGCGAGAATGTCACTGCCAATTGCACTGCTTGGCCTTCCGTGCCGCAAGCCAAGCTCCATTGGACTGTCAACAACAAAGAGGTAAGTTGTCCGCGAACCGCGGGGAATTCATTTTTCCTCGTCGCTCGCTTCCAATTTCGCCGGCCGAGAATTAAGCTTTCAACTTCCACGATGAAATACGGAATGATCGAATACGGAGTCGGCCATCAGCCACGCCAAAGAAGACCAAGTAGGTACTCAATCAATCGGGGTCGCGAAAGCTTTCGCTCACGCACGCGCAGGGCCCTGAAAAAATAACACAAAATGAAAAGCTTGCGAGCGCAGAGAGAGAGACAGAGGAAAAAAATCAAAAACACGAGAGCAAGGAGGTAATGCTCTACTCTCGTGCACTTTGGCGCGCGTCGCTTTTTTCTAGCTGCTTCTCTTTGCACACTCTTGCGCTTGGGGTTATTTCGTACGTGGCGGGGGCTTGCGCGCGGCTTACTTTAGTCCTCCCGTGCTGCGCAAAATGTTGATTCAGCCGGGGCCTCTGTGTGTCTTTGAGTGCGCGTCTTAAGAGAGGGAGAGAGACGGGGATCGATACACACCTAGCCTAGGTTCTTTTCTTCTCTCTCGCTTTTTTCGAAAAAAATGTTCCACGAGGGTCCACGCCGAGCTAAGAGAGGGAGTTTAAGTTTTTTTAGCGACGTTAGCGCCGCGTCTTCCCTGTGGCTGAGAGTGCGCTGCAAAGTGCGATGGAAGCTCCAAGTTTGCCTCGTGCGACGATTCATACGCGTAATATTGTTTTAATAAAGCAATTCGTCTCGACTGTGCGTCGAATCGACGTCGGAGGAACTTTTACGGAGGCGTACCCTGAGAACACGACATCCCTCTAGTGGACAGTATATTCCGACTTTCAACAAAATGCAGTCCTTAAGCTCTTTAGCAATACAAAATCCGACGAATTAGCCACGTTAGATGACTCGACGCACAGGTACTGCAAGTTCATAATCTTGGCTGCCGTTGTAAGTAGCTCGAAAGCTCTCACCGAGCTTCGGCCCTTTCAAGTGCTGTTTAATCCTATTTATAAATACACCTTTGTAGTGAAATTACTCTATTCGAATTCTAACAATCTCCACCCGAGATAGCCAACGCGCATGAACAATCTCGCGTCATTATCAATGTAGAGGTAGCCGGGAGATCGTTAAATCTGGGAAACAAGGAAAAAAGATATGATAATCCCCCACGTCATTTTTACGCTCAAAGAAACTAGGTCAACGACACCCGAAACGACCGAAAATAAAAAAAATCGAGCAGTCTTCTCTCGCCTTCTCTCGACAATGATATCTATAAGCCCAGATAATCAGCAGCAGCACTCGTTGCCGCCGCGGGACACATTCTGGTCTCGACGACGATGGCCATTCGGCAATATGCAGCCGTGGGGACATCATAACCCGCTGCGGCTGATCTCAATTTGCTTTATTTCATTTTCCTCTGCTTTATCGTTGCGGGAGGTCCACTTGAAAAAAAAAAAACGAACCAGTGCCGTTCAATTAAAAAGAAGACGGGGGAAGGGAAGGGAAGCAGCAGCTGGTGCGTACTCGGGTGCTCGGTTAGAGTTTATCGTTTGGCCCGGAAGGAGGTAATCAAAATTGACTGCGACAATCGAGGGTTAATAATACCGCAACAGCCTCGTTCTCTTTTACGGCTATCTCTCTCGCCCCCCCCCCCCACCCCTCATCCACCCACCTATCTTCTCCTTTCTCGCCCTTGCGTGCGTACTCCGAGGCTATTGTTGCAAACGCTCCTCATGATCGTAATTTTTCTAGATTCCTTTTTTCTTCGTCTCCAACCTACACGCATGTCGTGATTTTTATCTGGACCCTCGCTGAGATTTTTCTTTTTTTTTTTATTGCGAAGAGGTACTTGTCTTAAGTTCTACTTTGATGTCTTTTTTGACTGCAATGTATCTCAATCGAGCTATTTGAGCTCACCCGTTACATTATCGGAGGCTTCTTTTTTGCCATTGAAAGCATATTGAAAGTTGAAATTCAAATTGCGAGCACGCAATAACACTGTACAATTGTATAGTCGTGTACATTGCACTCACGTTATCGACATTCATAAAAACTTGCAATTTACAAACATAATCGCATAAAATGTTTTCATACTTCATGTGCAATGGACTAAAAATACGCAAGCTTTTAACGTTGAACGACAATGTCCCTCTATCGACAGAACTCTTCTGATGCGAATTAGAACTGAAAGCCAGTTTGAGTTGATTTTACAAGAATTCAGCAAGAATTGTGTCGAGTGAGCAGTTTGTATCCATAGAGAGCTAGCTTCAACAATCAGGGCACCCTTAATGATTATAATCTTTGTTCTTCGCGTGCAACGGCAGTGATAAAAGATGTGTTGCCGAGAGGAAAAACTGACAGAGAAAAGACAGGTGGGGGACGGAGAGAGTGTATCTTTAAGACTTTTTTATACATGTACAGAAGGTAAAAGAGGCAAAAAGAGAGAGAGAGAGAGGGATCGCCAGTGATTTGCCGGTGCCTGGCAGTTTTTCGGTCGAGCGATCACAGCGCGAGCAACGAACAAAACACGCGAAAGCTCACAAAAGACTTGTATATTTCGCTCTCTCGCACACCTCCGCCGGCGTCGTCGACAATTCGCGTGTGCAGCATCTTGAGGCGGACGCTTGCCCCTGGGAATATTGCGTTTTTGTCGCGTATAGCTTTTCACCGTGAGCTAGAGAAAAAGATTTTATTAGATGCTAAGGTTGTCTCTCTCGCTTTTCAGGATGAACAGAAAGATGGATTAACCAGCTGCCGCCGCCTCGTTGTCGTTACCGTCAATTGAGAATGTTTCTTTAGCGTGGATTATATGGAGGAATATTTTATTTGGGTCGAAAGAACTTATCTTACTAAAATAGTGATCGATGTTCCGCTGAAATCGCGCGAGCAATAAGTTTTAGCGTGCAAAGTCGCTGAACACTCCGAAAAAAAGGAGAAAGAAAAGAGTAAAAAAGGCCTAGCCATCGTCGTTTCAGGTCTTTGTCGCATAAGGGTGAGTCGCAAATCACAAGTCAATACGATTAAGACGTCGGGGGGACAGGGGAAAAAGAGAAAAAAAGAGAAAAAAGAGAAAAAAGAGAAAAAAGAGAAAAAAAGAGAAGGGGAGAGAACTCCGTGGGATGCAAAGGCGATAAAGGAAAATTTGTGGTCGGACGAGGACAAAAAGGAGTGGCATAGGAGAGGGGGGCTAGCCGAATTTAAAACCTCATAAATCCCGCACAACCTGCGAAATCATTTTAACGCCTGGTTTTCTGGGTCACCACTTGAACAATTCTTCGGTCGTTCTATATGCAGATATATATCGGCTGCTAATGAAAACAGACGTTGCGTTAGCCTTTATCTTATCGCTTTCCGTCTTCTATTTGTATTTACTATTTGTTTGCCGCGGCGGGTTTATCGCGTTTCTATACGTTTCGATAAGCTCGAAACACGGAAGAGAGTCAAGTTCAGTGCAGATTGTTCGCTGAAACGTCGAGCATTATGTGGTCGATAAATGTCATCGTCTTGGCGATCGCATTGATTCGGCCGGCTAGCGGTCAAACGAAATACTGGCGGTTGGATCCGAGAACGGCGTTGACGTATCCGCGAGTGAGCGCTTCGGCGAATTACATCGGCGTGGCGACAATCGTGGCCGAGCCGGCGACGAGCTCGAAAATCCCGAGCAAGCTGAAGCTGAGGGTGGAGGTTCTGCGCGAGAACGGCAGCGCGGTGAACGAGTGCGCGCTGGCGGTGCGGGTGCTCAACAGATTCGGCCTGCTGGTGTTCCTGCAGATCACGATGCTGAGCGACGACAGGGCCGCGCTGACCTGGATCGACAATAATCCGATGATCCAGTACGCGCCGCCGTACTTGTCGTTCTGGCTGCTGGACACCGCCAGCTGCGAGCACGCCAACCGGCAGATCGAGATACGCTGGGACGACGGCTACGTGCTCGACGGCAGCGACAAGTACTTTTCCCTCGTTCCCTACGGCGACCACTTCGACGTTTTCTTCCCCAACGAGGAGCTGTGTCGCGGCGGCGGCGGCGGCTGCAGACTGACCATGAGCAACGACGGCAAGCTCGTGAGCGATCTGGTCCCGTTGGACTTGCGCGACCTGCCGGCCCTCTGGCAGGTGGCGCCGATCTCGGCCGGCTCCTCGAGCAAGGGACACGTGTTCTATCGCAAGCACTACCACCAGTTCCAGACTCTGTACGTGGACGCCCAAGGCAAAGCCATCCAATTCAAGACGTTCAACACCAGCAGGTCGTCGTCCAACAACAATTACTTCAGCACGTCCGACTCGGTCGCCGGCTTCCTCGGCTTCTGCTTCAAGGAAGCGCCCAGGAGGCTGAATTGCACGCAAATCGACCAGAATCTCAACCCCGTGATGAATCGACTGATCGAATTCGACGCGGACGTGCTGTACGCGAGGATGCTGGAGAGACGGGATGGCTTCTTCGTGCTGACCGTCTCGAAAGACGAGGTCTACACAATTTGGAAGACGCTGGTCCTGGCCAACGGTTACATCTCGCCAACCACCGTCCTGATGAACGTCGACTGCGAGTTCAGCAAGTTCGACGTTTTCGCGATGAACGCTTCGAGATGCGTCTTGGCCACTTGCGCTCGTCCTCTTGCCAATAGCTTACTGCTCAAGGATTACAGCCTGCGCGCAACCTGCTTTTGACCATCGGCAGCCAGCTGTTTATTCGAATCGCCCGTTCCTTCGTGGCTCCTTCCTGGCCGTCCTCGTCGCAGCCCGGCATTGTTCGCCCGTGAATGGAGCTTTGTTATCGCGGCTCGCGAGCGCTCCTCTGGCTTGGCGCTGCTCTGCTGCGTACTTGCGCGACGTCCACTCGACCGCGGTGTGGATTTTCAAAATGCCGCGACAAATTGGTCAGTCTCGCGGCGAGTTTTCTATCGAGCGCGCTCGATTCTCGCCGCAATTGCTCGCTACTAGCTCGAATGAGTGTCTTGTTCACGAATAAAGCATGCGTTTTTGCAAGAGAAAGCTTGTCGTTTATTTCACCGTCAATCGACAGAAGCAATTTCGCCGCTGAGGATGAAGATCAAAATGCGTTGCGCCTCCGTACGCAAATATCTGTATTTCGGCTTGTCACGAGTCAACAAAAATTCAATCTCAGGGATAGCAAAGCCAGAAAAAAAGAAATTCTTATCGTGCCGCAAGAGTAAACATTTTCACGTATGACTTGCGTTATATCCCATCGCTGGCGCTAGCATCGTTGGCACGTCCAATATCTGGTCAAACGCGATATAAATAGGCAACAATCAAAGTATTCGAGGGGTCGCGGGATAGGGAATAACACGCGTGCTAATTTTTGGCGCAGCGTGATTTCCGTTAATTATTTTTCCGTATTAGCACACTTTGGCTTTTCGCACGGTGGAGTTTCTCTCTCATTTTTGTCGCGGGTGAAAGCGTCACGACCCTTTTTCGCCGAGTCGACCAACGAAAATAAAGGATTCAACGGTAAAGGGGACCAGTCACGTCCCTCATTCGCACCCTGCAAACCCGCACGCCAGAGAGAGAGAGAGAGAGAGAGAGAGAGAGAGAGAGAGAGAGAGAGACAACAGTCAAAGGGAACTGCTGCTACTGCTGCTGCTGCTGCTGGCCGACGGCCAGTACTCCGGAAAAAGCTGTCGAGAGAAAGGGTTCACGCTGTTGCCTTTGTGAGACGTGTTGGTTTGCTCGGCGGAGATATTAATTTTTTTCCGTCGAGCTCGGTTGAGTTCTTCTTGCGATTTTGTTGGTTTGTCTTGACGAGTCTACTTCAAAGTGGCTGTTAATAATTTTGCCGATAGAGGAGTCGCTAGACTTTTTGTCTTCCGTGTTGAAGATGTGCAAGCGAATCTTGGATCCGATCGAACGATTCGTGCGTGCAAGCAAGCCCGCAGAGCGCTCAGGTCGCCAGCGGAACCGGCAGAAAATCGACTGGAAGCGCGACTAATTCCCGAGATGGCGTTAAAGAAAATGAAAAATCAAGGAGATAACGAGCGACCGCGGCAAAGTGCTCGTTAAAAAGAACTTACAAATGCAAGCTCGCGCCGAGAAACTTTCTTTGCGCGAGAGAGCGTAATAAAAAAAAGGGGTGGAGAGGGGAGGGGAGGGGAAGGAAACGTGGCTCGTTCGTTATTTCGGCTTAAATCCGCCTCTGCGGATGACGATTTATCGGCCTCGTAAACGTCCGCCTCCGTTCACTCCGCGGTCCTCCTCCTTTTCCGTTTCTACGCAACTTGCTACTTCTTTGTTGTTTGACTTTCGGGGACGACGAGGCTGGCGTCGAGGAGTTGATGGCTACTCCTCTGGCCGCAGACGATGCGTATGCTTAGTGCTTTCTCGGCGTAATCATTTGCCTGCGCCGCTGCTGCTTTCGGCTCCCGAAAGATTCCTCGTTATTGCCGACGACGGCCGGCAATGGACCTTCCGATGAGGCTGCATTTTTCCATCTACCTCGTGGAAAGAACATGAGTTTTGCAGCGTGTTCGGTCGAGCGCGCCACGATGATTCTTATCAGCACTCGGCGTGTCTTCGCGTGATTCGCCAAGATTTTGCCGTGATTTTGAGCGTACAATGGCGACGCGTTAAATCACGGCGAAGATAAGAACGAAGTACTACGCGATCGGCAAAGTTGGATATGAGCGGGACATGGTCGGGTAGCGAATGCGGCGCGGCTGCGCACAATGTTTTCATGGCACATTGATTGGAAATCACTGGTCGCGTATTGGAAACAACTTGGCTTCGCGATTTTACGGTTCGGCCGTGAGCGCGTACACATTTTAATGGAGCGTAAACTAGTTTTGCCGGGCCAAGTTGCTCCCTTTTTATTATACCTTAAAAGTTAAAGGAAGTGCGCAGCTTAAAAAGTTGGCGCTGCGCGCGGCGAGATCGCGTTACAGTACAACTTTATTACTGGCCGCGCCCCCTGCTCCCTCGAACTTTTTCAAATTTGACTTATTTCAAAGGGGCCAGCGGCAAAAGTAATTTCCGCTCAACTTTTATATTGTCCTGTACAAGTTTAACCTTTGCTCGGCTCGCGCCCACGAGACATTGGGCGGACTCGAAAATCGGGAAATGGGGCTGAAAAGAGGCGAGGCGATCAGCCGGAAGGCCTCCGCCGCGCGCCTCGCCGACTGGTCTAACGTGCGTCCTTCTGCTCGCAGGTGCCGGACAAGTACGTGATCAAGCACAAGCCGCACAGCCCGCTGGATAATCAGGGCACGCCCAACAGTCTGGGCCTCAGGCTGGAGCTGGAGTCGCGCCACATGGCCGGCAGCGGCGGCACGCTGCGGGTGCGCTGCGTGTCGCACGTGGCCTCGCGTCGCCAGGAGGTCGAGCAGACGGCCAAGCTCACCCACGCCAACAACCAGCGCTACAGCGCCGGCGACCTCAGGAGCCGCGCCTCGATCGTCTCGCTGTCGTCGATCGCTCTGCTGGCCGCGCTGCTCCTCACGTGACCTGCTTAAGGGCGCACTCGCCATCGCAGCATCGACGACCGCTCTTACCCTCCTCATCGTCCTTCGGCGCTGCGAGCTCGGAGCTTCTTCTCGTCGTCGTCGTCGTCGTCGTCGTCGTCGTCGTCGTTGTTGTTGTTGTTGTCAAAGTGCACGACATATCCTGCGAGCTCTTTGCGCTCTTCCGCACCGCTCACGGCAACACTTGTATCATACGTGCGCGGCCTTGGCTCGTGGTTTCGTCGTTTGATTTGTCGGAGAGCGTCATCGAAGCGATTCCGAGCGACGGATTTCTGCCATATTCGTTACATGATACGTGGGTCGAGAGATGAGCGACAGAATTTTGTATAAATGCGCGAGTGATTCGCACGCTCGCGTGCGCGCGCCCACATACACACACAGACACACACAGACACGCGCACACAAAAACATGGCAATTAGTACGATTAAGGCATGCGAGACATATTTGTAGAGGAGGCCGCGACAAAATAAAGCGCATGAAAGTATGTAAATGTATAGGTCGAGCGTTGAGTTATGTACACTTCGCTGTCCATCCAGTAAGATTAAAATACATAGCGAGAGAGAGAGAGAGAGAGAGAGGCGTAGGCCATTTTTAAGACGGAAAAAAGTATATGTGGCTAAGGTTCTTTTGTAAATAAACTATAAATCCATTTGTAAAGATTATAATGCTCGAGAACGACGGGCAGAGCAGGTCAGATGTACACACGAAGGGCAGGGGGGGGGGGGGGGGGGGCGATTTATTAGTCGCGCGGGCGGCTAAACACCGTCAAATGGTTTCCCGATCGCGGTTAATTGGACGGCTCGTACAATGAGCTTCGTCGCCGCGTAATAACGCCATTGGGCTCTGGCCAAAATTCTATCGGCGACACGGTTATTGCCGAGGTGGACTAAATCCGCGCGAGAGAGCGGTCAACACGTCGCGATTTCCAAGCCTGCCTGGGAGCGCGCGTGCGTCATTTTTCCTTTTTCGAGCGTTATTGGGACAAAGGCTCGTGGAATTGCGTTCGTTGATTCGCAATTGCAGAGTCTTCGGAAGAAAAAATACAGCTGTAGGAGTTTTGCGCTGATTAATTGATTTTTCGATACGAGAACGGTGTCACTAGAGAAAAATAGTCATCGGAAGCACCGGTGCGCGCCGATATTTACAATGCCAGGCTCGTTTTTCGTGCAGCGCACACGGGAGCACCATCTAGGAAGGCTCCTCTTATCGATAAACGTAACCAGAATTGCCGTTTGAACGAAAGGTACAGCTGGCGAAGCTCGGAAAATGATGAGTGGTTCAATCGAGAGTTGCGCGATCAGGCCCGCTATTAATAACGAAAGAGCGAGAGCGAGGATAACACGGCTTCTCGCCGGCTTGGGGGTGGGGGCAACTTTCGCCCCGATAAATTCGGAAAGTTCGCTGGTGCGCGCGCGCGTCACTTTATTTATCATAGCGCGCGTAGGCGGCGCGGCGCCCCATTGTTTCGCGCTTTTTGTTCGCGGCGAGACAAAAGGGCGCGGAGGCGATCTGAAAAACCGAGCGCGGCCCGACAAAGTTTGTCAATGTTTCGCGAGGTCCATCAATTAGCCAACTTTGTAATGTGCGCGACCGCCGCCGATCAGACTTGGTTGCGTTTGGTTGCGTCCCTCGCAACGGACGAATTAAGAGCTGCTTCCGGTTGCTCGCAACGCCGTATCGACGATCGAATTCTGCCCGTACGTATATTATCTAGTCAGCACGTCACCCGCGCATGTGACGATTAAACGAGAAAATCCAGATGACGCCACTTTACGACATTATATTCTATAAGAGATGTAAATTATAAAAATACTATAAAGTATCACATTAATTGCGTTTATGAAGTGTTGATGCGTAATTATAAGGTTATCTCAGGTTTATATAGGAGCTAACGATAACGAAGGATCGTCGTTGTGTCTTATTTCGGTTTCCTCAGTCCGGAATATAAAATATGTATCATGAGCGAATCAAAAAAAAGACAGGCGAAAGAGAGCTCTGCAAAACACCACCGAGTCGTCGATTTCTCCGCGCAAGTGCCGTTGGCACTGCACGAGAAAGTTATATCACACAACCTCACTGTGATGACGGACACGCACATCCATTGCCGCGCCATTTTTTCGCGTGTACTCCGTGAATAAGGAGACAACCAAAGCAAAAACTATTGAGAAATAAATTATATGAATAAACTGCGAAATTGCTGCTTCTTTGTCTCGTTGAATGCCCCTGTCCTGCGTTTCCCGATGCTCACTTTATTTTGCAAACATCCACGGCAATGACGACCCGTACAACGACCTTTCGACGTTCCGTGTCTCCAATGAAAAGTGTAAGAAGCGAGGTTCCTTTCGGCTAAACAACTGACACGGCGAAAACAAAGGAATCGAGAAACTCGACCATGAAAACAGTAATCTAACGATTTTGTCTTTGACGTGCAAGTAATTAAAATGCTAATTTACAGACGAACGACTCCCAAAGACTCGGAATCCAAGCGAAAATTGCTCAACTGCGCAATAAAGTATTGAAATGCCAGAGATGGTCTTTTCATCAAAGCAACGTCAACGTCAATGCCAATCCTATGAAGCAACTCGACGAATAATCCGAAAAATATAAAGAAAGAAAGGAAGTCTATAAAGCGTTCAATGAAAATAATAATCGCGCATTCAAGCGTAATATATCACAGAGAACTGCGAGCGCTGAGCTTTCAACCTGCAGTTACTTTTGTGAGGCACTCGACCGGATGCCCGAGTTCATTAGCGTTCGCCCGGGAAATGCGTGCATACCTCTGGTAATTTTGGCGATGCCGCGCCGCGGCATTTTTGCCGGCAAATTGAATTTTCGGCAATTAGCCGTTCGATCCCTTCCCGATTGCCTCGCCGCGCGCCGCACCAGATTCATTTCCGGCGGCTGGCAGTAAACGTCGGCCACTTGGAGTCGGCGCGCCCTTTTATTTATGCGCGCGCGAACAAACTGCGGCGGGTGCGCGCGCGCGCCCGCGTAAATCGCCCGCCAGACACACCGCCGCGGCAATTAAAGCGACGCGCTGATATGGAATCGATGCCTTTTTGCTTTCGCACCCTGACAAATCGCCTCTCGAAACCAGCGACGCATGACGAGTGTCTCGTACGAGCCGCGGCGACCGTGACAGGGAGCTTTCGTTATTGGCGCGGCAAGAAAGAGAAAGGAAGAGCAGCGGCGGACGAACGACGCGCGCGCCGAGATTAAATCGGCGAATGTTTTCCCGCGGGAGCACCAGGTCGGGAGGGGGTCTGGGGGAGGGGGTCGCATAAATCGCCGACGATCTGATACGGGATCGCCGATAGCGGCGCGTCTACTGCGCGTATTCCCGAAAAACCGGCGTCTCGTCCCTCGCCGCAGCAATGTTGCCGCCGCGCGGCCTTATCGAGCTCCAGAGAAACGAGCGCGACGAAGCGGCGCTTTTTCTCAAATTTTATCGGTCTAATTGCCGAGCGCGCCGGCGGCTGACGGATCGCGCGCGGCTTATCCTCGCTCTTCGGGCCGAGACGACGGGCGACGACGCTCCGTTTCAATGAAGCGCCGCCGAGCCGAGCGAAGGCAACGTACGGCGTCGATTCGGCTGAAATATCGCGGCACTCGCCGGGACAGAGGAAAACAGAGCGCTGCCCCAAGCCGAGCGAGGCGCTGCTGGGAAGATGCAGGGCCATCAGCGCGAGCGCGAGCCGTGGACGGAGTCGGTCCGCGACGGAGCGCGACAACGCCAGACGGACGATCAGCAATTCACTCGGCTCGTGCGTCTTCATTTTTCTCCGCGCGCGCGCGCGGCTCTCCGGTTGTCGCGGACAAATGCGCATGGCCCTGGTATAAACGAGCGCCGCGGGCTATCAGCCGAACGCCATAAATAAATACATTACGCGGGCACGCCTCACCTACAACGCCGCCTCTGGAATGGCGAATTGAATTAGGGGCGGGGTAATTTAATTTCGGTTATATTTGCAGCCATTAATAAGCCCGTAACACTCGCGGCGAGAAGAGAGCGCGTATAATGTTCGCGTGGCGCAGTAATTGCAAGTAATGCGACACAAATAATTCGATACGCGCGCGCGCTATCTGCCCGCCCGCGATAATGCGAACGTCGCTGCGGCGTCGTGAAAAACTACATTGTTTTCGCGGGCTGCGCGGCCCTCGCTAATGAATTTACCTTTTTATCGGCGATTCAATATTCGGATAATTGTTGAATTTGCGAAACGCGCAAATTCAACGCTTATCGCACTCGAGAGGCGATAAAGTAGCTTGCAGGCCCTTTGCCGAGGATCTCGATACCGAGGCCACTTAATTGAAGGCAATCTCGCCGGCAGTAAAAGGAGAGGACGGAGAGAAGAAGGAAAAACAAAGACGCGCGGGGCTGCGAGTCCAATAGACGGCCATTCGCCGCGTTGGACAAACGAGAGGCACGGAGCTGCGCGTTGCGTCATCGCCTGCCAAGCTTACCACAGTGTCACGCGCTGTCTTTATTTTCGGGCGCTCCATCGGCCCGCGATTACCAGTCGATTGCGCAATGACGATTATCGCGCGCGGAACATCTGCTCCGACGACTCGAGACAAAGAAAGACGAGGAAAGCAGCCTTGCCGGCTCGACGAACGCGGCGATAAGCAGATGGCAAGGCGGGATCGAGCGCGTCGAGAGATGCGCGATCGACGAGAGGCAGTCGCCGGGCTGCCGTCGAGCCACTCGCCGTTTCGCCGCGCGCGACAATGTCGCCGAAGGGCATAGTCGTGCTGCTGTCGATCGCCCAAGCGATCGCCTGGAGCGGCGCTCGCCGCGAGATCCGCGAGATCCGCGAGCACTGGTCGCTGGCCCCGATAAAAACCTACTCGATAGTGCCCATCGCGTTGTCGAGCAACGGCCGGACCATCGCCGAGCTCTACGAAAACGCGACGTTCAACGACGCCGACAACGTTGGCGCGCATCTCCTGGCCAACCTGACGAGCTACGGTGTCGACGGCCGGCTCCTCGGTGGCTGCTGCCACCTGCCGCTGGTCGGCGCCCACGAGTACTTGGCCGATCGGCGCGTCCAGCTCGCGTCCGTCGCCGAGGACACGGAGGTCGTGGTCTGGTTCGTCGGCTCGCTGAAAAGCACGGCCCTGCGGATGAGCGTCGCCGTGATCGACAAGGACCGCTGCGAGATCCTCGCGCGCGCTCGGCTGCCGTTCACCGGCAGTCCCGACGCCGACCACTCGGCCCGGCCGAGGTTCCAGAGCGTCAGGGTGGTCGGCAGCGTCGAGGGCTTCGGACTCGTCGTGCCGGCGAGGCAGCTTTGCGACGCCGAGCTGTGCTCGATCGAGTACGCAAGGTCGACTCGGCGCTTCGCCCCGGCAACGCCTCTGCTGCGCGACGTCGCCCTCGAAGAACCGTGGAGGATGCTGCCGACCGCTCACGACCCAAGCTCGAAAGGCTACTTCGTGGCGCTCCGCAGCCGGACTAGCCTGCTGCTCATCTCGGACGGCAAGCAGGCGACGTTGAGGCCAGTCAGTCCAGATCCCGCCGAGTCGTCGCTGGAAGCTTCCTCGGCGTTCAACCGACTGTTCAGCTACTGCGCCGCCCTCGGCAATCGCGTTCACTGTCTGCAGTTGGACCCCGAGCTGCGCGTCCGGCTCAACGTCACCGTTCGCTTCGCGCCGGCCTACTCGCCGACGAGGATCGCGGTGCTCAGCGGCGTCCCGGACGCCAGCCTACTGCTTGTCACCGCCGACGCGAGTGGACTGGCGAGGGTCGCGAGAATCGACGAGACGCGAGTCGACTTGGACGTGCTCGCAGTGAAACTCGGCTGCGCCGATCCGCTGCATTTGCACGTTTATCCGGAGGCCGACGGCCGAGCCTGTTTGCAGTACCTTTGCAAAAGGCGCGACCGTCACGCCAAAGATTTCTACGATAACGTCATGCACGTCGCCTGCTTCTGATGAATAAACGGCTGCCGTACACCGACTATTACTCCTGTTCTTTTCTCCTGTCTTTTCTCCTGTCTGTTCTCGTGTCTTTTCTCTTGTTCTTTTCGCGTTTCGTCCATGTTTACGCAGAAATCAAGGCGGTAACGAGCGATCGTATCGCGCGTGCTTTCACTTCGATTTTCCACTTGAATTTGGTTCTTGCTAATGCGCGAACTTGCGAGATGGAGAGAACTGGTTTGAGCGCCGAGGAATTTCGCAAAAATAGTCATAAAGATATTTGACGACGGACGGAGACGAAAAAGGCGAAAAAAGGCCGAAATAGGTCTTCCGGCGAGGAGCAAAACCGGTCGCGCTCGCGCAGCTCTTGCTTGATTTTCTTGGCGCGCGCGTCCGCAGGATCATCGGGGCACGCCACGGCGGATAGGCGCTCAGTTGGATTCGAGGGCGTGCGCGGCGAGCAGCGACGCCGCACGTTAGCGTCATCGGGCACCGACAACGAGCTCGCCTCTCGTTTGATTCGCGAGCGAACGCAACCGCTTCCAATCGGCAGTCCAACGCCGAAAGCCGCTCGCCGCCATGTCGCCACTCTACGCGATCCTCGCGGTCGTGCACGCGTCAGCGGGCTTGGAGCTGGTGCTCAAGCAGCCAGATTACGACAATAGTCTGCGAGGCGCGCTCGAAGAGCACTCGATAGAAAACTTGACGCTGCTGTCGAGTAACGGGCCAACCAAGTTGAACTTGCGCGACTGCCAGTCATGCGACACGGACGTGCGCATGGAAGCCATTATCGAGCGCCCGGGGAGTACGTGTTCCTTCCCGGTGTTCGGCTGGGAGGACGCCAAGCGTTACGTCAGACTCTTCTCGTCGGGCAGGCAGCTCGAGATTCTGCAAGTGATCAAGATTTTTCATCGTCCCGGCAACAATTCCATGGATTTGTTCGTCGTCAACATGGCCAACTGCGAGTTCACCAAAACGGAGACTTTGCGGGGCTACGATTACTTTGCCGCTGGTGGCGCGTTTATCGTCTTCGAGCCCGAGTGAGTCGCAACTCGTCGTCACCCTCGCTTCCTCTCTCGTTTCTCGGCAATATCACGCTCGATTTCTTTTCCGCCAAGGAATACCGAGTACTTGGAGATTTTCTCACTGAACGGCGAGAAGGAATGCGGCACGCGAGTCTGCCGGCGCAAATTCGACCTTGCAAGTCGGGAAATCGGCATGCCGATGAAATTCCCACTGCTCGACGACCAATTCCAAGGCTGGCAATTGACCTTCCTGGCGGCGTCGAGCGGCAAAGGCTACTTCGCCATCGTCAGAAGCGCGGAGGCTCGGATCAAGCTGCTGTCGGTGAACGCCGACGGGGAGCTGATCAACTCCAGCGACGACAGCGCCGAGAGCAAAGTGCATTTGCTGAAAATGTCCACTGATCACGGTCGGTCGTTTCGCCTTGAATTTCGTCGTCTCCGCGGCGTCACTGGCTGCGCCAACTTTACTGCTTTCTTGCTTCTCCTTTTACGCCCGCAGGCGCGTTTGGCTTCTGCTACACCCTCGACGACGAGCAGGAGGAGGTGCACTGCATGCAGCTCGACGACAGCCTCCGCGTCCTCGCGAACGCCACGCGCGATGTCGGCTACAGGCCCAGCTTTCTCGCCGTGCACAATTTGCCCGCGTCCGGCGGTCTTCTGCTGCTCGTCGTGCGCTGCGACGTCACTTCCGACTGCCGCGAGCACCAGATGCAAATTATTAAGCTCGACAGCGACGGCGCCGTCAGCCAGCCGTACGCCGACTTCAAAGACGAAGGATGCGCCCCGAGTAACCAGCAGCAATTTCATTTTTACGAGGACAACGAGCAGATTTGCGTTTTCTATGCCTGTGACTTGAGCGTCGAGGAGGGCAATACTCAGATGACTGTCAGATATCGTTGCTTTTAATTTTCACATTTTGTTGTGAGATTTTGTCTGGTAATACGGACTGCTCGTACAAGTAGCCAATTCGTCGAATAAGTTGGAACGAAAACTGAACTCAGTCGTTATAAAAATACAAATTTTCATTGCTATCATCAAAAAGAAAACGCAGTTTTTCATAACTTTTTCATTATTGCTTTTCGCTTTCGAAAAACGACTCGAAACATTCAAGGTCTCACAGCGACTTCTATGTATTTCATTATATCATTTATCGAACCACATAAATGCGTAATAAATCAATGTTAGATATGATCATGAACGTGAAGCTTCTTTTCATCGGTCATACCGAGTCAACCGTTCCTTCGTAAAACTAGCCCCGACGACCTCGGTACTCAGTTCGCGCCAATTTCATGGCGCTTGGCAGTGGCGAGTATCGTCGTCCCCGTTGGCCTACCTCTTCTGGTGAAGTCACAAGTGCTCGCAATGGACAGCTCAACTCGACAAGCAGTACCCCAGGCAGCAGTACACGCCAATCGAGTGTTGCTCCTTCTCGTGAAGCAGCACTCGATCTACGGAAAACTCGAGGCCGAGTGCGACCTGATAATACCCTCGGTGAGCGAAACAAATCGAGATCTGAAAATGCAACGCGAGGGGGACTCTGCTACCTCGCTGGCACTCACTCGGCTGTACAGCGCCTGTATGGAATTGGGCGTAAGAGTGCTCGAGGTGAATGTCGCGCGGTGCAGTCTCGAGGATACGATAATCCCTTTGTACAGCCATTTGGATTTGGTGCTTTACCTGCCGTATTATCTGCTGCCTAGAGGAGACGCCGGCTTTTTTCCGTTCGTCAAGGCTCCCGAAATCTACGAGGGCATACGTCGGCCGAACGTTGCCAAGAATAGGCAGACGTCTGAAAGGTGACTGTATTTTTCTAGAAGTCGTTTCACTGGAATTTCGATTGTAAAGGCGAATAAACAAATTTTTTCATTTAATTATTTACTGAAATTCGGGGTAAAATTATCATGATTAAAACTGAATATTCAACTATTCAACTATCACGTGCGAAATAAATCAATACAAAAAAGACTTCATGAAAAATCTGACCAAAATAATTTTCTAAATAGGTATTACTTTATGAAATTTCTTCATGATTCCGTTACTCGAATTGAATTTTGAAATTAAAAATAAAAGAAGTCAAAGTAAAATAAAACGTAGAGTTATTTAAAAATTGTTTGATTGTTTGAATGTAATTATAATTATAAAATTTGTATTAAATAGTTTACCAAAGCAGCTTCCTGCAATGTCAATCGAGATAATTCTGAGCGACATTATGCAGCGTCGTCAAATAATTCATATTGATAACACCGGTTGCATAACATTAGCACTCTTAAAATCTCTCCCACTGGCATTTTTTAAAAAACTCGATAAATTATCTACAAGTGTCAAAGATCTTTTTGTTGTTCGTACATTTTTACTTTTGGCGGCGATTGCGTAACAAAAGTGCGCATAACGTTTCTCGACAGAATCGACATCCGACAACGGTTCAAACCGTCCTCACATCCGTAAATGCATCAACGCGCGCGATCAAAGGAAAATTTTATGCGTGAAAACACGCGAACTTGCGTAACAAGTTGATGATCGGAACGAAAAATGTTCTCGGACGGCGGGGAACGACGCACTAGTCTGGCGTCACGTAGCCGTGAACTCCGGGGACTTATCACGAGGATACTGCTACATTAGCGAAAATCTAGAGAGGCTCGGTGCAAAAGTCGAGAAGCCGACGTTACGCAGCAAAGTGACGACCGCGCGCTGGATCGGCCGGCCGCCTCCTCCTCGATCCCCGACACTTTCCCATCACGGCTCAACGTGTCCACTGCACGCGACGTCCGGACGATGTATAGACCAACGTCGTGGGAGTCGCTACTCGACGCTCGCCACGTAGCGACGACGGCGGCACGAGGAAAGTTGCGGGAAGGGTCGCGAGACCGACTGGCAGTCCATCCAACTTTTTCGAGGATTCGACGAGCTGGGCTGCAAGCGGGGCTTCACGCGAGATCGCCGAGCGCTCGCGTGCAGTACGGCGACGAGGCCGCACGCGAGCGGGTGGCTTTGTATCGTCTTTCCGTGGTGCCGAATGTTTTCGGGCTTTGATAAAATTAGCGCTGTTTGATTAATCCGCGCTCTTGACAGAAGCTGCCAAATAAAGCGACAAGCCACGAGGCAAACCTGTTAAATCAGGCGTCCAATTGTTTGCCCAACCAAAGCTCCCACTCCCCCCTCTGACGCCGCTAGCCAGCCCGGCTTTCATGAATAAAACACTTTCGTCACTGGTGCGCGTGGCGAGAGAGAGAGAGAGAAGGGGGGAGGGCAAGTTTAATACAGCTGCGCGAAACTTGCTGGGGCAAAAGTTAATTGCGAGCGGCAAGCTCCTGGCCTCAAAGAGTATACCTGCCCCCCCCTCTCTCTCTCTCTCTCTCTCGCTTGCTCTCGGCTGATTAAATTAACAGCCACCACGCCCATGAATATCAATACGGTCGGCGGCTTATTTTTTCCTCCTTTTTTCTTTTCCTCTTTGTTTTCGAATTTCATTTTTTGCTGACGTCGCGAGCTTTTTATCGTTGCTGGTCTGACGGTGGTCGAATGCGCGAGGCGAGAGAGTTTTGCTTCGGGGAAACGCGAAGTACATGACGCAGATCGAAGACGGGGATCGTGAGCAATTTTACTCGTACGGAATTTCTCCGTCAGCATCGGATGAGAGGCTCGAATATTTAAAAATGAAGCGAAGGTCTTGTGCCGACGGAGGCCATAATTATCAATGGCTTATTTCCATTTTTCTGCTATATTTTGTCGAGGATAATTATTTTGCGCGGTTATCCGATTACAAAGATCAGCGTCTAGCAAGATTTAGCCTTCCCATAGAGTAGCGGATTCGACACGAGTCTGCCGTTAAATGCATTACAGGAGTGTTTCCACGGCAGCGGAAAGACGAGCAAACTTTAACACAAAGCCTACGAAAAGTGCACCATGCCAACTAAATACTCCGCAGTTGGAGGAGCAGATATTGCGTCAAGCCGTAACTGCCGCAGATGGCTAATTTAGCAACCGCAGCGGCGACAAGCTTCGCCACGAACAGTGCCAGATTCGTACCTCGGATTTTTCGTGTAGTTGAGCTGCTTCGTTTATTTGACGAACCTGCAGTTAGCCGAAGCGTTTTGTTAAACCAACCGACGGGTCGCTTGGACAATCGCCGTCGACGGTGATCCCTCTCGCGCTCGACGGGTCGCTGTGGCGTCCTCATCTCTTGCGCATCGCCAACGATTGTCCCGTCGGGTGGTCGATTTCGTCGGTCTAACGAGGGTTATCGGTCGCAATCGCCGCTCACCCGTTATCGCCGAATCGAAAGGAAACTCGACGCCAGCGGATGACTCGATTGAGCACGACATCGATTACAAAAGTAAGCCGCGAGTGCGCAGCTTGCAACAAAGCGTCGTTAACGTGCGACGTATGACGTAATTGGATTCGACGCGCGCGCGTATGACATTAATTGCGGATGACCTAACAAACTGAAATTACACTTGCGCGCAACGACGGTCTAATTACTCAGTTTTGCACGCGCCCGCACGGACCCGATTTTTCGGGCGCGAAAGGACGTTTTTTGGTTCCGCGAGACCGCAAATCACGAAGGGAAACTAATTGGCCCCGAGAGAATATATTAATCGAGACTTAACGTCCGCGAGAGAATAACAATGCCGGAGGCATTTACGTAAGGGTTTGCGGCGCGCGCGCGCGAGAGCGAAACGCCAAGCCATGCGCGAATTCTCTCTCTCCCTCGACTTCCTAGCTGTTTACACTCTCGACATTGTCACTCGAGCCCCTGTAATTTCCAAGTCGCTCGCTCGCAGCCACTTTGCATATTATCTCAACCGTGACCTATACGCGGCAGCGCGGGTTTGTTGACTCGCCTCGGTCAGGTTCAGTTTTACGGAGCCAAGGAGAAATCGCGCGCGACGCGCGTCTGGTGTCTCTCGAATTACGCGCGCGTTTTCCGTGCGTTCGCCAAGATTCACGAGCGCGAGCGCAATTACGACACTCCGCGCGCGCCACGGCGCGAAGATTAATTTTTGCTTTCACTCTTACAATCAGGAAGTCGCGAGCTGCGCGATATGCGTTAGCGTATCGAAAGATCTTTACGGGAATCCCGGTTGGGTCGCGCATCGCAGGCGTAACCGCGTTCGCGATTTTTCGCGAATCGCAAGCGGCGAGGGCACGAACGGCCAAGCCGCTGGTCTCGCGCGCAGGCAAAGCAACGAAACAAAGGATCGGGAGGCGGCGAGCGCGCGCGGGACAGCTCGACTGGGATCGCGGCTGGGCCGCCGCGGACGCCCGAGCCGGGTTCCGCAACGAGCGACGCGCGGCGCGCGTACGCCGAGCAGGTGAGAGGTGTTTCACTTTCGGTGGGCGCGAGAGGGGCGGAGGGAAAGCCAGGGACTACCGGAGTATAAAAGCGTTCGGCGTCGCCGGGGGAGGCATCCAGTGCAAGGCCGGGACGAGACGAGCGCCAGGCCCGCTCGTAGCTACGCACGACGTCTCTCCGTGTCGCGCCCACGTCGCTTGCAGCATGCGTCTCTCGGTAAGTGCCGGCGCCCTCGGCGGACCGAAGCCGAGCCCGAGCTCCTCCGAGTCGTAAACGTCTTTACGACGAGCGCTCGTTTGGGCGCCCCGGTAAACCGGCAAACGACGATAACAGTCGCGCCGTCTAAGTATGCCGCCGAACCTCGGGAACGGGACTGGCATGCCTTGTTCTCCGTTGCAGACGACACTCTGGCTGCTGGGCCTCCTGGCTCTCGGCTTCAGCGAGGAAGCCGAGCAGCAGCAGCAGCAGCAGCAGCCGCCGCAGCAGGAGGCGGCGCCCGCGGCCCAGCAGGAGCCAAGGGCCGGGGACAAAAAGCAGGAGAAGCGCGGCCTCGGCGGCTGGGAGGGCAGCGACGGCTGGGCCGGCGACGCCTCGGCCTGGGGCGCCGGAGCCGGCGAGAGCTGGGCCAGCGCCAGCGCCGGCGCCGGCGAGGGCCTGAGCCTCGGCGAGGGCTGGGCCAGCGGCGGCAACCTCGGCGGCGACCTCGGCGGCTGGGGCCACGAGGAGCACTCCAAGATCAAGGAGATCAAGATCGAGAAGATCGTGAAGGTGCCGTACGTGGTGGAGAAGAAGGTGCCCTACCCGGTGGAGAAGCAGGTGCACTACGCGGTGAAGGTGCCGGTGCCGCAGCCCTACCCCGTGGAGAAGAAGATCCCCGTGCCGGTGAAGGAGACGATCAAGGTGCCGGTGCACGTGCCGCACCCCTACCCGGTGGAGAAGAAGGTCTACTACCCCGTGCACGTGCCCGTGGAGCGGCCGGTGCCGCACAAGGTCTACGTGCCGGCGCCCTACCCCGTCGAGAAGAAGATCCACGTGCCCGTGAAGGTGCCCGTGCCGCAGCCCTTCCCCGTGGTCAAGCACGTGCCGGTGCCGCACAAGGTGGTCGAGCACGTGCCCCAGCCGTACCCCGTCTACAAGAACATCCCGGTGCCCGTCAAAGTCAAGGTCGACCACCCCGTGCCCTACCCCGTCGACAAGCCCTACCCCGTGCACGTGGAGAAGAAGGTGCCCTACCCCGTCTACAAGAACGTGCCCGTGCCCGTGAAGGTGAAGGTCGACCACCCGGTGCCCTACCCGGTGGACAAGCCGGTGCCGTACCCGGTGAAGGTGCCGGTGCCCCAGCCGTATCCCGTCATCAAGAAGGTGCCGGTGCCCGTCGAGAAGGAGGTGCCCTACCCCGTAGAGGTGAAGGTCGATCGGCCGGTGCCCGTCTACGTCGAGAAGAAGATCCCCGTGACCATCCCTAAGCACGTGCCGGTGCCGATCAAGGTGCCCGTGCCCGTGCCCATCCACCACCACCACCACGAGGAGAAGCACGAGGAGTGGCAGGAGCCGTCCCACGCCGACTGGTCCGACAAGGCTAGCGAGGGCGGCGAGTGGGCCGGGGCCGAGTCCGGGGCCGAGTCCGGGTCCGAGTCCGGGGCCGACTGGTCCGAGTAGGCGAGGCCGCCGCTCTGTCCCTCCCCCGCCTTTGTACATTTATTAGCGATAAGCGCGAGACGACGGCGGCCGTGCATCATTACCTTCCTTCTACCCGTCATCCGTGCGCCGAGTACACAGCCTCGAGGTACACTCGCCTGTGCGCGCGTAGTCGGCAGCGTCGCGCGAGCGGACTGCGCCCAAATTGCTCGCCGTCCTCGGCAACGCTGCCGCCCGCGACTCGCGGTCTCTCGCCAGTTCCCCTAGCGAATTGTACTTGTAAGCCCGCGCGGACTGCGACCAATGTAAATACGACGGATTTTTATATGTTTTTTACTCTTTCGGAAATAAAATAAATAACGAAATGAATAAGCGGCGAGGCTCGAAAAGCTCCCGAGACGACGGCTTGCTGGCGTTGTCCCCAGTACGTTACTGGCACGACCCCGGGCGACTTTAGTCCATTGTATGTGCGAGTTGACTTTTATGCTTTTTTAACGAATCACAATAAAGTATGGAAAGAGAAAAATCGAAGCGAATCGAGGAAGTCATTGATTTACGAGCACACCTTATCCGATGCTTTGCGCTCGAGCGAGCGCGCGCGCAAATGGAGAGAAAGGCGAGTGCAATTTCACCGGCGCCTTCGTGCGCACTGCGAGTTGCGCAAGAGCTGGCTGCGCTGGATTTCGGCCGGAGAGAAGGCGCAAGCGAGAATACGCAAGCGAAGCGGCGTCCGCGCGCAGGAAGAGCGCGCAATTAAGGAGCAAAGCCAAGCTCGCCGACCGAGGCGGCGCGGCGGCGTAACAGGTTACGCGGCAGCGGGCGCGCGTCACTTTCACTTCGCTCGGGCCCGCAGACCGTCCGAGCGCGCGCGATCAAGTCCACGGCCGATCGTCCTTCTTAGCGCCGTAGCTGCCGCGCGAACACTGCGACAGGGCGTGGCAACATCCGCTCTCCCGCTACTTCCTTCCCGACGTATTTTCCCATTCCGAAACGGGCCCGGTCGCGATGTCGTTGTTGCCGAACTTGTGATGCGTCCGCGCGCGGTTCGACAACTGCGACACTCGCTTCTCTTTGGAGAATGCACTTTCGCCAAAGAGACCCTCATCGATTATATTCGTATATGGGCACTGCGCGCGCCGGAACCACGGGACACTCGCTTCGTTGAGCTTGGCGTCGGCCCAACGCGAAGCTCGACGCTCTCGACTAATAATTTCCGCGACTGGGGCGCTGCCCGCCGTTTTCCCCGACGTCGCGGCAGCCTGCAAGTGCCGATCGCGAAATTTTCCGTTCGTTACGTTCGCGGAGCACGCACTCGAGCAGGCGTTGCCGGAAGCGAGCCAAGGTGCTCGGTTGCCGCGATTCATTCCCATTGCCAGCTGCTGCCGATTCCTACCCCGCGATCGATCGCATCGCACGTATCGATTACAGAGAGGCGACGACGCGACAGTGCAACGCCTGTCTCGTGATGCGTGCACCGCCGAGACATTTTGCCGCGAGCGCGCTCGACAATCGTCCGCCTCGATATTATTAGTTCCGCGGTAAATTTCGCGTGTCTAGATATCTTGCAAAGCGATAAATCTGCGTGCGTCGCGATATTATCGGCGGCTGGCTCGCGATAAATTTCGCCTCTTTATGCGCCGGTGAAATTTAACGTTAATAAATGGCGAGTTCGGCTGGTCGCTGGGAAATCAGTCGCCGCAGCACAACAGGAGCATATATTCGACGGCTCGCGTGCACAAAAGCCGCGGGCCCCACAATGTGGAGCATCGACCGGCAAAAGGCCACGCACCGCGAGGCGGCGGGTTAAAAGGCTGGCGGCGGCGGTGGCGCGCGACCAGCTGAAAGAGCCATCGCGAGATAGCCCCACCCGAGCGCCATCGCCTGCAAGGTCGGCCCACGCCCGCAAGGCCGCTTTTCCCCGGGTGGCGAGCGACGCCGAGAGGCGAACGACCGTACGACAGTGAAAGCCGCCTTACACCGGCAGTCTACGTATAATTGAGTGCGGCGCCGCGCGTAAAAATGCTTTATCGCGCGCGCGCTCAAATAAGCTACTCGTCGTCTTCCGGCACATTTGTTATGACGGATCGAAAGTGCTTCCGAGTGTTGCCGCATGCTGCACTACTGTCTACTTTATTTTTTATGTAATTTCTGACTTGCTCGCACTGAAAAGTACACCGTTTTTTTCCGGCGAGCTTGGAAAATTCGTTATATTTGCACACATTAGAATATTGTTGCGTTAGCACTTTTATTATTACGTATCAGGCATGTACTACTTGGCAAATGAAATTATCATTAAATAAAAATCGAAATATAATGCAAATTCAGATTTTACCGTTGATAATATTTGCTTGTGGTTGAATCGCGGGTCATTAAAAGCTGAAGTAATTAAACTGTTATTATGACATTACGAAGCTGATTTCTACGGATAAAGAAAACCATTAATTTCCAGTTTCGAACGTTCTCGAATAAACTAAGATTTCGAAAGGCGAATATATATAAATTGAATAAAGCAGAATTGACATACACGTCCATAATTACACTGGTTTTCTCTCAGCTCGCGATACTTTATTCAATGTTGCAGTCTGCGTGGAACACGCGCGCATTGAAAGGAACGCCGTCGCGGCGGCAAAATGAAATTCACGCTCGAGCGGTCGATTAAATTTTTCCCTCGCTCGATTAAAAACTTGTGCATACGTATCGGCGAGTAAGACATACAACGAACGTCGCCTATAAATAAATAAAAATAAAAAAGGAAAAAGTCGAAAGCATATGCGCGCGGTTACCAATAAGTTGCTTGACTTATCGCGAGGGTTTTCACGGCAAACTGGATACGAGGCTTTTTTCGTGGTTTTTTTTTTCGTCGACGGACGCCACTCGGAAAGCGGCTAATTATCCGAGCGAGCGAGGCAAAGTGCAACGGCGAGAGGAGAAGAAGAAAAAATTGGTCGCGCGCGGCCGAGTTGCGCAAGAGTGTGCACGCGTAACCTCCTTACGAGGAGCGTTGCTGCTCCTCCTTTCACCGCGCGTCGCTGGACGCGTTGCGCTCATTTTCCGCGCTTCGCGAAACTTGCGCGAGCGGCGTTCCCTGCGCGCCTCGTCGCCAGCAGGCCCGCGCGACCATCGGCGAGCTTCCGATCGCGGGGAAGCGAGCGAGTCGAGCAGAAGTGAAATCTGGACGGGCGGCTCGCGTGCGGGCGTTGCGCAAGTCCGGCGCGCGGGGAGGAGAGGGGAAACCGGTCTGTCGCGGAAGATCGTTAATCATCGTGTAATTGCGCGCCAATTTTTACGCGAAGGCCCAACCCAAGCGTATCGCGACGCACGCGCTTTCCCGTGGTTAGCGTTAACGGCCCGCCGTGCTCTCGCCTCTTCCTTCCGTCGATTGCTCCGCGAGCCGCGAGATCGTTTCTTCTCTCCCCTCGCGGCTCGCCTCTTTTCTCCCCGCCTGTCGCTTGTCCAATATTCCAGCTTACGCAACGATCAAACTCGCGCACTCGGAACGCACGGCGCTTCTGCTGCATTCGTAGTAACAACGGTATCCGTAATAGCGCCGGCAGTTACTCGCAGTACAGCTGCCCGAACGGCATCTCGACAAGACCTTCGAAAGCTAATTAACCGCCTAAGCGTTGGCCGGAAGTCTGCTCGTAAATTCAAAAGTGAAAATTCAGTCGGTTGTTTTTGAGCCATTTCAGCAACGCTTCAGCGCGAATCTTGCGCAACGACCTTACGAATCGTGGGTTACGAATCGATGCACCCCCAGCAGCGAGAGCGAGGCGACGACGTGGCCGGAGCTTCTGCTCTGTCTCTGCTCCTGCGACGCGGCCGAAATAGGAGCGAAAGCGAGAGCGAGCTAGACGCGACGAGTCGGCAAGCCAAACAGCGACATCGATCCGCGTAGGTGGGCAGCTCGTCGGGCTCCGAGGCTCGCGCGAAACTCCGTTAAAAGTTGAATATAGCCCGCAAGACTACGGAAAGTTCGGACGTATGAAGGGCGACGCCTTGATTTCCCTGTAGGGCAGTAGCCACCTGCGCGCGGTATCTCCGAGTGAGCTTTCTTTTTGCTTGCGAGCTCTCGCGAGCTTCGGCGGCTCCCCTTGCCGGCGGAAAACAACGAATACATAAACTTTCGCCGGCAGCAGCGCAAAAATAAAAAGGCAGACGCCGCGCAGCCGACTTTTGTTTATTGTCGCGCTACTCACGGGCGACGCTTCCTTGCTCATTTATTTTTTCCTCCCGGGGACCAAGTTTTAACTAGTTCATTAGTCGGCGCCGCGACACGCCACTCCTTTCCTCTTTATCGTCGCAATAACGACATTTGTATCCCGGCCTCCGAACGTTGGTTGGCTTTCGAGAAAAGCTTCGCGGAACGATCGTCGAGAAGCCGCCCGACGGAAAACTTCCGATCGCAAAAGTCGGCGCTCAAAGCGAATTGGCTAATAGGTTTATGCCGCCCGCTGAGAGCAGCGGAGCCAGCGGCGTAAGCGTGCACGCGGCGTACCCGAGAATATATCGTTGCGCAAAGCTCACGTCGGTTTCGCTACGAAACTCGCGCTTGCCGTTTCAGCCCACACGGGCCAGTGGAAAATAAACACGCCTGCGTGCTTGTTATCCGTGCCGATTCAATTTTCTAGATTATATCCTCGTCTTTATTTCATTCGTCGTCAAAGGAGAACCGCAAGTTTCGCCGGAGTTCCGCAAGTCAAGCGCAACGAGGCTCTCGCTGCTGCTGCTGCTGCTACTACTACGATTAGTTCGGTTGCTGCCCTCGGGGGGACGCCGCCCTTTGCCAAGAGACCACCACCACGGTCTCCGAGTATTTTTGCTTGATATTCGAGTTGTCGCGATCCTTTGTTTGCTGCGCTAGCTCACTTTCAGCTCGTTAGCAAGACGACGGATAGGTGATGCATTCGTCTCTGTGATGTGATTTTCACGTCGCTACTTAACGATGCAAGAGTTATCGACGGGCGAGTGCCGAAAGTCAGAATGTTGCCGAGCTTGGCAATGTTCGGAAGCGAGCTCTGATCAAGGTGAGCTTATCGCGAGGCCAAATTAATCCGCTGTTGCGCTCGGGGTGCAGCGTCCCAGGTGACAGACTGTCACTCCCCGCACAAAGCTCCGAAATCGTCGCCCGCACTTTCGCAGGCCATAACCCTCGCTCGCTCGGCTGCCGAGTCCTTGCTCCCCCTTCGGTCAAAGATTAAGGGCCATTGCCGGGCGAGTCAATAGTCGGAGCCAAGGTAAACGCAAGCCAGAAGCGCCTTGTTTGCCCGGCAAAGACAAATTGAGTCTCGAGTTGCGATGCTGCTGCGAAACGACGCTGACTGGTCGTTTGCAAAAATATGCGGATGTAACTTTCGCGCAGTGCACTGGCGTAAACCGAGCATATATATATATATATATATATATAGGGGAGATGTCATTTCCCTCTGCGCGCGCCGGATTAGTCGCCGGTGTCTGTTTATGCGGCTTCTTTTACTATTTCGCCCGTCGTTGGATCTGCCAGCGCGTGCGATGGCAGCTGTTGATCCGAACGAGCAAGAAAAGGGAGACGTATTCGACCTGATTACGAGCGAAAAGCCACATCGAGAGCAGACCCGCGCGGAGGTTTTCAATTAAAAAGCCGCCGGCGCGCGGCCGAGCGTGAGGTATAATCGGCTTGACGCGCGGTGTCAATGGTCGAAAACAGTTGGTCAGCTGACCGCCTCGATTAGCGCTTACTCTGCAGCGGCGGCGCTCTGGATTTGCAAAGCTATATCCGCTGGAGGCGAGGGGCGATAAGAGCAATTAATGGCCCCTAACGTCCGCGCAATTAGTCCCGCGATCGGAGAACGTAGCAGCGGCAGCGGCGCGACGCGTTCCTCCGCTACCGAAGGGCGCCGAGTCGCGAGCGCGCGCGCCCCGCCGAATTAATCTCGGTCAGCGCGATGCACACGCGCCCGGAAAAGGACACGACGGGGCGGAAAAAAATTGGCTTAGACGAGTGAATTATAGCGTTGGCTCTGGATTCTCAACACGTTGGACTTGTTCTTCTTCTTCGTTCAATCTCCCTCGCTCTGTTCGTCGTCGTCGTCGTCGCGCGCGCACGGATTGCGTTGTATCTCTTTTCTCCTCGCCTCCCTTTGTCTCGCAGCTCGGCTCTCTCACTTTGCCAAGCGGGGCTTGCTTTGTATTCGCGCGAGAGCCCGAACGTGACGCCGCCGCTCCCGGCTGCTCCCGGCAATTTTCACCGGCGAACGGGATCGCGCATTTTTTCGCGATTAATCTCTAATGCACGCCAACGTCGAACAAGCCGATTCTCTTGTGCTTGATTTTCCAACGTCCGTTGCTCGTTCTCTTTCTATCCGGGGGGTGTGTGCGTGCACGTGCGGGCCGCGCGCGCCGACTAAATTTAAATTTCAAGTCCTCGTTTTTTATCGGACCGACGGCGCCCGAGGCGTTTACGAGCCGCTACGGAAGATTTATGAAGCGGCATGTTTAATAACGAGATTTCGCCTGCGCGCGCCGCGAGACTGTTCTTTATAATATATACGCGGCTCCGACGATCAACGAAATCACGCCACTGATCTGTGCGAGATTCACTCCAATTAACGACCTTAACGAGCGTTCGACGTACTTTTCCGTGCTTACAATTGCATATGCGAAGCTGACGGGACTCTCGCGTTCGAGGTGGAATTTCAACATCGAGCGTGGGGAGGCAGGTCGGCAACTTACCGCCCACGGACCTTCCCCGCGCGGATCGGCGAAGGACATCGAGTTATCCGCCGCCGGTCAGATGTCGCCGATGCTCCGATAGCAAAAGAGACCGCAGTCCAGTCGACGCGCGTCGTTAGCGCGTGGCATTCTTGAAAATACAGCCGCGCGGAGGAAAATGTAGCGCACAACGCTGGGAATTAATTACGAATAAGAAAGGCGAACACGAAACTCGCATTAGGCACCACGTAAGAGCCGATGAGAACGTTTACGATGGATAAATGAGACTTGGCGCCAGTATATCCACTCTCGGAGCTTCTTGAGAACTGCAGTAAATAACGTTGGCTACCGAGAGGCTGTGAAACGAGTTGAAACGGGTAGTCAATGGCATTTTTCATTCTAATTGCTCGTCATTTTGTTGCGAAGTGCACCGTCGTCTAGCGTCATTTCAAAATTCATGCCGCGGTACTATATTCATTATATTTATTATATTTATTTACTACGCTTCCACTCAACAGGAATACAAAATATGAATTTTGGAAAACACCTCTTAGCGTAATCAAATCATTAGTTTTATCGATTTCACGTACTTCCCCAACTTATCACACGGCCATTTTAAGAACTAATTAAACTAATTACAATACATGGCCTAACTCTAACTATTGCGTTATTCTTTGAGTTACGTAACACGAACACAAGAGAACATGGACGTCGCAGATTGAATGAGTTCCAAGTCAAGAAACATAGAATTAGCGCTTAATACCATTATTATAAAATACAAAAAGCACCAGATTATGCCATCCACAAATCTTGCTACTTTATTTCCAATACAATGAAACAGCCGCAAAGATTTGCCCACAGCGACTATTTTTTACGTGTTTATCAGTCGTGCATACCCATTTCGAAACTTTCAAATGCAAGAACTACCAAAGCAATGAAGAAATCTATCGACGAGATCTCGTTGCGTAATTTGTTTTGAGAGCTTTTCTTTATGTTCAACCTAATTGGAAAAGAAATTTCGAAAGAAGCCAAATTAATCCAAGGAATCGAAGAAATTTAACAAGTTGCTGAAATGTAATAAATCATTCGTTCAACACGCGCCAATCATATCTCACAAAAAGTGAGCAGTGGCAATAAAAACTCTTCAACCGATGAACGACCCTCTCTGTCTTATCTCGCGAGACGCATCGATTGCTCCTATCGCTGTGTTTCTCGTGACTTGTTCCCAAATACTTACTCTGTCGTTTTGACATATTTCACGACGAGCTGGCCTTATTCGATAGCTTTACAATTGTAGACAATACGCGAATACGATCGTTGGACAATCCATTGTTTGACGTGTACAGGGTGATCACGATCGCATTTCAAATGTAATAACCGCAGGAGTCCCTAACCTAACCCAAGAGTCAACAACTTGAAAATAAGGTGATACATATGACCGTAGAAGAAATAAGCCTGCGTCATTGTCGCGGTCCCTTCTTCGGTTCGTCATGAAAAACACTCGCCAAACAGCTGCCAGTGAGCCTCGTCTACGTCCACCTTCGGCATCGGCCAAGTGCAAGCCATGTAGTAGCAAACTTGCGTGGCACTCTTCTCGATCAAGCCAACGTCTACACCTGACCTGTCGCGCCAGCACTTGTAACTCTTGGCTGCGTGTACGCTCGCCAATTCGCCCCTAGAGTCCACCCTGAGCACGTCCAACGCTTCCAGGCCATTGGCAGTCGAAGCGTTTCCATAGCCGACGAGCAGCAAGAAGCCGCCGTCGAATGTATTGCGCATCTCGATGACGGCTACTTGTGAAGATTTGAGGGCGATGTCGACGCCTATCAAGCCTCTGCCTCCGGCGTCGAACAAGGAGCACTGAATAACCGGCTCGCCGGTCGGCTGCTGGCAGATCCCCAGGCTCTCCTCGATCGCCGACATCGCCATCGCGGAGATGCCTCTTCGGAGATCGAACGGCGACCACGAGTACGAGTGCTCGAACAGTTTGCGCCCGTCGGCAGAGACGAGCGTGACGGTGCCCTCGTCGAGGCAGAGGCTCCGGACGGCGTAGGCCAGCAGGCTCGTCGACCGGCGCTCCCCGACTATCGGATAAATCTCGATCGTCGCGTCGTACTTGGCCTCGAGCGCTGCCACTGCAAACAGTAAGCGTGAACGTTTTCGCTCGCGTCTCGACTCCTCGACTCGAAAGGAGATCGGGCGGGTACCTGCGACGGAACTGAATTGGCCGCTGCGCGAGTCGTAAGTGACCTTGCACCGCTTGTCCCTGCCGCAGAGATTCTCGTTGCGGAAAAACAGATCGAAACTCTCGGCTCCGTTCACCACCACGTTCAGGTTGTGAATTTGCCTCTCGTCCTCGGCGTAGATCTCCGTTTGGCTCTTCGTTTGATCGCATTCGCCCTCGCTCTCGCGACCGTCCGCCGTGATGCCGCAGATCGCCGGCTCGTAAATCTTCTCTCGCTGCTCGCTGACCAGCTGGTACTTGTCAGTCTCGCAGCTCTTCATGCGCACCACCTCCACGCGCAAGTGGTCCTTGTGGTATTCGAAGAGCACCGGATACGGAATGTAACGACGTCGCCTCATCGGCGACCGATCGACGATCTCGCGCCAAACGAGCACAAGCTGGTCGTCGGCGAAGCGCACCAACTTGAACTGCCTCGCGACACTGCCGCCGGTCCATATCGGATGCAGTTTCAGGTCGCAGCTCCGCGCGAAACTCCTGCCGGCGGGCGTGCTCGTCTCGACGGTCAGTCTGCACCTTTTGCACGGGCGCCCGACGCCCCCGGAGTACTCGTGCTCGTTGCGACGACGGCAGGTTGCGTGCGCGAAGCTCACGGCCTCGTCGATCGAGTAGCTCAGCGTAAGGTCGTTGGGACCGTGGTTCAGGTGCTTGGTGACACTCGGAACGGACGGGCGGTGCGATTGCGCGCCCGCGCACGCCAGTAGCGCGGCTGTCCACAGAGCTGCCCGCAATTTTCCACGCGACATCTTGCCCGACGGTCGCCTCTCGACGTCATCTTCCGACACCGACTGCCTCGCGTGTTCGCGCGAGCGGGCTCATCGATAAAAAAGCCGATTGGGAAAGAAGAACGAGGAGGAAAACTGCCATTGATATGCTCGTATCTTCTTACGATGACGGTTGAATCATCTTCGAATTTGAGTATTAATAGACTCAAACGGTACAGTACATCGATTTCATGCTGTTTCGCTGTCAAATTAGGAATATTTTTCAACAATACACTCGATAAGCAGGATGGTTTCCTCTACTGCCATCCCTCCGGCTGTAGAGAGCGAAGACCCACTCCTGATAGTTTCGCGAATCTAGGAATCTAGCAAAGCGATCCGTAAGGAATCCAAATGGAGTGATTCAAAAGTCATGCTCGATTCTCGTGAGTTGTTCACTCGTAACTCCAAACGACATTTTCAGACGGTTTACGACGTTAACTTCCGTCAATTCACATATTTTTCTGCTTTCGTACATACTTTTGATCAACACGTTTCCAATATCTGAATGTACCGAACGAGCTTCATACCCAATCTGGGATCCAATTTTCAGCCAGTAATTGTTTTTGCGTTTTTCAGTGTGGAGCCTAGATAATCTGACGCTTAACACCTGCCTCTTGTGTACTCGTCTAAAGGAACAAGAACTTACGGCGAAGAAGAAGTTGAGGAAAAACATGTGTTCAGAGGCCATTTTAAGATTCGACTTTCCAAGTTCGACGAGCCGAGACGACGTACGCCAAGTAATAGTTATACACGAGGAGACTGAGCAGCGCGATAGAGAGGAATAAGATGCGGCTCGATAGCTGTATCGTCTTGATCTCCGTGCCTGTAGCGAAGAGCATTTTTTTTTTTGGAGCCTCTGGTATAATGTGCGACCATCTCTTCAACGGTATTACTCTGTTACACTGTAAAATTTAACATTTAAAATTTAAAATTTACACAATCCACTCTAAACGCTCCAATAACCGTATAAAGTTAGATTCTTTTTGCAAACGACAAGGTCCACGAAGAGTCCAAAGGCACTGTCGGCGAATCGTTCAGGACATTCGTCCGATTGTCAGTTCACCATAAATACTGCATATCCAGCAACAAACGCACGCTTATCTTTCGACACGTGGCTTTTTAAAATCTTACGGCAAGATATATGGAGTGAATACTCTCCACATCGCGACAGTGAGTATCCCAAAAAATGCCAATTTCACGATACATCGAATTCGTCGCGAACTGTTATCCAGTCACGTTAGTCCATACATTAAACACAGCGGCCACTCTGTTCTCGTTCAAGTGCTTTGTCAATAAAATATCACTTAATTAATAAGCCGATAAACTTTAGTATTAGCGAGTAACAATATTTGACGACGTATCATAATTGGACGAGCTCTATAACAAATGAAAAATCAACAATACAAGGTTTATGCTTATATACAATGAATAAATTGAAGTAAAGGCCACGTTTCGCATTCCGATAAAAACTTATTACGTTTATTACCACTGTGATAAATTACGAAAGTTGTAATTATATAGGTTATTCCCTTTCATCGTTGACAATTTTAGTGCTCACGTTGATCGAATAAATATTCAATTAATCTTTTCTTCACAAAAACGTGTACTCTTTTTTTTATTGCGAGTACTTCGTTATTGGCCAGTTTAAAAATTCTTTCCAAAGAAACTATTATTACTGCTCGGCTAATATATCAAAATTAGATAGTCCCTTATGATGCCAGGTCATTTAATCGCATTACGCATCATGTTATGCACACATCGGATAACGACGGATAATGACGATATTTAACGTGAAATAATGATGAACTAAAGTAGCTTATTGATTTTCCTTTAAGCCTTGTTAGTGGAATTCGTTCGTACTGTTTCTTAATAAAGTGTGCTCTTTCATTAAGCACATCAAAAATTGTACGTTGAATTGTATTAAATTGTAAATGTTAGACGCTCTGGAAAGTCGACGTATCACTCGTAGTGGTACGAAAAAATTGCAGAATTTATTCATTTCTCATAGTCGTTAGTAAATAAAAACACTTTGAAATAGATGAGATTTGTCACTGTTGGCGCTGCATCATGTATATTTAGTACATACTATAGCAATATTTTATGTGAAAGCAGAATAAGCTAAAGGAATTAATGTTTTTCTTGTATCTGAACTAATTTTTTGACCAGTAATTTTGATGAAATACCTGAATTTCCCGAAACGGTAATTACATGTACATGGATCATGTGTCAGGGTTTTGTGTAATTTATCGATTAATTTCCAAGATTCGTATAGTAGTAATCGAGTAGTAGCGAGTGTTCACGAAATGGCCAATTTGGTAATATTTCGTATATGCCGCAGATCGTTGTTCAGGCCATACATTGATCGCGGCAGTCAGTCCTCCTCTTGTTGAAATGTTTCATCAATAGAATGTCCTCTAGTAAACAAAAAAGTATAAAGTAAGTTACTTTATTAGATGATATTTTATTATAAACGTGACTACAAGAAATAAATTCGCGATATCTGTCTTTTGTTTAATAAATTGAGGCGATTATTGGAAGGCGCACACATTACGAAAGCTTCGTCATGCTGCACCTTGAAAATCCTTGCTAGAAAATACATTACTCTTTGAAGAAGGTTAAAACAATCAATGTGGATCAATCGCAGCCGGCGAAGTATGCACGGATCGTGCGTATAATGGCGACACACACACACACACGTGTCACGTAAAATAATATATGACGAGCTCAAGTACTTTACTGATTCGCTTTCAAGGCTTATCTATGAATTTCTTTTTGCAAAGTTGTTGTACAATCAAGAGTTGCATTACAGAAATTAGTTTAACATTGGATCGTCGACACAAGGGCATTCCTCTTTGATGATTGCGGTGAAAGCGTAATGTGACGGCTACGCGGCTACGGCGTGTGGCAAGGACCGTGTGGATTATAAAGGCGAATAAAACTCGCGTAAAACTGCTGCGAGCCATGAAATTGATCGACAAGTCGTACGTTTATAGGAGACTGTCGCGATGCCGAATCCATCTTGCGCGCTGTTCGCGAAACTCAGCTGGTAGAATAATTGTTCGGTCGAAAAGCACAAGTTCGAGTCCGTACACAACGAGAGCCAGCAGGGCTCCCGCAGCCAATAGAATGAGATGCGTCGCAAACTCGTACATATTGATACTCGATGCATTTAGGATGTCCTTCCGGCAAACGGGCTTCCTGTACTGCCACCTCCTGAGCTGCCGGTAGCGAAGGCCCACCTCGGTGATTTTGATGAACCTGCTCGCGAGGATCGAGTTAGCTTAGCCGATGGCGCGCGAGCGATCGAGCCATACCCTATCTTCAGGATCTCCTCGAAGGTGCAGTTTTTCGTGGCCGCAAACATGGTGTCGATCGGCCGACCCCAGTGCACCTCCATCAGCTCGCAGATTTCTCGATTGTCGTAGTGCTTCTCGATGAGCGCGTAGGCGACGTCCGGGTGCACGTGATACGCCAGGTGACCTCTGCGGACGAGCTCGATAGCCACGTCGGGATCGAGAAACTGCTGCGCCTCGGGAATCTTGAACCAGTACTGCTCGTGGAACTTTTTGGTTTGCTTGTCGGGCGACTGAAAATTAGAGATCGCGGGGAAGATTAGAGTGCCGTGGGCGACGGCCAGGCGTCGCTCGTGCATTACAGCGAAGTAGAAGCTCAAATAGAACATCCGTTCCGAGGCCATCCTCAGGTGCAATTTGCCCAGCTCCTCCAGGGAGTCGCTGATCTTGACTATCGGCTCGTCCAGGCGAGCCGAGACCACGCACGCCGAGTAGTAATTGTACACGAGCAGGCTGAATATCAGTACGGAGAGGAAGGCGACGCGCGTCGACAGCCGGGGCATCTGGATCTCGGTACCTGCGGCAAGGAGACCAGAGCGCGTCGGCTCTTGATTGGTCGTGGCCCGAGGGCGTTACCTTGCTGGCACAGCGCGCCCAGCGTCATCGTGAACGCATTGGCTATGCACGCCAGTTCGCCGTCTCGACGGTCCCATTTCGACGTTAAAGCGAGAATGGCCATGCTCGTCAGCAGGAACAGGCCCACCAAGCACCAGACTCCGTGAACGAACGGTCGCAGCAGCTCCTCTGCCTTGATCGTCTTGGGCTGCGGATTCCGGAAGATGAAGCACGTCCTGTATAACAAAATCGATTATCGACACCGCGCGGTCACTTTGCCAGCCCCGCGGATCCACCTGAACGGCCAACCCTGATGGATGAACTTTATCAGCGAGAGCCTTTCGGTGTTCATGTTGCCCGGCGTGCCCGTCAAGTCGATGGACGAGTTCATCAGAGCTCTGACCGTCGGGCCCAAGCCGTCTCCGTGCGCCCATTCGCCTGCCTGAACGTACTCTATGCTGAGAGTGATGACAAAATGAAAGAATCATCGATCGCTGCCGAGCTGCCGCTGAACTTACGAGAAGTTGAGCAAATTGGATAGATGACTGAGAATGAAGAAGCCAAATTTCAAGCGCGCGTCTCGAGTGATGTCACGGTACTCGTGAAAGTAATCCATCAAAGACATAATATCCGGCTTGTATAATGCCTGCGCACGGGTTAATCAAGCTTGAAGCGAGTAATTCGCACCACGAGCAATTCACGCATTTCAGAACGAAACTGATCTACCTGATAAAACATAACTCTTAATTGCATTCCGTGAAGATCGGATCTTCTGATAGGTTTCATTTGCAGAAGCTTCGGATTCAGCCCGCTTCGAGTATTCCAATCGCCGTAAAATGTGACGTTCATTTCGTGACCGCGTGCTTTATACCGATTGTACACGTCGTAGAGCTGAAATTCGTCCAAGCTCGTGGACACGGCAACAACGAGGTCCGTCGAAAGGCCAAAGGCCTCCTCGTTAATGTCGCTCAGTATGTCTGTTAAATTTTCGCCAAGCACAAGCCAGAAATGGAGTTCTCCGTAGATTCGTTGATTCGTTGCCTGAAACAGCCGTCAGTGCAGCTGTACTTTGTGCTGTACGACAATTTCATGCATCGAATTAATTTCTCACGTGCAGGTAGAACGACGCGATGTTGTCGGCGCCGTAGCAGCGAGTATCGAGAAAAATTCCAACTTTGTAATATTTCATGCTCGTTGGGAAATAATTTTCTGATTTGGGCGTCAATTTTTCGAGCAGCGCAGTGAATCCGTTGTTGCTCAAGTGCTTCATTAAAATCATGTCATCTTAGGAAATCAGACGAAACTAATATTACTAGATAAAATCATTTTTACATGCTACACTATTCTTCAATTATATACCAGTCATGTCGTTACAAGAGTACCCTATGATACTCGAAGGCTTTTTATAATTGAAATAATCAATTATAAAATCGTTCGTTAAATCAGCTTCGGTGCTTGCAAACAAAAAATCAGTCATCAAAACAGTTATAATTATTTTTACACTGAAACTTCTATTAGACGTCATTGAATAGATCATCTTTTTAAATCGTTTTATCAATATTTATTACTCGTATGTACTTCAATTTCAACTATGAACGATCGAAAAGATGTTACTAATAATTTCACGCTTATGATACTGATCTAACTTTGAAACGCTTATTTCGTATTATAGATAGGATAATATTTCGATACATTTTAAGTATACTCTGTAAGTCATGTAGAATGCTATTATTTTCAAATTTCATCATCAACGATTACGTCACAGTACCAGCTACTATGAAATTTTAAACATTTTATCTGTCCACCAAACCACTTTCCTTTGAATGTCATTTAGTGCATGGCAATTTAATCGATTCCAATTTAATAACCTTGCAATTTTCTATTTTTTAAAATACACTAATATCCAATGAATCCAATTAAGAATCCGATTTTATATGACAAGTAAAGTGAGACCATTAGGATGTCGGAACTTCGTTTAAAACGATTTTACTGTAAATATTAGATGTTTAACTTCCATCAACTTCGTTAGGATTTTTTCAAAATCTCCACATTTATAAATAAAAGACGAAAATTTTAACATTGGTTTATTTATAACCAATCTAAAGTTTAATAGTACATTGTATTTTGTAAGAAATATCACAAAAATAAAAGACATTACTCGTACGTTTTATTACCTACAAATTTCATTTGTTCTTTTCAAATAATTCTTGGATTACTACACTTACTCATCTTCGCCAAACACATGTTCAAAATGTCTTCATTGCTTGGCAATTCATAATTTCGTCGCACAAATAAGTTGGCAGAAAACAAAAATACACGGAATTGAAGCAAAAAATTAAGTCAAAAGTCTACTTTTTGACGTAGTTTTTCACAAGCGATCTCGTCATATGTCCTTTTACAACACTTCTATAAACTTTAAATTTATCACCTATCATTTTTCAATCGACATATGTATTTTTTAATATTTATGAATCTTATGAGGATGCACGATCATAATATCGTATAAAGTCGAGTTATCTTTGAAATTAATAGTGGACTTTGTTTTGTCTCGTCGCTCAAGTTTGCGTCCCAATGGCAATACGCAGACATATTGTAATCGTTTAATCACGCGTAATTAGTGATTTCTTGCTCGAATAGGTTACCATGCCGGTGAGTCTTGAAATGAAAAGCAGCTATGTCCACGATGACGTGATTAAATGCATAACTCTTTTGCTCCGCCGAGCCGCAATGCAAGAGATTTGTCACGTTGTCTCGCAGCGAATTGATTTTATGCAAGCCACGATGCCAACATGATCTTGCTTGTTTTTCAGCGGTTGATCCACATTCAGTCGCATCACATGCGTCCATCACTCGCAGGCCTCGGTTGCAGCGTTGAGTTGGAACGCGACGTGTGGTGGGGTCTTGCACCACGAGTCCGTCGCCTCGACGTCCGGACTCGTGCTCCAAGAGCAATCTGACGATTTCGGAGAGAACCCACCTTCGTTGCAAACAATTGCGCCTGATTGATCGCCGCGCGAGTCCACCAGGTAAATTACGGCATTTTCGCAGTCGATTTTGCAAGTAATGTGCAAAAGCGATAGTCTATTGGAATCGCTGTAATTTACATTGCCGATGCTGCTTATTACTACCATCTGATTTAAACAAACAAATCTTTGAGGAACCTATTTTTACGAGCCAAATGAATCGCAGTCTGTCCTTTGGCATTTTCGTTTTATAGCCACACTTAAAGACAGATCTAAATGCTTCTCCGTCATTGGACTCAATCATTTTTTTAATTATAATAATCAATTAATCCTTTTCCCCAAAGTCAGTGCTGTTTTTCAAATTAGATTCTAGTTCTCGCAGCTGATTTTCGTTTAAAATGAAATAGTCGACAAACAAGTAATTCACGCACAAATGCACATCTCCGTTCGTGTACGTATTTATCGTCACTTGCCATATTGATTTCCTTAGAGATCTAGAAAATAAAAAAAATAATTTAAAGCCACGTGCCTGTGAATGCTGGATGTTTTCTGCAGTCCTAGTAACTTTTTTAGATTAAGTACAGTTAGCTTTGGTGTAATTCAATATTCGCATCATTGTCAGAAAAATGTTACGAGATTAAAGAACAGCGCTTTCGAATTTCCAATTTCAATATGTTATTAACAGAAAAAAATAGCTTTTTTCAATTTTGCGGTCGGTAAAGAAGAAAATGATTTTTGCAGCACGTGAAAGTTGTCAAATTGTAAATTTTTGCAGAAGCTAAGCGTTTGATAGAATACCCAAATAAGCAAGAAATATTTCAAAAATATTGCTATGACATACGTTTTACAATATTTCAAACATTTTCGGCAACAATCACAAATGTTACAAAAATGTTGCCACAACGTATAAAATGTCTGTCTTTGTTCCCAAAATCGTGCTATTGAAACTTTCTAGAATGCTCGTTATAATTATTCAGTTTGAGGCAGCTTTCGCGCAACATTTTTGAAACATTTTTAAAACTAGTTATGAAACGTTAACTCTTCGTCGTGGCAACGCTTCTAAAACAAATAATTTCTAGGTCAGTAGTCAAAATTTTTATGAGTAAAAAATGCTTTGTTTCAGAAGAGTTTTTTAACGAAGTTAACGTTTTGTATTTGGTTGCAAATATGTTGTAGAAATGTTAGTGAATGCTGGTCTCTAGCAACAAATACCTTGCCTAACATTCAGAAAAGATTTTAATTCTATTATTTAAAGGCTCAATCTTCGTAGCAAGATTGAGCCAGTGTTTTGTTTTTGAACAAATTGCTCTTGTTTGGGACAGAAGTAAATTTCGCTTTTAAAATACATAAGCTCACGATTGATACCATTAAGATTATCGATATCACACCTGAAATAATTGTAAGTGAGGGACTTTTATCAGATAAATTAGGTCCCTGATAAATAGTTTTGACAATTGAACCACATCATAAATTATTATAATTGACAGAGCATGTGTAATTAATGCAATGTTAGCACTATATGGAGTATGAATACTACATATCTATTCATTTAACATTTCAATCGTATACTTATTATTCTCTTATTTAGCAGAGATATTTTTCGAAAAAGTCAATTATTTGTATATACACCAATCGCCGCAATGCAGAAAGAATTCAAACTAAATTTTTTTTAATCAATACAAATCCACCAGGAAAAATTAATTCATATTTTCGTTATTTGAAATTTATAAAGTATTTAATTAATTTTCAGTCAGACAATCGCTCAAACCATTGTTTCAGAACTAGTACGCATGAGCAAATCAGACGCCCGGGGCAACGTCGTATATACATAAAGACAAAGAACCATCCACAAGCAATCAAAGAAAAGCATCGGCCAACGGACGTAGTGATTGAATTATATACATACTTACAGTCACCTCCGCGTAGTTTATTACAGTTCATCGTTCGTCATCTTTCAAGAAGGAAGCTCGTCATTTTTATTGTCAAGGAAGCAATTTTTTAATTCACTGCCGAGAGATTTATCTGCAAGGCAAAATGCTGCGATGTGTCTTTTGGATGAGTTTTTACTTTGCCCTTGTCAATGCTGACTTGCTGAGGTGAGAGTATTAATAAATACTTGCGTCAGTTCACCGGCTTTTCTTTCTTGTTGAAATGTTGCAACGTCATTATCGTTTTTGTCGGCAACTACTATCATTAATTTATCTTTGTCATTAGGTTTTTATTATTTGAACGCTTAAAATTGTTTAATGCGCAAAAATGTAGTTCTATAACTACTTAAACTGTTTTTGCTAAATGTTTAAAAATTGTTGATTAGTTATTATCTTTTTACTGTGATTTTCTCACATTTTATGACTACTTTTTGGAATATTTCAAGCTAAAAATTTTAGGTTAGTGCTCATGACGTTTTACGTGTAATCTAGAATTTTTATTTAATGTCTCACGATAATATTCTCATTCGTCATCAACTTTGACCTTTTCTGTTAATGGACAAAACAAATAAAAACAAAATATATGATTAGTCAATGAATGATAAAATACAATGTTATTCTTTTTTCAGCTAATCATTAATACATACTTGTGATCACTATTTTTGACTTATATATATTTTTATCTTTATTAATCATAAGCATAAAAGTAAGAAACAACTAATAAGCTAACTGAAATTGTTTGTAACTCAATTATTCCAGACTTCCACTTTATCGAGTTCAAACTGCTAGGAGAAAATTACAAGAGGTAGGAACTGAATTACAACAGCTGAGACTTCGTTATGGAGCTGATCCAGTGCCAGAACCATTATCTAACTACATGGATGCCCAATATTATGGAGAGATTGGCATTGGCTCACCCCCACAGAAATTCACTGTAGTCTTTGACACTGGCTCTTCTAACCTTTGGGTTCCATCAAAAAAGTGTCATCTAACAAACATTGCATGCTGCAAGTATTTTCTGCATACAAGTCTATATGAATAAGTAATGTATAATTTATTTTTCTAATTTAAAATTGAATTGTTTATTTTTTAGTGTTGCACAATAAATATAACAGCCAGAAATCCAGTTCTTACAAAGCTAATGGAACTGAGTTTGCCATTCGTTATGGATCTGGCAGTTTGTCTGGATTTTTATCTACAGACACTGTCGTTGTATGTTTTGTCAGAATTAATAGAATTGAATGTTTTTCATCATGATTAAAATATTAATTCATCATTGTAGATCGCTGGAGTGGATGTTAAAGATGTGACATTTGCTGAGGCTATGAGTGAGCCTGGACTTGCCTTTATAGCTGCCAAGTTTGACGGTATCATGGGTATGGCATACAATAAAATTGCAGTTGATGGAGTTACTCCAGTGTTCTACCAAATGGTTAAGCAAGGATTGGTACCTCAACCTGTTTTTAGTTTCTACTTGAACAGGCAAATTAATTTTGCATATTCTTCAATTCTGATTATCCAGACAAATATTTGAGATTTAATTTTTGTTTCTATCTTACAGAAATCCAAATGCAAATATAGGAGGTGAAATGATTTTGGGAGGTTCTGATCCTAATCATTACACTGGTGATATGACTTATGTTCCTGTTAGCCGTAAAGCTTATTGGCAATTTAAAATGGATAAGTAAGCTAATTAGAATTCTTAAACTGTTTTCATTAGTGTCAATAAAAACTTAGATTATAATAATTTTGACTTCTATTATTTTCAGAATCACAATTGGTGATGCATCATTCTGTGAAAATGGCTGCCAAGCTATTGCTGATACTGGAACCTCACTTATTGCAGGACCAGTTGATGAAATTGCAGGGATTAATAAGAAAATTGGTGCAACACCAATCGTTGCTGGTGAAGCTATGGTAAATATATGAAATATTAATTTATTGTTATATTTAATCTAACAATTGATTTTTCCCACTTTTCAGGTCAATTGTAATTCAGTCTCCAATCTGCCTACCATTGATTTCGTATTTAACGGTAAATTATTCAGTTTGAAAGGAGAGGATTACGTACTTAAGGTAACAATCAAAAAATTAATAAATAAATTTTTTAACGTGAAAATGCAACATTTTAAAAATACATCATTTTTAGGTTTCACAATTTGGCAAGACCATCTGTCTGAGTGGCTTTATGGGTATTGATATTCCGCCACCAAACGGTCCCTTATGGATTTTAGGTGATGTTTTCATTGGTCGCTATTATACTGAGTTTGATATGGGCAATGACCGTGTTGGATTTGCTGTTGCCAAATAAATATTTATTTTTTAAGCAAAAGTAGTTACTACTTATGTATTTTTTTATATTTTGATTTCATATTTTTGGAAAGTTTCCTGTGTTTTTATTAGTAAAAAAATCGTATGAATTAATGTTGAATAAAAAAAAGCTGTGATCAAGTAGGAAAATGTGAACCTATATGAAACATTCAATAAAAGTTGTACGATTTAAAATGTGTAATTAAAATTTTCTTATATACAAAAAATTCGACGAGAAAATTACACGGAAATTGAAACAATTTTTTTTTAATAATAAGCGGTTTCAAAACTTTTATTTACGATTTTTTACATATTAATCACATCAAAATTTATTTATAATAACCATAACTAACGTATTGTAAGCTTTTAAAAAAGGGCATGCAATCTTTGAAACTACACTCTATAAGAAACAAACTGCACTGTACACAAGACAATCATCTTTAATAATTAATTTATTTTAAAGTATCGTTTTACATAGATAAACATTGTTTATCATTAGTTTTGTCGCATTTGCGGTATAAAAACAAGAAAAAAAATCTTTGTAATCACATTGTTATCGACATTTCGATGTTAGATCATCATGCCTAGCTATACAAACAGTTTTTCAATTGAAAAAACTCGAATTGTGTAGGGTTATCAATCGTCATCGTAAACGACGCAATCCCTTAGTGTATATAACTTTATATTTTTTTCCTATTCACTTATATCGATTTCCCTCATTTTAAAGATAGATTCACTACAAAAAAATCGTGCGTTAGTTCACAACGTACATGGGTGTAAAATCAAAGATAATGGCAACCCAAAGAAAGAAAAAAAAATATTTACTTTATATATTTTTTTGTTTTTTTTCCAAGTGGTTTTTTACGTGATATAAATCATGGGCTCTCTGAAAAGGTATCGTTTATTACGTATTTTTTCTATCTTAAATCTGTAATTTCTAAACGAGAAATAAAGTAACAGCGAATCCGTGTGAAATTTCGATTACGATAATAACAAGTAGCCTTGTACTTGGATTGTTTTTAAATAAAAATTATTGCGCATTTAACTCAGTTCAATTATGTACATACAATACACATTGTTCGGCCGACGTTACACTTGTCGTGATACGATTCGCACACATTATTCGTTTCATAACGACACTTACCGCACGGCAAAGTTTTTCATTGTCAGTTTCATTTTTTTTGGGTACGATTTGACATCTACAATTGGTCTAACGCCTCGTTCTCGAGTATTAACTTCAGGCTTGTCCCATGAACCGATCAACCCCACATCTTTTTTCTGTGCATAAATAAAATAATATTTTTTTTATTCGGTTATTAAACTTTCTTAAAATTTATTTCGTACTTTTATATACTTGAAAAAATGAGGTTAAACTTACACAGATTTCACGTTATTTATCGTTCCCGCAGAACCTCCCATGAGTTTCTTTTTACTCCGGACTTTCTTCACGTAGGCCTCGATGAGTGCGGCGATTTTCTTCGGGTTAATTTCGCCCGACTTGTTGTGACAAATCTGGAAACAGACAAAAATATTGCATAAGGAGATGCAGAACACGCAGTAATATTAATAAAACAATAAAAATATTTATAAACCACCTTTGGAACAGCCTTCCGCATAATATCCTTGTACTCTTCTTTTGTTACGTGTTTCTTAGTATAATGCGGCTTTAATACTAGTTTAACTTCTTCAACGACCCTTTCTTGGCGGTTAAGTTTCTTCAAAAACTAAAGATATATATACATACATACAAATACATATGAATATAAAAAAATTAGCTCGATTCTTTAATTCCAATAGCATTTTAAGATAAATCATTATTAATACTTTACCTTATCCTTGACTTGCATCTCTACAGCACTACTTGGAAGATCATCCAAAATTTGTAGTTGATTCTCATCCATGCGCACTCCAATTTTAGAATGGGTACCTAAAAAATTACGAACATAAAAATTGCCCTCTCGCAATAACTATGCTTAATTTCTATTCACTAAAACTGAGCTTTCTAATTGTGATAGTCTTCAAGATGTGTGACAAAAAATTGTAAACTGCCAACGCCTTAACGATTAGGTTACATGTCACAAGTTTTTAAGTTTTCTCAATATTTTACAATTTGAAATGAATATTTGATCAAAGCTATGTAATAAAATGAAATGATGTATTAACTGAAATTATATAATTTATAGATGATAAAATTTGTAAAATCAAGTACTATTTAAAAATGGACGATCTTCAATCATTCTATAAACTCAACCTGCAAATCAAATAGGAAAATGAAAATACATAAATCATGAAACTATTACCCTTTCTCTTCTTATCTTTCTCTTGCTGTTTCTTTACATTCTTGGACCTAGTAGAGCTTCTGTGTACAATGGGAGAGGCATCAAAGAGAGAATCAAAATCATCCTTCTTCTGTCGATTCTTCTGTATTTTGGTTGACAATGCGACGTTGGGTGAGCTAATGAATGCAGGACTCGGTGGATCGAATAATCCATCGCTAAGACTTGAACCAGGAGAATATGGCGAAGACATGTCGATGTTATCAGTAGTGATTTCGAGATTAGCATCACTACCATTCTGACCAAGCATAGATATATTCTTCGACTGTATCTTGTTTGGTAGAGTACGAGTTGGTGGTGGCTTTGGTACTGAGTTGGCGAAGATATTAGGCAAGGTTGGTCGAGGTAGCTGCTTCTGTGTGTTTTGCAGGAGCGTGTTAGTCTGTAGTATATAGGAAATGCATATTTTTGGTTGACAATTGGATATAATATTATAAAGAAAATAGCAATGAAATTTTAAGTAAGAGTATAAGGCAAGTATCACTTTTAAATATGTAAATTATGTTTATATTGCATCAATTTATTTCCGTCAAACAAACACGATTAGAAGAATTGCTTGAACCTTTTCGTCAAATATTACTAGTGCTAAAAATAAATTATTCGAATGAAATTAGCCATTCGATGATTGGTCCAAATAAATGAATGAAAATCGAAAGAAATAACTTAGAAAAGATAAACCGAGCACTAATAAATGTGCCGCGATCGTTGTACAAACATTTACTCTTTTCACATTTTATCTCGAGAACGTCTTGTCCGTAGCCTTCAAGACGTAGCCTTACAAAAAAATCAGACTAAGATAAAGAAAGAAATGATTAAAAGGTAAAGATGTTATTCTCACCGTCAGCAAATTCCTTGGTGTGACAAGTTGCGTAGCGGTATTGAACATATTTCTCTGCACAGCAGCAGCAACAGTGGCCAGCACGGGATTCATATTCTGCGGGAATGGATTGATCTGCGAGGTAGGCACCGTTTGCGTGGTTGTCTGAGTGATGGTCGTCTGCGCGGCAATGATAATCGTATCGTCTTTCTTGTCTTGATCGTTCGAGTCGTTTAGCGGCGGAGTATTGGTGACGGGCGAGGGTTTCTTAATGGTAACCATCGAGATGATCTTAGGTTTGTCGGAAACAACTTTGGCAGTCTCTTGTGGCTGCGTCTGATCTTCCTGCGAGGCACCTTCGGATGTGACTTGATCAGTCGGTGGTTCGAGTGGTGAACTACCGGCCTGTTTCCCCGTATTGGCATCCTCTTGGCTGATGGGTTCGGGTGTTGGTGAACGTGATTTGGTTGGGTCGAACGGATCGTAGGCATCGGGCGAAGTAGGCGGCGAGGTGGGTGGCTCTGGCGGAGTGTTGGGTCCAACCTTCATACGATTCTCCAGTTCTTCTTGTGCCCTCAACTCCAATTCTTCTTCTGCTTGCTCGTCCATGAGTTCAGCCATCTCGGCTGTCATGCTCATATTAGCAGGCTCTAGATCCTCTTCTTCGTCCTCGAGCAGTGGATTGACCAAGGTCGTCCTCAAACTGCTCTGTTTATTCGCAATCGAGAACTTGACCTGTGGTTCCGGCGGAGTTTTGGGTCCCTGCTGGAATGTAGGATCAGGTCTGGCAGGTGTATGCGACTCTTGCGGTTGCTCGGGTGTGCCGATCTCCATAGCAGCAGCGGCAGCGCGCGCCTGTTTCTCCAGCTCGTCCTCGTCGCTGTCGAGTACGATGACGTCGCGTGGCGAGGGAGTCTGTTCGCGGAAGGGCGACTGGTCGAGATCGATCACCGCCATTGGCTTTTTCGAGGCGGCTATTTCGGCGGCCTTGGACTTTTTCTTTTCTTTCTTTTTCGATACCTTGACGACGGCCGGAGACTTTGCTCTCGCTATCGCGGCTGACGCAGCCTTCTCCTTGGATTTGTCTTTCTTGGACTTCTTCGCTGGCGGCTGAACCACTGGCGGTTCCAACTGCAAAGGTTCCCTTCGCCTGCGTTTTAATTGTGGCAAGAGTGGTATAGTCTCAGGTAGCTCGGGAGTCACCTGTTGCACCTCGTTGTCCTTGTTAAAGCACACGCTGACAAGGATATTGTCACCACTGGTAAATACTTCTTTGGTGGGCGGTGGACTGCGGCCCTTCTTGTTTTTTCTCTTTTTCTCCAGTTCCTTTTTCTTGCCCTCTTTGCGCTTCTCCTTCTTTTTCTTCTTGATCGCATCTTTATTTTGAAGGATCACTTTAAGATTCTTTGACGGCACACTGCTAACATTGAGCAGTCCCGGAGGAGACCAATTCCTCGCTCTTCCGATTTCCGGCATAAGGGCGAGCGGCGGAGTCTTCGATCTTGATCTTGACCTCGACCACGACGGTGCCCAGTGAACTTGATTTGCGCCCCAATTGGCCTCTCTGATGAACTGCTCGGCCGCCTCATACTCTCGCGATCTAGATCTGGATCTACGCTTCGCGTGCTTTTTCCTGCTCTTCGAGCGTTTGCGACTCTTAGACCTCGAGCGTTTGCGAACTCTTGAACGTGATCTCTCGACGTGCTGCTTTTTCCTGTCCTTCCGTCTGGAGTGTGACCTGGAGCTAGAGCGCGATCGCGACCTCGTTCTCGATCTGTGTTTTCTTTTCGCAGATCTGCCACGAGTCTTCTTGCGTGGACTGAGCGATCGCCGCCTGGGAGTGCGACTTCTCGCTCTGCCTCTCGACAGTGACCTTCGCCGAACTGTTTTCTCGGCACGTCTACCTCTCGGTGACAATGATCTGCGTCGCGACACCGAGCGATACTCTCGACTGCGCGAGCGTCTGCCTCGTTCTCGCGAATACGATCTCGATCTGCTTCTCGAGATCACCCTGCGACGCGGAGTTATCGATCGAGTTCGTCTCTCGTAGGACAGTGATCGATCGCGCGAAAGGCTTAGCGACCGACTACGAGAACTACTTCGAGGTCGAATGTCACGACCGTACTCGTCTTTGCGATCCCTTGGCTTCTCGGCAACCAGTTTTCTCACGTCGTAGCGCGGTAACTCCTTACGTTTTTCTTTCTTTTTTGAAGCATCCTTGTCCTTCTTCTTTTTCGTCTTGGCATCCTTCGACTTTGAACGTTTTTCTCTGTATTGTCGTTCCTTGGCAACCGTTTTCGTAGTCTTCTTCCACGAGCTTGCCTGTAAATTATTTTCCGAGTCGATATTCTCTTTCTCGGCTTCTTTATTGCTATCTTTTTTCTTCTCCTTCTTCTTCTTACGTTTGCCTTCCTCCTCTGCTCTTGCTTTGGCAGCCAGTAACAGGGCTCGCTTTCTAGGTCCAAGCTCGGGAATTTCGCCTTCCTCGACGTCTGTCCTCGACAGCCCTCCACGTATAGACAGCAGAGCCAATTCGTCTTCGAAATTCATAGTCTCGTCAGTCTCAGAAATTGCTTCTGTGCCTAGACCAGCGTATCCAGCTGGTGTGCGTATGCCGTCAAGGCCATCGGCCATACGTTTAGCGATAGGCGTGATTGGCTCCAAATCATTCGCCAAGAGGGCAGCACGTTTGTCTTGAGTCATTTCGTCTTGACAAGGAGTGTACATACCCTCGGTCTCCCAGTCACGAGCGCGCTCTTCAGTTGCCAATCGACGAATCCTTATTGGACTTGTTCGTCTGCGAGGTTGAGGTTCCTCGTCGTCCTCTTCGTCGAGTACGATGGAAACTAAGGGCGCAACCGTCTCTTTAGGCGGCTCAGGTTCTGGATCTTTTTTCTTTTCGTTATCTTTCTCTTTTTTCTTCTCGTCGATTTTCTTCTCGAGTTCTTTTTGAATCAGCTCTTGCTCCTCTTTCGCCACTTCTGCTTCATCTTCATCTTCATCCTCCTCCTCCTCTTCTTCTTCTTCTTCTTCTTCTTCTTCTTTTTCGTCATCTACTTTTCTCGTTTTAGTAGTTTCTTCCGTGACTTGAGCAACAAGCTCTTCCTCTAATTCTCGCTCAGCATCTTTCATTTGTTCTAGCATCATATCCATCGATTCCATCGACTTTTCCATGGACTTGATCATCTCGGCGCTCTCCAAATCGTCGTCATCTTCTTCATCCTCCTTTTCCCCGTCAGAAATACTCATGGCATCGTCATCTTTCTCCGATTCTATAATCTTTTCTTCGGGTTCTCTTTCGACGATCGGTGTTGGTGGTTCTTCAATAGGACTTGGTTTCATCATTAGTTGAACCTCGCAGGTCTTCTCAATTTCTTCAAGAAGACTATTCACTTTTGGAAGAATTTTCGCAGATTCTTTCTCTTTTTCTTGCTCCCTCTCCTTTTCTCGTTCCTTTTCTTTCTCTCGTTCCTTTTCTTTTTCTCGTTCCTTCTCTTTTTCTCGATCCCTTTCCTTCTCTCGCTCCTTTTCCTTCTCTCGCTCCTTCTCCTTCTCTCGCTCTTTTTCCTTCTCTCGCTCCTTCTCCTTCTCTCGCTCCTTTTCCTTTTCTCGATCTTCTTTTTGTACATACACGTTAACAATTTCCAAATCATCGTCTTTCGTTTTACTGTATTCCGTGTCGTCCTGGATTGTCACAATTTCGACATCCTGCGGTTTTTTGGCTTCGTCCAATTCGCCGAGTTTCTTGCCTAGAGTCTTTTCTAACTCTGATAAGTCGATTCTCACGGCTTTCGAATCAATAATAGCAGGTTTCTTTGTAGCGGTACTACTTTTGCGAGCTAGACTTTCGTCCTCTGATTCGCTGCTCGATCCGCTGCGAGAAACAGAGGCAGACGAAGACGAGGATACATAAGCTGGCTTAATGTCCCATCCTGAAGTTATGCCAGTAGTAGTCTTTTTGATTTCTTGTCGTTTGGGCGACTTACGACTACTGCGAGACTTTTTGTCGTCACGGTCTCGATCGCGGCGTGAACGAGAATCTTTCTCATGACGATACTTGTCTTTATCTGGTGATCTTCTTTTATCCCTATCCTTATCTCGATCCTTGTCTCTGTCTTTATCTCTGTCTTTGTCCTTTTCTTTGTCTCTATCCTTGTCTTTGTCTCTGTCCTTTTCTTTCTCTCTGTCTTTTTCTTTATCTCTATCCTTCTCTTTATCCCTACTTTTGTCTTTGTCCCTGACTTTCTCCTTATCCCTGTCTTTTACCTTCTCTCTGTCTCTTTCTTTATCTTTATCCTTATCTTTGTCCTTGTCCTTGTCTTTATCTTTGTCTTTATCCTTGGTTTTATCTTTTTTCTCCTTTTCCTGTTCCCGCTCCAATTCTCGCTCCCTTTCCATCTCGGCAATGTCAAGTTTCATGTGCGACACTTCGCTCTCATCAACGTCATCATACAAATTCACCTTATTCAACCTACTGACATTACCTATCTTAAAAGTGATCTTGCCTCTGGTATCCAATTGAATTTTACCCTTGTTCATATTTTGCCTCTCTTTCTGCAGGGCATCGAGATATTCCTCCTTGTGCTCTTCCTCCTCGCCATCTTCGCCTTCAGTCGCAGCAGGCGCAGCTTCTTCCTCCTTCTTTTTAGACGTTGATTTCTTTCGCTGACGATTCTTGGGTCCAATCACCGGACCGCCTTCGTCGATAGTCTCTTCTTCGATTTCTTCACCCGACTCATCGCTCTCGTCAGCGCTACTTCTCACAGACATTCCATCCTCGTCGTCACCGAGAATACTCGGTGGAGCTGGTGGTGGTTCAAGAGGACTGTCCTCATCAACTTCAAGGGACAATTCGTCTATTGGCGGAATTGGTGGCGGCATCAATGGCGTAGTCAAAGTTGTCACTGATGGAGCTACGATAGGTTGTACAACCGGCGGAGGTGCGATAGGTTGTACGACTGGCGGAGGCATGAGAGATTGGACAATCGGCGGAGCAATCAGGGGTTGTATAACCGGGAGAGTTGACGTAGCTGGCAGAGGCATAGCGACACTCGGTGGAGGTATAGAGACATTCGGCGGAGGCATAGTGACATTCGGCGGAGGCATAGTGACATTCGGTGGAGGCATAGTGATGTTTGGTGGAGGCATAGACATAGATGGTGGAGGTAACATCGACGTGGTTGGCGGTGGCATTGTTGGATCGAATGCCTGAACTGGTGGGGGAGTTGGCGGTGGTTCCAATGGCGCTACCGGCGGCGTAGGCGGTGGCACAAGTGGCTTTATTTGGGGAAGAATTTTGATTTTCGGAGCCGACTCGGTCATAGCGAGTGAAGGCCTTGATGGGTGCTCCAGTTCTTTATCGCCCAAGTCGTCGTCAATCATTGGCATTAGAGGCGGTTCGAAAGGTGGCGGACTACCAGCTTTACTCGCCAAGTCGTCTTCCATGCCGAAAGGCATTGGAGGTGGTTCGAGCGGTGGAGGACTTCCAGCCTTACTTGCCATATCCTCTTCCATGCCGAAGGGCATCGGCGGTGGTTCTAGCGGAGGCGGACTACCAGCTTTACTCGCCAAGTCGTCTTCCATGCCGAAAGGCATTGGAGGAGGTTCGAGCGGTGGCGGACTACCAGCCTTACTTGCCATATCCTCTTCCATGCCAAAGGGCATCGGCGGTGGTTCCAGCGGAGGCGGACTTCCAGCTTTGCTCGCCAACTCGTCTTCCATGCCAAAGGGCATCGGCGGCGGTTCCAACGGAGGTGGGCTTCCAGCCTTACTTTGCAACTCGTCGAGTTCGAATGGCATCGGCGGTGGCTCGAGCGGCGGCGGACTGCCAGCTTTGCTTTGCATCTCGTCTTCCATATCGAACATCGGCGGCGGCTCGAGAGGTGGCGGACTACCAGCTCTGCTTCTCAAATCGTCCTCGGACATGCCAAAAGGCATCGGAGGTGGCTCGAGCGGCGCCACCTGTGACGCCATCTCTTTCTCAGTGTTTCTGGCAACGACCATAGTTTCCGACGAGTAAATTGAGAAGTTGGGACAACCATCGTCCGAATCTTCGTCCTCTTCGTCGTCGTCATCGTCGTAAGCTGTCAGTCGAATCCTCGGTTGCTCAGTCTTGCGTGCTGGCTCTTCCTTTTTTTTGCTACTCTTTTTGTTTTCCTCATCGGGAAAGTCGAACATTCCTGGTGGTGGCTGCAGCGGTCGACTATTGCGGAAGTCCTCGTCGTCGGCCACAGAGACGTTGTCGCCTATGATCGAGGCACCGTCGCCCATCATCGACGCGCTATCGCCGATCATCGACGCATTATCGCCCATCATCGACGCGCTATCTCCCATCATGGATGCGCCATCGCCGAGCATCGACTCGTTGTCGTCGCCCTTGAGATCGGGGAAACTCGAGAATCCTGGAGGCGGCATGAGCGGCGGTACACTCGTGCTCGCCTTTTTCGCCGCCTGTGCAGCAGCATTACCGCCTTCGTCGTCGCTGTCGCTGTCCATGTCAGCGAAAGGATCGTACTTGTCAGCGCTGACTTGACCGCCGCCACTGGCAGGTTGCTCTTTTGGCGTATCGTCGATCACCAGATCCTCCTCTCTGTCACTGTCGTTACCACGCTCGCTCTCGTCAAAATCCATGAGGCCCTCCGGTGGCTCGGGCGGTGGGCAAAGACCAACGTCATCGTCGTTGTTCGACCTTTCGGGCAGGTCGTCGTACATGCCATCGTCCTCTTCGTGAAATTTTTGCGACGATCTGTGCATGTCGAGCGGCTGCTGCATCGGCGGTGGACCTGGCATTCTGTGCGATAATGGCGGCGGAGGTGGCGGCCTTATAAACCCTTGCGACTGCTGCTGATTGCCAAATCTGCGTTGATCGTTGCCTTGCTGCTGCTGATTTCTCTCGTCTCTGCCGTCTCTGTTATCTCTGCGGTACGGAGGCTGCTGTTGGCGCATCATCGGTGGTGGGTGCTGGAAGTGCGGACCAGTTTGCGAGTAGTCCTGAGGAAGGTTACTTGTACCGCCGAAGCTGTGTCGAGAGTACGAATCTCTTCCTCCCCCGGAACCGTAGTTCCCACCGCCACCGCCACCACCACTAGAGTTGTAGTTTCCGCCAGCTCCTCCGTGACTGTGACGCGTGCTCTCGCGATAGTTACCACCAGGACCTCCGCGGTAATTGCCACCGCCGCCCCGATTACCACCGCGGGGATTGTTGTACATGGGTGCTTGCTGAATGAGATTGTTGGGATCGACGTTGTTCAAATTCAACGGCTTGTCGTCTTTCTTGATGGGGCTCTTGCTGCTGTTGTTATTGACTTCGGGCTTGACGACTTTAATGCTACCGTCGTTCTTCAGTTCAATCTTGGATCTGTTGGAATGCCAGATTTCTTGACTGCTGAGAATGTCACCTAGTAGGTCAGTTGTTGTTGGTGAACTACCGATGAGACCGGCTTTGATGACGGCGCGACGACGAATACTCATTGGTCGACGTACAACTCGAGACAACAGGCCTACTCCGTCCGTTGATTGGTCTTCGTACTCGTTGTCTGACCTGTTTGTGTGGGTCAAAATATGTTTTTCGTGATATTTTGCAGACTCTTGGCTGCTATTTATTTATATATTTATGTTTTTTATGGTCGCGAAAAGAGGTGACTTTTCCAAAAAATTTATTTACAAATCCAAATTACTGCACTATCGTTTGGATAAGAGAACAAAACAGCTTTGAAAAATTGTAGCCAGAACTTTTATTCGTACGTGTCCAGGGATATTTAGCAAGTGGCTGACCATCACGTAAAACACGATTTTGAACCTTTTACAATACTGTACGTATTTATAATTTTCAATTTTTCAAAGCTGATATTTTCTTTGATCAAATGTTACACCCAGAAAAATGTTGCAGATAACAAAACGTCAATTCGTATAGCCTCTTACAAAGTATACGTTCACGCTCGTAGAAAACTCATTAAAATATATCAATTAAAATGACTGAGTGATATTAAAACACGTGTAATCATTTTTTTATTTAGAAAACTAAGGTGCAATTCTTGCTGCGTATCAATTTTCGTTATCGTGACAATTAAAGGCAAAATACACCTCTTTTCGCGCGACAATATGGATTATATTAATTATAATTGCATATATGATAAAATTAGCATTGTCATTATAAAAAATAATTATATAATATAGTTGGTTAAACAATAAATTATTGAGCTTCATGTACCATCCAGAACAATGTGTATTGTGCGCAAACATCATCCCTAATCGCGATTTTTTATCATGACTACATATCCGTACTGTCCTTTCTAGCAATGACAGTCGATACTTATTAGAGTTAATCTAGCTAACGTACCGAGTTATTTGTTGCCTTTTACTACAATCTAGTCTAATTTTTTTCTTATTAAAGCCTAACATTCAACTGTTGAATATACTTTGATACAAGACTTTATTATATATAGATCCTGCAATTTTCCTTTAATTATAATGTGCAGATTATATTTACTCTGCTGCAGGAAATGTGCTTTTAGATATTCATAGATTTTTATAAAATATGCATGCAATAAGGTAAACACAGTTCACAATAGATTCTATGGAAATGCAACTTTTTCCACAAAATAAGCAATTTGCAAATAGGAAAAGAAAGTGAGAGAGAGAGAGAGAGAGAGAGAGAGATGGAGACAGAAAGAGTGAAAGAGAGCGAGAGAGAGTAAAGAAGCTGCTTCCATAACATTCGATCGCCAATTGAGCAATTCGTTATTCGTGCACTTAAACTGCTAAGAAAAGCCTTAAAAGCGCCATTTATTAAACAAACTAAATATTACTTGGTTAAAGCTTGAAAGTAGAAGGTGCGTTTGAAATTAGTAAGATTGTAAGATTACGCGTAATAATTCTAAGTGAAAGTCTTCATTTGTATCGGCAGCAGGGTCACATTCGAACTTTGGATCAACTAATCAAACCACAATACAATAAATGGTAATAATTAATCAGATTTACTGAAAAAATCCAGCAGATTAACTTTTATATAAATCCGATTGTTGATATGGTCTGAAACAACGATCCCGACGTTCTATTCTTTACGATCAACGTGACAAAAGTTATAAAAGTATAATCGCACTAAATGAACTTTTGTTATAAATCAGCAGCCTCTTAATAAACTGCGCACTTTCGTAGAGCAATAAAAAAGTTGATCTCAGACGTCACTTCGAAAGCTCTCTAACAACTCATCAAAATGTACCTCGGAAGCAGCCTCATTACAGCATGAAACGAAATGAATGTTGAAAAAATAACAATAAAAAGTTGAATTGAAAAACTCACCCCGGTGGACTGTAGTCAAGTCCAAGTCCCGAGCCAAACAGGCTGAGTGGTGCGATACCAGCGTTATTTCGAGAGATACGCAACGCAACATTGGGATTTGGACGCTCGGGCTCGTTTTTCAACGTTGGCGACAACTGCGTAGCAGTGCCGACCCGAGCGATACCCAGCTTGGTGACCAAACGCCTTTTTGTCGTCTTCATTGAAGCTACGGTCCGACAACGAGACTGCTTCTTCCTCTTCTGTAAAGTTCAAATTCCGTCTTAGTATTTTTACGCAACATATTCAATGTGTACTTTTTCCATAGATTATTTCACTTCAATGTACCCTTAACTAATTACTCTTGTTCTAGCTCATTATGCTGTTTATGTAATTCGACCAATGTAACATTACTTATTAATAACTTTAACTAATATTAGCCATTTTGTAACGGACTAAATCTTCCGATCTAACAAAACTTTTAATCAAACCAACTTCTTTAGTGCTTTGTGCACGAATTTGAAGCGTAATATTCATTTCTTTTTCAAGTAGCAGTTTCGAAACTAATTGCGCTTTGACGATAATACTTTGAGATAATAAAAAAAGCCAAATGCATATAAAGAAATAATTTATTTATTTAAATTAATTACAAAAGATTTAAAAACAAACTGAAACTGATCAATCGCTAATATATAAATAATGTATAATTCACTAAGAACCATAATGTGAAAAGGAACACTGGATCATATTTAATAAATAATAAATGATTTAAATAAGATAGCATTTGGCGTATCCACGAAGTAATATTTCAATATAGTATAGAATATTTTATGGTACAACTAAAAAGAAAATGATTTCTAATTTTACTCTTTTTACTATTTCATGAATCATAAATTTTGAAATTAACAAAACAAGCTCCGATCCTCAATCGTCACAATCATCACAATCATCACGTCTTCGTACCTTACGCTTCTTTTTTCTGCATCTGGTAGCAGCAGCCTCGTTATTACCAGCCCTCACATAAGTGACAATTTCCTCGATTTCACCGTCAGTATTGATTTCTTCTATCTTCACTTTGCGCATTTCTTTACTGTATCGAGACGTCACTGATCTTTTACTCTTTCTTCCAGTCTTTTTCTTACTCGTAGTTCGTCGTGGTTTCGCGGCACGGACGCGCGACGGCCCTGGTCCCAAATATTCGCTTATCGAATTAAAATCTGACGACAACGGCTGCGGATTTGACAACAACGACGCGGCGACTGCTCGACGCGTACGTACAGTCTCGCGAACACGTTCACTTTGACGGGTACGCGGTATGAGATGACGTCTGAGACGATCTACCGCAGTCGACAGGGCGTATGTATGGGAACGTCCGTATGACAGACCAAGACTACGAGCCTCTTCCATAAGGTCTGGCACTTCATTAAGATCGATTTCAATCTGCAAATTAAACAGAAAAAATATTTTTATTAGCACTTCGTTCATTGGTTGTAGAAAAATTTAATAAGTTCAATTTTTGTTGGTAACTTTGTAATCTATCATTCAACGGTTATAATATAATATGTATTTACTTTACATATTTTAACGTATTAATATATATCCCTAGGATTTTCAATTTTCAGAAAACTTAGTTGACATAACAATCATGTGTATATAGTAAAAAATAAAAGCTGAATATCATATTAAATAGATTATAGAAAAGTTCTGTTTCTTCCTTTGCTCTCAAAATTTTTGAATATAAAAAAAGGAAATTCAAATATTTAAAAACTATACTTTTAAAACTTACTACTTCCGCCTCGTCTTGTGTATTATGAGCACACTCGGGGCAAAACCAGTAATCATCCATAGGAACTTCTTCCATTGGTGGATCTAAGCATTCGAGGTGATAGCCACCGTCACAGCCGTCGCAGAGAAGCATTCTGTCTTCTCGATCGCATCTCTGACACACCTCGCAATATGTTGGATCTTCGTGAACTATTTCTTCAGTTGAACTTCTAACTTGGACTGGCACATGTCGTATAATCTGTAACAAGAGCAATAACGTTAATACAAACTCCTTGTGAAACTTGAAAAAAAAAACAATTAAAAAATTAACTTACACTTCCATCAACTCTTGTCCGTACATTGATGACATCAAAAGCTATGCGATCGACAGGACAAGTATTGACATTTTTGCTCCATTCGACGAGGCACTCCAAGCAAAAGCAATGCTCGCAGACGGCGGGATTGCCGATCTCCTGTTTACGAAAGCTGAGCAAACAAATTGGACATTTGGCAGTATTCTCGTCACTAGAATCGGAATCACTTGATGTGTTTATAGTTGCTTTCTTGCGCTTGCTCTTGTTTCTGTTGATTACTTCTGACTCAGACTCTTCCATACTTTCCCAATCAGACTGCCACTCTGAACTTGTACTGCCACTATCTAAAATTTGATTAATTTGTACAATAGACAAATTGAATATGTCAGAGAATGATTTTGCTTAATAATTTTTATAAAAGACTTACCAAAATTGTGAGCCTCATTCACACCAGCTGTTAAGCTGTCAGATGTAGAGTCTTCATCACTGACAAGCTTGTTATGGAAAATCAAAGAATTAATACGGCTACATCAGAATCGCAATAGGAATCAAAATTTGAAACTTACCTTTTTCATCACCTTTCTCACAGGTCTCATAGGGATATCACTGTCGTCATCACTGCTTTCCCTCTCACTTATTACTCTCTGCATCAGAAAAAAACATTGGTAAGCAACTAAGGTCGTGAAAAATTTTAAACTAAATACTTGGAATAAAAATTAGAAACTCACACGAACTCGTCTCTTACTACGGTTTCTGTTTATAAAAGAACTATCACTGCTATCACTATCATAGAGAATAGGCTTCAGCCTTTTGGAAGGTTTGAGCAGTTTTTCGCTGTCACTTGACATAATTTTGATTGAATCTATTTGCTAATTGCACAGCACCATTAAGAGTTTTGTGTATCTACAACAAAAAATAATTCATTACAAACATTCATATCTCGCTTATCATCGAAATCAGTTTACGCGTTACAGCGCAACGTGATCGCATATTTCTTCGAAATCTACACTTCCTGGTGCGAGATAGCCTGAATGCTATAAGTACAAATACTTGCTACAAGGGGCACCGAATACTCGAACAGAGAGCGAAAGCGAACGAACGAGAGTGAGAGAGACGGGAGACGTCATTGAAATGCAACCCCAAGCTCGAAAGTTTAACGGCCGCGTCACGCCATTATTAGCGTCCCTCGTTTTCCAACAAGCCATCATAATTTCGCTTGACGTCTTACTACTGTACAAACATGCAACCTTCGACGCTCGCAGACGATATCCTGGCGGGCGTCGTCATAGCGGAGACATCTTGCCTTTGCGCGCAGACGCTCGCGGTAACCTCGGACGCAATCATACTCCAGGATGTCGCGCTTTTATAAAATTAATACTCAACCCGCGACATGGAACGATCGTAGCCTAAGGATAAGTTTACCTAGTGGATTGGAACAACGTCGTTGCTGACGAAGTTCATCGTCCCCGACGCGATATTTTCGATGCTCAAGGCAGGATACTGATACTCTGCTCTCTCACGACGGGTTCTTCCACCACTACTAGCGCCAACGAGCCATCCAAGATGGTTTCCGGCGCTCGAATGATGTGTTGTTCGGAGGGTAGGGGGGTACAGGCGAAGGGTGCTAGTAAAGCTAACTATTACACTCTACACGTAATTTCTATATACTATGAATGCTGATAGTTCTAAAAACGATGAAGATTTTAATCATATTACCTACCTTTCTGCCTCTATTATTAAATGCAAGTTTCCGTACTAATCTTCTCAAAAACTATGCATAATTTTTCCATTTAACAAAATTTATTTCTTGAGGATGAGATTAAACTTAAAGTTTGCTGGCTTTTCGATTGTTAATAATGTGACAATTGTTTATCTTGCATTGTCATACAAGAAAAAATAATAAAATAGTTGAATGCCGAGAGCGATATTCGATAATAATCGAGAAAAACGACTTCAAGAGGTCGCTCGCGTCGACAATCGCTTGTGTGTGCCGTGTATGTGGTTCTTTTGGTGAAGAAATCCGCCAACATGGGTCGTATGCACGCTCCTGGGTAAGCTATTTTCACGATTTTCGCAACTTTTCACTTGGATTTTTACATTTCCGTATGCATAAACGTTTAATGGATTTTTCTAGCTTTACAACAAATCATCTTTTATGTTGATACTCCAATTTTTCGATAGTTTTTTAACCTAAAATATCCAAGTTGATACGCGGCCATGTGTACAGCATTTTTTGTCTAATTGAGCAAATTTATTTACAATTATATATTTAATGCATAGTGTTTCACTATTTGCAATGAATACATTTTTTTTATAATTATTATGTTTGTAAGTTTCTTTACGAATGGAAACTCCCTAATTACATAAAATCCAATATGAAGTCATTGCAATTTATGAAATTATTGTGAGGTTAGGTGTACACAACCAATATTTCACATATTCAGAGAAATTCAGAAATTCACTTATGATTTGTTTCAGTAAGGGTATTTCCCAGTCAGCTCTTCCCTACAGAAGAAGCGTACCAACCTGGCTCAAGCTTACACCAGAAGATTGTAAAGAGCTGATCTACAAACTAGCAAAGAAGGGTCATACTCCATCACAAATTGGTAAGTTTCTGTGTTTTTTTTTTCAAATCTTGAATACATGCAAGCTAGCAGCTGAGATCTGACAGCTTCAAGTCTATTCTCTTCCTAAATGTTTGCTAGAATAAAGTTATTGATATTGAGGTGAATTTGTGCCTACAGTAGCTAAATTCATTTAGGTAATCAATAAACAAAGTACATAATAAATAATTTCTGTGATATTTCAATTTTAATAACGAATATGTACTGATGTTTTGTATTTTCTTATGAATTACAGGTGTTATCCTAAGAGACTCGCATGGAGTTGCACAGGTGCGTTTCCGTACAGGAAATAAGATCTTAAGAATTGTCAAGAGCATGGGACTGGCTCCTGATCTACCTGAGGATTTATACTATCTTATCAAGAAGGCAGTGGCCATCCGTAAACATCTGGAGCGTAACCGCAAAGATAAGGACAATAAATTCCGTCTTATCTTAGTTGAGTCCAGGATCCACAGGCTTGCAAGGTATTACAAGACAAAGGGTTCTCTGCCACCCAACTGGAAATACGAAAGCTCCACAGCCAGTGCTCTTGTGGCTTAATTTTATATCATTATAATTCAATAAAATATTATATTTAAAAAAAAATTGAAAATTAGTAGTTTTTCAATATTCCTATAATTTTTTTAATATTCCAAAAAAAGATGTTTTTTATTATAATGAATAGAATTTATATTTTGTACTGATAGGAAATTTATTAAAAGTAAATTATTCATGACAGACTCATTTGAAATAACTGTATGCACAAAATTTATTAATATTATGCTTACTTATTTTACAAGTCTTAGTTTTATAGTGAAATTTACAGAGGTAAAATTAAATTGCTTACGTTACAAGTCTTACAAGAAGTAGTTGAAAAATAGTTAAATTACATCGTTTGTACTCATATTTACAGTATTTAAAAATTATCCACATACTGAATGGGCCAGCAACTACTTATTAATGTCCTTCCTTGTAATTAAGCTGAGCTCTCTGCCACTTTGCCACCATACTCGACATTTCTTTCTGCTTTTTGCCGATTCCAGTTTTAAGCTGAAAAAACAACATAAATTAAATAAATATCAGTCTGAATAACAAAACGCGAAAATAATTTTAACTAAGTTTTTCTTCGCTAAAGACAAACAATGAACAATGGACAAAAATGAATAAATAATTAAGCAAACCAGCTTGAAAATATGTACCTTTTTCTTTTTCTTCTCTTTGGTCTCAGTAACCTCACCTTCCATCGACACAGCTTGCATCATCACCGGCTGCTGTTGAATGTCGGTAGTCAGCCTCATGTGTTCAGCTTGCAACCTTTCTTTTTCAGCAGCCTCAGCTACAGCATTAGACTTTTCCATGGACGCAATATCGCTGTAGAACGAATTGAGAGCCGAACCTAGGGAAGCTTCGTGCGGCATTTTAACCGGTGGTTTGGCAATCACTTGATTATTCTGGTCGTAAACCCTTGCGTACTCAGCGACCATAAATTGAGCGACTGCCTCTTGGCCCGACAACCTTGCCACCAATGCTTGCTATAAAATTGAATCAATCGTTAAGAAATCTGAGGGTGTCTATTTTGAAGTAAAGAATGGCTTACGTTATGGAGGTGCTGATGATAAGCTGGAGTATAGTGCATAAGTTGTCCCTGCATCAGAGCTGTGTGAGGATGCGAGAGAAGAGGAATTCCAGCTGCACCAGCCAGGGTCGCCGCGTAGATCGGATTGGTTTGCTGAGCGCCGTAGAGTACGCCGGCTTCTAAGGCTGAGGTGGGTAGTGTGTATGCTATTTCTGCTGGCTCAACTTCTGCAAGCGATACTTCGTTGGGCTTTGCCTCAGTTGACGTTTCGTCTGTGAACGCACGAATGGCAATATTTCATTTGCATAAATTACTTGCCATGTATTGGTAATTGGCAGTATCGGATGAGAATGCAAACCTTTGGACGTAGAACCATCGACGTCAGGACTACCTTTCCGTTTCCTTCCGCGTTTAAGATCCTCCGCATTAATACGCGGAGGTGGCGGTGGACTTGGTGGGCCCGAAATCGTTGGCGGTGGTGGTGCTTCCGTTGGCGGTTCTTGTTTCGATTGTGGATCAACATTGTTCTCTGGCTTGCAGCTGTCGTTACTCATAGTCGTTGTCTGCGCGCTCATTTCTGTGAAATACGAAGAAAACCTCCTTGTACAACGGTAACGCGTTAAATTTGATTTGGAAAATAAAGAACTCACCAATGATCGGGGGCTCTTCGTGTTCAGGAGGCGGTGGAGTAGTGCAAAGTTCCATTTCCTCGGCGCCACCAGCTATACCAGTCTGCGGGTATGTCCATTGTGCCTCGCCAGTAGAGGTGTTACGGTAATAGTAGCGCTTATGCGACCTATACAACGTGTGCGACCCAACAGAGAAAATTAAAAAATATATGAGAGCAACTGATATTTACTAAATGCAATATTCGTTTTTTTTTTTTTTTTATTTCGTTTGGTTTTTTTGCTAATCGATGAGAAATGCATCGTTTTTTTATTATTATTATTATGTGTGTGTGGATAAATATTTGCAATCTTAAGCTAGTTACCCTACCTGTCTTGCCCATCGTCTTCGATCCCTTCTGCAAAGAAATATTAAGATTGTTTTGGATTTCAAGGATATAAGCAATGTTTGTTTCTTGGGTTTTCCTCCATAGACGCTTGCGGAACTGTCTTTATGCAACATTATTCTTCACAGCAACATTAGAGGGGCATCGTTAGTTTTTTTTTTCGTTTTTTTTTCGTTTTAGACACCAGAAGAGTTATATGCAGTAAATAAACGATTTATTTTTGTTTTTCAACATTACAAGTGGTTGGTATAAAGTAGTATGTAAAAATAGGAACTTGAGTTCATTGCTATCACTGGTATTGTATGAAAAAATCAGAATCGAAGAGATTGCTAAATTACTATTAAAGTCTTTCAAATTGTATCACAGTTCTACATAAAATTAAAAAAAAAAGCTCCAAGCCATAATTAGCTATTCGGAATGAAAAGTTCCTCATAGCTACACTTGTAAAAATGACGGTGTTCACGAAAGTATGTGTTCCATGCTTGATAGTCTCTAACAGTCTACAAAATTCACGCAAAATGTAGAAAAACTTATGAAATAATAATTAGTATGATGAGTAAACCATCAGTTTTCTTCATACACGAAACAACAGAACATTTTGCACAATTAATCAATAGCAAACAAGAAATACAAAAAACGACCAATTCATAGCTATATTATATGTAATGCAAAATATTCTGTTACAGGATATATCCGTGACCTGCCGCGTGAATTCGGGGAAGAACCTATAACAGCCAAGACAAATTATAAATCACGAAAAGTCACTTACGCTGGATATTTTTTTCACACATGCGTCCATCTACTTATCCTATTATCACATAATCTCTATGTACACGTAGACACTCCTGATTTCTTTCATTATTGATACGTACACCTTATATACCCAATCCAGATAGCTGCTCCGATCCACATAGCTCGGTTTCAAAGTTCTTTTTTGTTTTTCGTTTTTAACGAACGATTGTATTTAAAGAAACAGTGAAAAATGAGCGTGCAGATATGACACTTTGCTTATTGTTGGAGAAAAATGTAAAAAAAATAATAGAAAAGAAGCAAAGAACGTTCACATATCGAAGAGAGGAAAATTAAAAGGAAATTATTCGCGCGAAAGGTGTCTTATAAGACATGAATGATAAGCTCGCGCACACGAGAATAATTAATTGAAAAAATTGTTTTGGTCGGTGAGTTTTTTAGAGGAGATTGTCGTAGATTACCGTACCTATCCCATTGACACTCCCAGCCTGGCGGAGCGGCCGTCTGCTCGAGGCGTGTTAACTCGCAGCCTGTACCTGTCAGCCAGTTGCGTAAATACGACTCGCTTAAACTTCCGGACTCCCACGCTGCCAGCAGTGTCTGCAAAAAATATTTTTTTATTAATTTTATTTCAAATCGTTCACTTTAATTAGGAAAAAGCTTAAAAAATTAGTAACTCACCTGTATTTGTATAGCCATAATTTGAACAGCGGATGCAGCAGGACTGCCCTCCGACAAAAACTTGAGTTTTTCCATGATAGGTCCAGTTTGTTCTCTCATAGCTATCTTATCCGCTTCGGTAATTTCTTTGGTTTTAGCAACGCTATTGCTATTGTTGTAGTTGGTGTCTTCTGTAGGCGCTGAGCTTTTAATAAATGTTATTCCCATCGGTTTCTTACTCGTCGTTTCACTATCAATTTTGCTATTCTCTTCGTCGGGTGAGTTTTCTTTGGAAAATCCAAAACCTCGACGCTCAACACCGTCCGTCATGTGAACTGGTGGAGAATCTTCTTTGGTTCTAGTTGACTCTGGCGCTTTGTTCTTCGTTGGAGCCACTAAAAATTGATAAATTAAAAAAATATATATTTCTTATCAAAAGAGTACTTTTAATCAAAATATTTACCATCAAAAGCAATACGCTTTTTTCTCTGGAAAGCTTTTGAAGGGGCGTCGATACTTTCCAGAAATTTATTCGCTTTTGACTCGAGATCAATTTTCTCATCTTCTGGCTTATCTCCTGTAGCTTCATTACTCTTAGTATCTTCATCATTTTTTTCTTCATCATCATTCGACTCGGAATTCTTGTATTCATATATCCTAATCTTGCCTGTGTTCGTTTCGATATTTTTTGCAACTTTTCCAGAATTTGAATTATGAGAATGCGAAGTTTCGGCAATAGGAAACAAGGGCTTAATTGTGCTGCTCTTTCGTGTATCTTCCTCACCTTCTGAATCATCATCATAGCCTGGTACCAAAGACATTTTTACATCTTTCTGAGAGTCATCTTTATCGTTAGATGTACTCGATTCGTTTTCAACCTTAGAATTCTGTTTCTGTAGAAGTTTTGCTTGATTTTTCAGTCTTGTCAGAATGTCCTCTTCGCTAGAGCTCATGACTGAACTAGTTTTCTTTTCCCTGTTCACGTTCTATAAAAAATATTAGAAAATAAACATAAAAATAAAATTCACTTAAAAAGAGATGATTAACCTATTATATTTACCTGAGCTAATTTTTCGCTCAAAGACTCCCTGTTTTGCGGTCCATAATGCACAGGAGGTAACGCTTGGCCAATTGTAATATTTGGTTCGCGTGGTTTGCTCGGCACATCAGCTGGTTTAGAAGCTTTTAAGGCAGACTTTCTAGGCATTGGAGCTTGTTTCTTCTGCTTCTCTTCTTGTTCGCTTTCTTCAGACTCACTTTCGTCATTACCAAATGATGTTATCATTTCAATTTTTCTGTAAAACATTCATTTGTCAAATGGAGTAGTCGAGATAATATTGGAAATTGCTAATAACAATGCCTACCCTTCATCATCATCGCTCATCTTAAATCCTGGAGATTTGGTTATATTTGGCTTACTTGAAGGTTTTTCAGGTATTGTTTTGATACCAGCTTGCCTATTTCTATTTCTCTGCACTACCTCTTTTGGAATCATGCCATCAGGAATATTACTAGATGAAACTGCAACATTTGATATCAAATTAAACATCTTTTATCAAATATTTAAACACTTGCCTAGCAATAATATTTACACTTATTGGCAGGTATATTTGACCACTGTGGGACATGTGAACCATGTGGAGCTGCGGTACCTTTCTCTTTAATAGCCTTCAACTCTGTTGGTATTTCCCATGTTACCTGGTTTGTCTCTGTATGCCAATAATACGGGTAGCCAGTTTGCTCATCATAACACTCTTGCCAAACTAAAATAATCAACATAGATATGTTCATGAGAATTGAAAAATCAAGTCATAGCTGTAATAAAATTATAGATAATTACATGAACTTGGATGTGACATAATGGAACCTTGATTAGACTTGTCAGAGTTTTCAGGAGCAATCGACTGAATTTCCTATGAATTGCAAAACAAATATTAAAATCATTCAAGTATTACAAATACATACGATATCACAATTCATGGATTAATCATACATAATTATTTCATACCTTTAAAAAATCGTTAACTTGATCATTCAATTTGTGTGCTCTTGGTTTTGATTCATAGTCTCCCTCGCTATCTGAATTGTACTGAGTAATTAAATTTGAAAGAGGATTGCTTGGTGATCCATTTTGTGATTGACCTGCAATAATAAGTATGAATGCCAAATAAATCAACTTTTTATTCAAGACAATAATACCAACGACTAATAAGAATATTGCTATGTTTACGTTCGCTCGGCCAGCGTCCTCTTGATGAGTCAGATTCTCCATTGATGTCGAGAACTGGCTTTCTATGTCGACGTTTCATTTTATATCACACAAATAAATGTTTATCATCAAACATCACTATTTTCCTTTTCAACTTTTTTTCCGTGCAAGTAAACTTTTGTTTCTATTTGGCAATTCTGACTAATCTAACCTTAACTTGATTCTTTTCGATTTTTAAGTAATTATCCTTTTTATCTTTCAACATTTACACCACAATCTTTGCATATTCAACTAATACGTTTAATTGTTGTGAAACACATGTCTAAACTTCTCTTTATCGTTAGTTTTATGACTTATGAGGGATTTTAAAAAGTGCGAAAAAGTTATACATGGTTGATGTCCAAACCAAACAGCTATATAAGCTTACTAATGCTAAACCGCAGCTAAACAGTATATTTTTTCCCAACCTAACGACTCAACATAACCTATTTAGAAGAATCGCGCCGCTGCGGATACCGTATGGTATGGTGCTATTAGCGGAATCTGCGGAACGGATTCTGCGTGTTCGTGGCCAACATGGCTGGTTTATAACAGAATTATTAACCCAGAATAAAATGACAATTATTGTAAGATGCGTTCGTTACGAAACTAATTTATTTATTTTTAGTTCACGTAGATGAAGTGATTGAATATTAATTATGATAAAAGTAACGTAATTTATTAGTAAGTGAAAAATCAGATTTCAAAACCTTTCAAAATTATTTCCTTGCTGTCAAATATGTTTACTATTATTCATATACATTTTTTTTCAATTTCTTATTACATTCCGTTGAATTTTTAAAACACTCGACTCTATAATCATTTATTTAAAGGAAAATAATTTATTTTAAAGAAAAGAAGCAGAATATTTGATAATTTAATTTTTAGAATGATAATTATTTCAAAGCAATTGAAAAAGAAATAACAATTTGCATGTACGATTGGAAGAGAGTTTTATTGTATAACAATGGCAGGCCCTGTAAGTGTACCAGATAATTTAGTCAAATGGGATTTAATAAATAATCCCTTAGCTCCTCTCACCATAAACTTGAAGACCCAACTGTCATCTCTGGAAGATGAAATTGTTAATTTAGATCCTGTTACTTTAAAAAAGTCATCATGTCAAACATTAAATTCAGAGGTATATGTTATATTTATATTTTTAATTATAAAACATAATATTTTTCAAATTTATCTCAATATATCAATTGAAATTTTAGCTAGCTTATACAGCACTCCTAGAAAGTCAAGATGACTATATAGAAAGCTATCAAAAGCTTCTTTTACATTACTCATCGCTAGAGCAAAAGCATATGTCTTCAGAAGACATCAAATATGTATCTTATCTTGCTCAGTTAAAATCTAGAAGAGAAGAATGTAATGACTTGTGCCTACAAATTCAGAGTGTGTTGGAAGACTTTTCGGCCTTAACTAGACAGTATACTGTTGTTTCTGAAAAAACTACTTCTTTACATGAAGCCAGTGAACAGCTGATCTCTGATCAAGAAAAATTAAATACATTTGTAGATAAAATAGCAGAGCATTTGAAATATTTTAAAGAAGTAGACTCAATTATGGATAAATTGGATGCTCCAACTTTGTCTATTAATAGTGACATTTTTTTCAATTTATTAGACAAGATTGATACCAATATGGATTTTATGCAAAATAATCCAACTTTTAAAGAAAGCAATACATATTTAGTCAAGTACAGGCACTGTCAATCCAAAGCTATAACACTCATTCAAAATTATGTTTTTAAATTATTCACCAAGGCGACTGAAAGCATTTTGAACCCCAAGGATAATGAAAATATACAGAAAAATCCAGATGCAGCACTGGCTTTATTTTATGGCAGGTTTCAGTCTATTTTACCTAAAACCAAGCCAGTTATTGAGCAAGTTGAGGCAAAGGCCAACAAACGCCAAGAGTATGATACTTTGCTTTTAGAGTGCCATGGGCATTTTTTGAGTTACAGAGGATTAGTATTAGGACCCAGTATACAGAAAAGTTTGCAGTCCATAAAAACCAAGTACAATGGAGATCACTGCAGTTTAGTTAGGCATTCATGCTCGCTACTACTACATGCTTCCATCGATGAGCACAGATTGTTTTATCAGTTCTTCAGCAAATCTTCACTAGCTCTGATGTCATACTCAGAAAATCTGTGCACATCTCTTTATGACACTCTTAGACCATTTATAATTCACATCAACCATTTAGAAACACTGGCTGAGATTTGCTGTATTTTAAGGATAGAGATGTTGGATGAACATGTGCAAAACAATAGCGAGCCTCTTCAAGGGTTCGGAAACATCTGCCTCCAATTGTTGCATGACGTTCAAGAGCGGCTAGTGTTTAGAGCGCACCTGTACTTGCAATCGGACGTGGTTGGATATAATCCGTCACCTGGAGACCTTGCGTACCCAGAAAAATTAAAAATGATGGAGGATATTGCAGAGTCTATCAGGGAAGAAAACCGGCAGTTTCGAATGAAGAAGATATCGCTTTCATCTATGGAAAGTGGGAGCAGTAGCAACGTCGTTGAGCCAATATCCAGGACTCATGTGATGGTATGTATACAAGTAATTGATAACCGAGTTTATTTATGGCATGTGTTGCTAAACCAGAATTTATAAATTTCTAGGGCATTGATCCAATGTATCAACGGGGCTCGCATATGGGTAACTCACCAGCAGATTTGCACGGTATGTGGTACCCAACAGTACGACGAACATTAGTTTGCCTATCAAGATTATACCGATGCCTTGATCGTCCAGTATTCCAGTCTCTCAGTCAAGAAGCTATAACATACTGCGTGCAAAGTATTGAAATAGCACGAGAGAAAATCCAATCGCGAGCAACACCTCTCGACGCCGAGCTATTTCAAGTGAAACATTTGCTGATTCTACGCGAGCAGATTGCACCATTTCAAGTGGATTTCACAGTCAAAGAGTACAGCCTGGACTTTTCTAAGGTCAAGAGTGCTGCTTTTGGATTGCTAGAGAAAAGGTCAAGACTGTTCACCTTGTCTAATAATGCGTTGCTGGAATTTTTGCTGGAAGGCGCACCTCAGATGAAAGAGCAGTTGATTGATTCGAGAAAGCACGTCGATGCTAAGTTGAAAAATTCTTGTCAGAGGCTCATTCAACATGTCACGAGACTGTTGATCGAGCCAGTTATTCAACTGTTGGAAAAGTCTAAGAACTCACAGCAGGTATGATTAATTTTTAAAATACGATCATGTAATATCTTCTGCTCACGTGGTTACTTTGTCACGCTTGTTGCAGACTGCAGCATTGAAATATTTGGGCACAGCCGAATCCATAGCAGCAGTAGTAGGTGAATCATTAAGGTCCATCCGCTTCAAACTACCAGTAGTTCAACAATCAATGCAGCTTTACTTAGCGAACCGTGAGACCGAATGTATTCTGTTTCGCCCAATAAAAAACAACATTGTTGCTGCATTTGCACAGCTTTCACAGCTGCTATCTCAACACTACACGGGCGAAGAGTTAATGTTAATTGCATGTCCGTTGCCTGAGCAAATTTCTATAATGCTGAGTTCGACGTCATTGGCACAACCTGCCAAACCTGAGGAACCGCCACCACAACCCACAGCGGTCATCGCTCAAGAGAACAGTAGTGTGGAGACTGTATAGTTTTTTATTGTTAATTTTTTCAGAGAATTTAGGGATATCGCGTATTTCTACGATATACAATGTGTATATCTTTTTCAACACTTTATAACCGAGGTTAGCTGTTTCAAAACATCAATTTACAGAATAAACCAAAATTTAGTAATATATTTCTGATATAAATTATTTATAAATCTCATTTTTAATTAACTATAAGAATTGATTGTGGATTAACGGCTTACTAAAGCTTAAAAGAATTCTATAAATAGGGTGCATGAAAATAAAAATAAAAGTTATTTACAAATAAATTTATTAGAAAAATTTTCTCAACTTACATACTGCGAATCTTGCGATAAATTTATTACATAAATAAACTTTTCAAACGCTTTGCTCTCGTGTAGCTACCTTTTCAAGCGTCATTTTATAAAATAAACCATATTTTGCAACATATCTTAAGCTGTACATTATTTACATTCTTAATTTAAATAACATCTTAAATTTAAAAGAGGCATATAAAAAATAATCCAAACGTTAGTTCAGATTTACCCTTGTGTAAAACATATGGAGTACATTGCTTATAGTAGAACCGATTTTTCTTTTCGATGATCCCGCTTCAATATCCGCTAACAAGTTTTTATCTCCGTTTCGGAATGCTTCCGCGAGAATCAGTGGTGTAGGATATAATTCCGTGATACCGATTGCTTTTTCTGCTGACATTCCTTTTAATTGGACGAGTTGTTTTATCAACATCTCTCGAACGGTAAATTGCTGTAAGAGATTTAATTAATACGACAAATGAAATCTTTCAATATATTCTAATTACCTTTGTCTTGAGAGCAGCTTTATTGAACTCGCTGAATTCCATCAGTTGTTCTGTATTTTTAGATATTTCTGCATCTGAATCTATGTTTTTTTTAGGACAGCTTACCAGTTTTTTACTCTGAAAAATAGTAATCTTTTTAAAATAAAATTCAAAGTTATGCATTTGATGCAGGAAAGAACATATTACTTACTTTGTACATTCGTATTAATTTTCTTGTAATAGCTGCCAAGTAGAAGATTGAATCTTTGTGATCCTTTGTAAATTTAGTAATAAAGCCATCTTGAACTGTAGTATTAATTCCTGCTTGTAATAAAGATGTTAATGGTAATGTACCATGGTAAGTTTTTCCAAAATGTTCAATCAAATAAATGACATTTTTTATTTCTGATTGCCTTAATCGATGCTAAATGGAAATGGAAAGACTTATAAAACATTTCTAAGGAATAGAATGAAAATTTATACAAAAATACAATACCTTTTGCTCATAATAACGCCCATCTATAATGCTTGCGCCAAGATCATCTATTCTCTTTCTCTCAATGATATATGGAAGAATAAGTTCTTTTTGCGTAAATCTACATCTTGCAATCCATGTGAAATCGCCCACTTTTAGATTTCTCACTTCATACAAAACTCCTACATCGTTCAATGTTGATATCGTTGTATCGTCTATTGATTTCTTTTTAGTTCTAAAAAGTGATAAACAGTATAAAAATAAAATTTTACTCACAAATACAAATTTTCTTCATGAAAATTTACCCGCCGGTTTCTTGTGTGTCAACAAGTAAAACAATATCAAAATTATTAGGCAATAAAGTAAAGGATTCGGAAGGTACGTCTTCTGGAATTTCCTTAGATTTTGTACTGGCTTTACTATTTCCTTTCTAAAAAAGAAATTCATTAATAATAACATGAGATTGATATACTACATTTTTAATTAACTTACGTCACTGACGTTCTTTAAAGACTTAAGTGGATTAACATTGATACTTTTCAATGCAATAGGTGAATAGTTAAATTCTGGAAATTCATATTCTTCTTGAGTTTTAACTGTAGCTTTAGAATTTTCTTTGTTCAGATTAACGATTTTTCTAGATGTTTTTACCGGACTTGCAAAAATTTCAGTTTTATTTACCTTGAAATAAAAAAATATATTTCTAGAGAATCATTCTAATGAATGAATGAATTATAAAAATCTTACAAGTATTTCATTGCGAACCTTTTCGTCGTCGTCACTTATCACAATTTCATCTGTAACATTTTTTTTAGAACTAATTTGTTTTCTTTTAGTAACCGACTGAAAATCCTTGTTATACATTCCTATTTCATTAGTAGACAAATCATGTTTTTCAAAACTTCGATTACTATTTGTTGGACTATCAAAATTTGTAGGTGAACTATATAAATCAGCATTTGTCTATAAATTAATGTGTAATAAAAAATAGATACTACTAGTCTATCGAATACATATTTTTATTAAATGACAACAGTTCTACTTACCGTGTCATTTTTTTGAGCAAACTCTGCATCTACGATGATTGGATCATTGTCGGTTGATGCAATATTAGTAAAGATAAAATGTTTACTTTTCTTTTTGACATGTAGACCTGATTCTGCATTTTCTTTACAAAATTCTATGTAACTATCATCATTTTCATTGTTACTGTCAATTTTTGACTGAAATAAAAAAAAAATTAACTGATAAATTGTTTTGGACTTCTAATAGCACAAATTAAATACAAGTCCCTACTTCAAAATTATTTGTCAGTGCTTTTTCAGATCTATCCTCCATCTCATCATCATCAAGACAAATAATTTCATCCACTTTCACATTTTCACTACAAAAACCTGGATCAGCATTAGACTTTTTTTTATTTGCACTATCATTAAATAGTCTTCTCATACTGACATGCATAAGATCAATTGCTATATCTTCATCCATTTCAGTACCACTATATTGTTCAATAATATCATCTATTTTTTTATCCTCAACTAAGTAATTAGCATCCAGTACACTCAAATCTATATAATCTTTTATTTTTGATTCATTTAATGAGATTGCTAACACTTTTTTAAGTTCTTCATCTTGATCAGTTTCATTTTGATCATTTTGATCATTGTATGCCATCCTATTTTTTGTTTTTATTTCAGCCAAAGACAATGATAAGGCCATTTCTACTTCATCTTTAGATCTAGCATCAACTTTGGATTTAGTTTTACTTAGTAAATTATTATGAGGTTTAGATGCTTTTGTTTCAGTCGATGATGCTAGTGCTGTTTCTAGCTCATCATCAGAGTTTTGTACCATAGATTGAGGCTTCTTTGTTTTGACATCATATGTCTCAAAATTGTTCCTATTATTTCTCTTGAAAGCATCATCATCTGAATCACTAAATCGATTTTCTAAAACTTTGTCTGAAGTAGATACCTTAGCAGAGTCAGATTCATCAGAGATTGATGAGTTGCTTTTAGGCTTCTTATTACTTTTACAACTTACCAGCTGTTTTTTATAACTAGCACCATCATCATCTTCATCTTCATTGTCAGAGTCTTGATGGTGTAATACTTTTCCTTCAATCAATGACAGAGCTAAAGCAACTCCTGAATCTGTAAGGCTATATTTAGCTGGATTACTCTTTTTTATAACATAATGTTTGGAAATCAGTGTTGACATTGCTGACCAGCCTGAGTAATGTTCAAAAGCATTGCTTTTCATTGGTGAATCACAATTACTTTTAGCCTGTAAAATTATGTCTTTCTTTAACATGTATCCTGAAACAGATTATTTTTATAAACTTATATTCTACCAATCAATGTTAATTTTTTCTTGTTTCTTACCTAGGTAGTTATGTTTTTGCATATTAGTATACATTGTAGTTAAAATGGCATAAGCACCAGAACCAACTTTAGGAATATAAAGCTTATTTTTTGGCACCTGTAATAATGATTTTTAAATTAAATACAAAGGGAAATAGAATTAACTATTGAGCATTATTTAAAATTACTTTGAATACTGATTTATCATTATCAAGGTCAACTTGATCAGGCATTTTATCATTAGATAAACTCTTCTTTCTACGTTTACCTACAACATTCTCATCTTCATTACCAAGAATATTATGAATAGCTGATGGTTGAGAGGTGGATGGCAGATTATTTGTTTTTTTATATGTCTCTAATTTTTTATCTAATATATCACAGATCTTCTTCCCAAAATGTTGCAAAATCAAACAATCTTTTCCAGTTTCCAACCTTATTGGACATTTTCTAAGAGAACTAAGCGCTTTGCCAAAAGAATATTGAATTGGATTGTCATTTGCTGCTGCTTGTTCTTTCATTTCAGTCAACCATTGTTCAAACAATGGATTTGGACAGCTTTTATAATTTCTTTTCATATTTATCACTGTTAAATAAAAAATAACAAGTGGAATTGTTAACCAGTACCAATTGTGATCACATAGGTTATGTATCAATTAACATGCTTTGTATAAAAATAGTGTTCGTGTGGATTACTATCCAATAAGTCATTTGACGCAAAGGTAAACCGAATCGAATGAGTTTCCTCTAATATATAGGTATATCAGTAGTATCAATGAACTGATTTAGACGCTTGAGCGTTTACATTCGTTTGTAGTATACTGTATAGTGATCACCTTTCAGCCAATCAGATCACGAACAAACTGGTTTCACTTTCAGATCTGTCTACTGCTTTTATTAGAAAGGAATTAAGAAGGATAACAAGGATAAAAAGGATAAGAATGATAATCAAATAACCAAATTCATATATTACTTATATATCCACCATAATGGTATCAACAATTATTTCCTCCCATTACAAAGCTTCTACTCAACAAGGATACTTTTGATCTTTACTGATAATTGGCGGGCTGTAACCATGAAGAGGTAGTATTGTTGTTAAAGTCAACTGTTAGTATAATGATTCAACCATTATTGTATATATAGGTCAGATGACAGTCAGTGATATTGGTATTTTTATTATTTAGTTAACTCCTAATCCCTGATTCCACGTCTGACGAGGTATCGATTGGCCTAATTATAATTAACAGTTAACCATGACTTAGCAATGGCTATTTCTAAATAAGTCGACATTTGCATTCTTATAAAATTCGTCAACGACCAGACACTTTTTTCTTAATTAAGTAATTAAAATAGTTTATTGAAATTAAAAAGAATTGAAACGTAGGGGAGCTAACTTCCAAGATTTTGGCGTCGACGAGTAAAATAAACTGTCTTTATCTCTACTTATAGTTTTACCTTAACTTACAACATTTAGTGAAAGATATACGATTTACCAATTTGAATATTGTCTTAGATTAATTATTATTTGACATAAGGGTTGAAAACTAGAAAAACAGAACATTTCATTTCTGTCTCAATAATAATTTTATTAAATAATCGTCATATCATTAACACAAATTATTCAAAAAAGATACTTATTCATGAGTGTCGATAAAGATATAAAACTATTTACTATAATACTAAATTACTATAATACAAATAACAATTTGCTTCAATTGAATTTTAGATACCTCTAAATTAAAAATTTTTTACAAAGTATTTGGAATCATTTAGTATATTTTAATACTATTTTGTAACGCTTTGGAATAATTTTAACAGATTTACTTTAATAAACTACTTAGTCATCATCCTTCCTATTCTTTAATCAAGGCCGCATCCATGTGCGGCTTAAATAGCTCATGATTGCCAGTGCGAATGGCCTGAGCTGCCATCACATCGTAAGCATATTTGAGTACCGACTTGTAGTTTTCCTCGCCCAGAATATCGATGTTTAAAGAGTATACTTCTTCGTTCGAATGATGTTCATTCGAAGAGCTGTTTAGCCAAAACGGAGTTAAGGAAGATTGCTGCTGTGATTTACACTTTTTTGCTCTCCGTTTCCTCGAGCTCCCTTGTATGCGGTATTCGTCGCGCTGCCTGTCACGCTGTGGAAGCGCGCAAATTTTTACCTGAAAAGGGAAACAACAGCGTTATTCGCGCGTGAAACAATATCTGAAGATATATATGACGATACTAATATTTATTGCTAATACTAACAAACAGAGATCGTTTAGCAATAACAACTCCCATTAAATTTTCAAGTAGGAAAAGCATCTTGATAGACCTTCTGTTAGCTCCAGTCAAACAATTGCTTTTACAGAAAAATTTATAACAAAGCCAAACTTTGACATTCTCTGGTTTCAACGAAGTCCTGGTAGTAAGTATCCCGCTAAGATCAGCTCCATAGTTCGATACACTCGAATTAACAGGATTCGAAATTTTGAATACGTGTCGAAATTTATGGCCATCGATTCCAATATTCTGTGACGATGGCCAACACATATGTTCTAAGCATCGTTGGACGGGAATCGTTACATGACACTTTTCGTCGTAGATCATTGCTGAATTCAAGAACAAATATTCGTACGTCGAGATCCAATAGAATTTAATTTCTAGTGGATAACACATACGTAAGTAAACGCTTTGCAGTTTCTGTGAGTACTAGAAATAGAAAGATTGCATATTGATATCTAGTATCATATACAATTGCGTGTTATCTATATACTTACGACATAATTACTGTTTGCGCTGTCAACATTAAACTTAAAGCGAAAGTCCATTGGACCAGTGACATCATCCTCATATTCCGGTCCTTGAAGATATCTTTTTCCCTTTACAATCTTCTTTTGCATTTCTTGACACTTGTTTGGTACAGAACAAGATATTGATCTGTACGAAAAATAATCATTGGCTTTTAATGCACTGGAGCCACGCCAAATTATTTAAAAGAAACTCATGCAACACTTACATGAGAGGCGGAATCTCTAATGGCGAGTTCCTGTTCGTGTTCATTTTCGAATGCTTTATTTTATGATTGAACAATCAGAATCGTGTGTATAGTTTTTTTCGTCGCTCACTGGATATCGTTTAAGCTAGACTGATTGAGAGTTCAACTCTACATTCAATGCCATTCAAACTTATACCGAAAGTTATTTACATTAATCCCATTGTAAATTATAGAAATAATACTGTATCATAAATATTGTGTGTAACTTCAAATTCAATTTCAAATGAGTAATTCAAACGATTTTTTCCTTCGATATGTTTGTCTAAAAAAATTATTTAAATAAAAATATTCATAGACAGTCAAAGGAAAAAATAATCAGTAACATCTTCAATTTTATAAACGTATAATAATAATAATAATAATAATAATAATAATAATAATAATAATAATAATAATAATAATAATAATAATAATAATAATAATAATAATAATAATAATAATAATAGTAATAATAATAATTATTATTATTATTAAGTGTTTGCAATGAAAACTCGATAACTACATACATAATTACGTATTGTATGTATTGAAATGTATTATAAAAATTGTGTACAATCCGCATAAAAATCACTATACATTAAAGCATATATAATTAATACTTTCATCAAATATTGTCGAATTTTTACTTTCTGCCTCTAACGTTAAGCTGCATTTTCTTAAGTTTTCTCAGTGCACACTTGGCAGCAGTACACTTAGCAATCCTATAATTCCTGCCGATTCCCTTGAATAATCCTTTGTTAAATACATCGACAGTAACTCGTACTCTACGTCCATCTGCCAATTTTTCTGGTTTGCCGAATTTCGCTGTTTCCGGTTCTAGCTCTAATAATTCTCGAATTGGCGATTTCGGCACATTGGAGCTGAATAGTTCTATCTCGCTTTTCATGATTTCGAAATAAACTTTCCAAACGGCATCTAACGACATATTACTATCGAGGTAAATTGCACCAGCAAGTGATTCAAAAACGTCACCTAAAGCTTTGGGTACTTCCACGTCTTCGGCTTCCTCGGCTTCGTCCAATTCGTCGATTAAATAGAACTCTTCGCTGATCGAATGGCCATTTTCCTCTTGAATACGAACAAAACGATCGATAACCGTATTTAGGCCTGGAGACAAATGACGAAAATACTTGTGAAAGCCGCAACGTACAGCCAGCGATGCAAATATCGTATTGTTCACCAAAGCTGAACGTAAATCTGTAAGTGCTCCTGGCGAATGTTGCCTGGGGTCTTCGTACAAGTGCCTTGTTATTAAATAGTCTAGTACAGCATCGCCTAAAAATTCCAGTCGCTGATAACAGTCTGTGAGCTTATTAGGCTGATAAGATGCATGTGTGAAAGCTTGTAACAAGTAGCTACGATTTCGAAAATGATAGCCAATGGATTCCTCGAGTTGAGTATATCCGTCGAGCATGATTTCCAATTCGATTTCCGGCTTTGATACATTGTAAAACAAAGGACTAGGTGGATTAGGTAGTTTTTTGTATCTGACATGTGTCCATTTTTTCTTTCCATCTTCGTTAATACTTTCCACGTATATGGTACTACCAGTTGGTCTTTCCTTGGGCATTTCTTCTTGAATTACGGATACCTGCTCCGTTGGTAATACGCGGATACCTAACCATGTCATGAATAATAGAGCTCCTCGAGGTCCACAGGCAATCAAATAAGCGCCGATCAGTGCCTCTACGCAATCAGCAATACTTTTGTCTGGAATACTGTGCTGAGTTATCAGATTATACGGGATGAATGAACGTAGAGGATCATTGATAGCAGCATCGAGCTCGCTTTTCATTATTTCCAGTCTCTCAGCTAAGTCACCGATTTCTCGGAAAGGTGCGATGTTCCACATACCTACAGGTATTCCAGACTCGATAAGCACTTGTTCGAGCTCCTTTGGCACGTAGTAACAAGGTGGTAACCAGTTATCGTGTGGTTCGAATTTAGTGGCAATCATACTTTCACCGAGCATTTTTTGTCGACCAAGACGATAGAGATTGAGATTGCTCACTTGTTTCGAGCGGAGATGGCTAAGTTTACCCTCGTGGATATTATTGTACGAGCAGAACAAGTAAGTCGTGATGGCATACTTGAGAAAAGAGTCGCCGATGGTTTCCAGACGCTCGAGATTGATACCGTCGTTTGCGTTCGACATTGTAAGCGCTTGCAGAATTAGACTTGGACTTGGACCCGAGTGACCTTTCAGTTCTGGCTGATAGTCGAAACTGAAAGTACCATCAGTATACGAATGCAATGCGGAAAAATGCAACGCTGGTACTTGTTTGTTGTACGTTTGACGTGGAGAATTCACGACTTCATGAATAAAACATTCAGCAATGACGCTGACGTATTCCTCGTGTTTTCTACTAATCTCGCGAATATTTTGCACTTTTGTAGCTTTTCGTTTGAATGTAACGGGAGTATCGCTTGTGATAAACACACCTTCATTCACGATTCTTTCTTCATTCTGCTTTACGTTCTCCATGTGAGCTTGTTCGTGCTTGTGGTATAAAGCGTCCTTATCGTCATCTTTTAAGTTCCACTGCATGATTGCTGACTTTTCCTGCATCTTAATGCAATTTAACTTGTCCAACTCAATTAAGCCTTTCTTGTCAATTGCTTCGGCTACATTGTCACCCGTGTACTCGATAAGCAGACCTTCATCAGAACTATCGCTCATGCTATCATCGAAGTCATCGCTGCAATCGGAATCATCATCGTCGAACTCCGAGTCGTATGTTGGTGAACCGTAACGTACGTTACCCCAATTATACACGCTGTCACCATTGATCGGTGCGGTATTTAACATCTCATTCGACCACGTCCCGATTTCTAATTCGTCCAAATTATCATCAATTTTTTCGATTTTGTCCTTTTTTTCTTTCATTTCCACGAAATCTTCTTTTTCATCACAGTCGCCTGTTCTGTCATCCTAAAAATAATAAAATCTAGTTAAAAATTTCTACGAATTCATTCCAATAAATCAATATAATACAATAAATCAGCATAATGAATCAAGCTTTACAATTTCACGATTCACAGTCTTCTCCATCTCTTTTGTCTTTTCCTCTTCCTTCATTTTTTCTGCCTCCTTAGCTTTCTCATTCTCTTTCGATTTCTTCAAAACATCCGCTAAACTCCAACCAAAATCCAGAGGAGGCCATTCAAAATCTTCAGCTAAATTTTCCATACCAAGATTGATCGCAGAAGCTACTTGTCGGCGAATTTGATCTGCCAACAATAATGCATTTATCCTATAGAGTATACACGGTAGACATACTGCCTGTCGCCAGAGAGAAGCTGGGAATGGATGAATAGCACAAAGTTCTGCAACGAGGATCTGCTTTTGTTCGAGATTTTCACGTTTTGCGCGTTTTGTTTCTTCGCTACTCGTTGGTAATGCTACTCCTTTGCGATTTACATACCTACAAAAAATAGTGATTAAAATAAAATAAAAATAATAATGTAATATTGTAATATAAAATCAGGCAAAAAAAACCTTGGTGTCAAAAAATTAAGTCTTGCAGACGTATGATCAACGTCAAGCAATGGTTGCTCCAAATTTTGTATTTGAATACAATATTTTTTTAAATAATACTCCTCGAAAGTACTGTAATCAGCTCCCGGGAAACTCGATTTAGGATTCAGATGATTGCATATTTCTGCGACGTAGAAATACTGAGGTTGGTCTTGATTACGATACCAGGGCATAATCACAGCGTCGTGATATTTATTGGCGTCAAAAGTGAAATTACGTCGCTCTTCTTCGGATACTAGATTTGGCATACTTTTACGATTTGCGTAGATACACTCAAGGAAGCCCCAATCGACACACATGTCCGTAGAACCATCGAGCTTTTTGACTGGCACTATCATATAGGAATTCTCCGAGACATTTGGGTCGAACAGCATCAAATACTTTTGCAACCTAAAAATAGAAAAATTGAATTGTCAATGAATTACACCAGACAAATAATAATCATTAAAAATTTAATAACTTCACCTTAAAACATTGGTAAAAGTATAATTGAGAAACGACACGACTTTATCATTCTGCGTCTCGTCCAGTACAACAGTTTCCTTACTAAGCTTTAGTTCCACACGCACCTCGCCAGACCTAGTGTAAATTGGAAAAGGACAGACTTTCGGTATCTTTTTGTAAGTCAAAATACCAAAGCCAATAGCCGAATCCTCTGGTGGATAAATCTTTCTTCCCCTAGTATTCTGCTCTTCTGGCAATGGGCAACTGAGCATCATGTGAATATGATAAAGATAACACGGTTTCCTGAACTCAGGTTTACAATCGGTCAGAGCGCCAGCGATCTTCTTGTAATAGTACTGTCTTCGCTTTGTGGTACCTGGCCTTGCGTCTGACAAATCCATCTTCTCATCACCTGGTAGTGCTGGCACTTCTGTATCTTCTGGATTGGCTTTGAAGTTCTCCTTACCTACTGGTATTAAGTAATCATCGATTTCGTTCTCCTTGTGCAGACGAATGCAAAGTTGTAATGCCGCTATTCGTTTTGCTAGTGATTTATTTGGCATGGGGTAAGAGGAAATCAAATACTTTAGAGGCGAGTTTATGGGAAGCCGAAGAGAACAGATGTACATTTGATTGTCTTGTACTTTAATAGGATTGATTTTCCATTCAGGTGTGAGCTTTGTAAATGTATCGCTTGGCAATTTTGCACAATACCTGAAAAAAACCAAATAAATTTTTATCACATACAAGAATTGCGTTTAAATTCAAATGTAAAAAAATTACCTGTTTATTAAAGTTATGGCACTGTTGAGTGTAACTTTAGGAGATTCATCCTCATCCAAAGGCTTGTACTCTGGTAGAAGAGAGCAAAAAGCATCAGCCTCTAATTCCTCTAACTCATTATTTTCCTTATTGGAACACTTAGCTAATAAAATTTTTTCTATGTAATGGTAGTGGGCCAATTGTTGCACATATGTTTGTGGCTCATCATCTGGCACCAATAAAATATGCAAAGCATCTGTTGCACGAGCTCTGCTCTTACATTGCACATAAGACTGATAATTCTTAGGAAAATCAAACCGCATCACAAAGTTGCATTTAGGAATGTCGATACCTTCTTCTAAAACTGAAGTAGAAATTAACAAATTGCACTCGTGAATACGAAATTTCTTTAACACTTCCTCCTGCTTTCTGTGCTCCATCTCTATGTCCCGCCCACCTAAGATGTCATCATTTGTTTTCTCACTTGTATAGAGAGGAGATAAAAAATGATATGCATCTTCACATTTGCTTAATTCGTTTAATAAATAAAATAACACTTTAGCAGTGATCGTATTGTCGACAAAAATCACACCACACATTAAGTCTGGATCTGTTAATCCACGAAAGCGAAAAGGCCTTTGTTTCTTGAAACCTGGTTCCATTTTTTTGATTGGACTTTGTGCTGGCTTTTCTTGATTATTTTGATCCTTAATAATAGTTTTTTCATGATTATTTATGAGGTTTTCTTCTTTTGCAGGAGGAGTAAAAGTTCTGAGGACTTCTAGCATTCTATGAACTTTTGGAGTAGAAAATTTTTTGATTTTTTCTGTCTCTGACAAGCCATTAAATGCGTGATCACAGTAAGCTCTAATTTTTAAAAACAAAGTTGCTATTATGCCTAATAAGAGATAATGCCTATCATAAGGAGTTTTGATTTTAAGCTTCTCTATAAGCATTAACAATATTAAAGCTGCTCTATCGGCTGCCCATAAACCCAATGTTTCTAGAATATATAAAAATTCTTGGATCAACTCCAGGGGCTTTTTCCTTGGATCTGGAATCTTTTTAATTTCTTCTAAAAATTCTTCGCTATAAATCTCGGTAGGATCATAACGATGATCCTGTAAAAAATTTCTACATTCCTGAAGATAGTTTTCTATATCTTTCCTACATTCAGTTTTATAAGCTAACATGTATTCCTTTGGCTTTGGACTATACCTTAGAATAGATAATAAATCACTAGCTGTTTCAATTTTACACCTCAACAGAGACTCGATTCTTTCTATTGCAAAACTTAATTGCCCTGGTTCCTTGGTTAAACTATAAAGTGGTACAGCAAAACCAATAATTTTTATATCATTATCACAGGATCTGAAAGTCTCTAAAATGAACCTAAGTTCATTATTCGTGACTAAATTATGGCACTTATCAATAATAAGTAAATTTATTTGACTTGGAATAATCTTCTTTGTGTTGAGCAACTTGCAACATATTTCCACAGTCAAAACTAATACTTGAGTATTTAAATTAAATTGATCTATGTTAAAATCATCTACGTCACTACAAAGCAAAACTTTCAAGTCGGTAAGTTGTTCGATGTGAAAAGCAGTCTCATTGCAAGACTGTTCATTTTCCAGTAAATATATTGTCCGTTTGCCATTGTCATGCAAACTTTTCCTATTGTTTATGGCAAGTTCTTGAATCAACTTATTTGTAATAAACGTTTGCTCGGCGATTTTTCCTAAACATATTATAATATTTCTTTCCTTAGCCGAGTAAAGCAATTCAACTTGGTGTTCTCTTGGAGTGAACGAGTTCGTATGGATTTGATCGTTGAAGAAAAAAGCCATTGAAATGGGAAAGAATTATTAGTTTATCTTTACACTAAAAACCTTTCACACGTAACAATATATTCAATTGTTATTGTTGCTTTCACTATCAATCCATTATTTTCAAAAGTTGACGCTGACCACTCGACTTGCGGCTTAAATTCCGCAGACTTAGGCTTTGTAAACAGGTAAACTAAAAACATGGCGTCTAATGCTCATCAGCGCCATCAGCGCCATCAGCGGAGTCTGATTGAACCATCTCCTATGCTGAAGGCTGAACTGAAGCATTTAGCATTCGAATATCCGATTAGCCCTGTGGCGCATCGGAGTCCTCAGGTACCCACAGCCATTAAAACGAAACGATTAGCCCTGGCTGAACTGCCAAAATCATAAATTGCTAGTAGTCAATGGAACCAACTTACTAGTTTTGATCACTTGCAGCATTCTATGAACTTTGGAAGTAGAAAATATTTTAACTTTACTTTCGTTGATGAGCCATTGAATGCGTGATCATAATAAGCTCTAATTTTGAAAAGCAAAGTTGCTATTATACTTTTTGAAAAGAATTTTTTAGTAATAAAATTTAGAGTGAAAGTTTGATGTTTTTCATTGTTATTTATTAAATAAACTTACTTATGCATTGGCGACAGAGGCATTGTATGAACTCACGTATAATACAAAATAACACAAAAAAAGTAGTTTTCGTTCCTGCCGAGACTCGCAAACTTAATGCCGCAACTCTTGAAAATGAGCGAAGAATCGTTCTGGAAGCCCGTCCTCGTCGGTGATTCCCTAGCGGCGGTGGGAAGCGGGACTTCACAATTAATAATAATATTGTGGCATGCTCTTGTATGAATAATCACGGTACTTGTTTCGACTGCGCAATGGATTCTCTCAAGTGTATCATTTCATTATCGCGCGTGCACTTCAAAACTCTCCGTGCGCATATAAATAGCTTCATTCGTGGCTGACCTATCACCTCGTACAAGCGACCGCGCCGATTTATTTCCGTTCCATACCTGCATCCAAATCTACGGAGCCATGTCTCGGCCGATCGTTCTAACAATCGTAAGTATTTTTCGTCGACGCGTCGTCACGCGCCAGACCGAAGGATCAAGTTAATTGACAATTCCGTGCAGATTCTCAGCTTGGTGTTCAGTGGCGATGCGGCTGTTCTCAAAAACTTGGCCAACAAGTTTGACTTTCCCTCGCACATCGCCGGGACGAATCGTAGTGCCGCGTGAGTTCACTCGACGACAGTCCAAAGCCGGACAGCGCGTAATCGTTGCGTTTGCCCTTCAGGAACGAGCTGCAGCCGTTCGCGGCGGAGTATAGTCCCGTGGACTTGGGCATCGACTACCTCGACGACGAAGCGCCTGCGAAGATCCAACACGCACTGGCGAACGCGACCCTGTTCGGTGGTCCGGCTGCCAATCAAGTGTCCGTTAGCGACGTAAGCCCCCGATGCAATCTCACCGACATATTCGAACGTGCCAGAGCCCTCATTGTTATTTTCTCGGCAAAGGGACTGCTGAGGCTGAGGCGCGCGATCAGCACCTTGTACTCGCGGCTGATCGGTCGCGAGCTCGACGCGCAGGAGAACGTCGTGATCACGGCTGGCGCGACCGAGGCAGTCAATTCCGCTTTCTCGGGACACACGTCTCCCGGCGATGAGTGGGTGGTCATCGAGCCTGCCTACACCATGTATCTGCCCATGATCAAAATGGCCAGGGGCGTTCCGAGATTCACCTCCCTGAAATTAGTGAGTGACACGGTTGTACCGCAAACTTCAAGTTAAAGTGCACATTCCGACGGAATTCGATGCTATCGGCCATTCAGAGAAAGCACCGCGGCAGGATCGACGGAGAGGACTGGGTGTTGGACAAGGCGGAAATGGAGAGCTTGTTTAGCGAAAAGACCAAGGGTATCCTGTTGAACAATCCGCTGAACCCGATCGGCAAGGTGTACACGCGCGAGGAGCTCGAGTTCATCGGCAGCCTGGCGGTCAAGTACAACACCATCGTCGTGTGCGACGAGGCGCACGAGTGGGTCACTCACAAGCCGCACATCAGAATCGGTAAGCGCGCCTCCCACGCGGTCGCGCGTTCGCAACGAGATCGCTGAACATCCTCCTCACGGGGAACTTGCAGCGTCGCTGCCGGGAATGTTCGAGCGCACGATCACCGTCGGCTCGTCGAGCAAGTCCTTCAGCGTGTCGGGCTGGAGAATCGGTTGGGCCTACGGACCGAAGGAAATCCTGAACCACGTGAAAACTGTCCACGCGAATACGCTCGACAGTGCCCCAACGCCGCAGCAGGTGCGTGCGAACCTCTCGCTCGAATTCAACTCGATCTTTCGATTGAACGCCCACGAATTTTCGGATTTTCCATCAGCAAGCCGTAGCGTCCGCGTTCGAGGACGAGATACGCGACTTTGGCTCCCCGGACTCGTACTTCGTTAGCCACAGACGACACGTTCAATGGCAGCGCAACTTCTTGACCAAGGCGTTCGCCGACGTCGGCATGAGACCCGTCGTGTCGGACGGCGGCTACTGCATGCTCGTCGACTGGACGCCGCTGAGGCGCAGGTTCGGCGGCAAAGTCAACGGCGCCATGGATTTCGTCAAGTGGATGATTCGGAACGTCGGAGTCTTGGGATTGCCGATGTCGTCCTATTACGGGGACGCGCACAAACACATGGGCGAGAACTTTGCGAGATACTGTTTTCACAAGGTGAGAGGCATTGAGGCTTGCGGCGAATGTTCCGCGATGCATATTCATTCTTCGTTTTTGACCTTCCAGAAAAACGATACTCTCATAGAAGCCGCGCGAAGACTGAAGAAACTCAATAAGTGATAAACTAGACTAGTCTGTTACATAATTAATGCGCATACTTGGTCAGAGCCCTGGATCCCTGGACCCCTGGAGGAAGTTGTATATATTCGATAGCTGGGTGAACGAAGAATCGACGAATCCAAGCTGTACTACTACTTCAAACGACGGATCCACTGCCCTCGAGATTTCGTTCGAAATCGAATGATTTACGCGACAACTGTATATATTAAATATAAATAATTTATCTATTCGAGTCTGACGGCTTCCTAGTGAAATTATTATCTTATTTGTTTTACAAATTTGTCGATCAGCGTGATCACTCAAAAACACGAAAGTCTTTGTTAAGCTATCAATGTAATAACAAGTTATACTGTATCGCTTATCGGTAGGCCGAAAAGCCTCAAAGATCGCTATCAAATTTATTGATTCCAAAATGTCAGTCTGAATTGTTATTGCTATAAACGTTGCTAAAGGTTAGAATATCTTTTACGTCGTGAATTTTTTGTTTGATTCCGGAATGTTATAAAATTTTATAAATTCTCCGCAATTATTTGGATTCCAATTTCCACAAATGACTCTGAACAGTGCTTAAAGGAGTTTGAATGACAAAGTCAATCTAAAAGATAGAGTCAACAATAAGAAGTGAATAAGAAAGCATACTTGACGTACAACAGATGTTTGGCTTTTATCAATTAATAAATCGTTCATACATAATAATCGAAGTGAATTCCCTGACAAATTTGTCCTTGAATTTAAGCACATAGGAAAAAAATTGTCGAGTGGTCGTGTGAAAAGTACAACTTTGCCACTTGCTCGGTGAAAAAAGGTGCGCTCAAAAGCTCTTTCTTTTAAGAGTGTCCCGAGAAAGCAGAGTTTATGTAAAAAGTTAAATATTTCATTTCGGAATCACATTTGATCAGTTATGCCAAACATTAGCCAAACTTTACAATTGAAAGTAAAAAAAACACATTTCTCATCTATTTCTCCCTCTTGAATCGTCACATTTATAATTAAATCCTAATTATGGAGGAAAATATACTATCCTTGGATGGGTAAAAAAACGTATATGTTATTTAGATTCGGTTAATATTTTACCGAACTTTATTAAACATTGTAATTGAAAAGAGAAAAATTACTGTTTTAAATTATATTGAAATAAGGTTTGTCAAAAGTTTTTCCAAACTTCATACAAAGAAGCAAGTTAGGGATCAAAGTTTTGTATCGTACCATGGCACAATAGCCCATTGTAAAAAATATTTACAAGTATTTATATTCCAATGTGGGTAATAACACGATTAACTAGAGATCTGTTTTCTTTGAGATTGAAAGATTTCACAAAAATTGCATCGATTAAAAATCAATAAAAAGTGAATTATTACAATTGCGCTTAATGACTTTCCTTGACAAATAAAATATTTAAAATTAATTTTTTATTTTTATAAATCCTCATTAGGAATATTTTTCAAAGTGCCAATAACATAGATAGTGAAACTAAAGTTAAAAAAAGGAAAATTAGTTGGAAGAGGTTATTAAAAAGGTCGATTATTTCATTAAAAATGTATTTTGTAGACGTAAAAATAGTCTTGTGGTTATCTACTTTTAGACGAACCACTTAACTTTGTGATACCGTGCATAACATTACATAGAGTCAGAAAATCTTCCGTTTCAAGTGCTCTGGGTGAGTTTCTTATCTTTGTGACATCACTCTCTATCATACATAATAAATCACATAATAAATCATTATGCAAAGGTGATAGGTATGACAAATCACGTAATGTTTTAATCTGTAGGATGCCCTGCGTGAATTAACCTTTCCTCTAAAATTTAACGAATGGCAATGCAGTCGTAAACGAATCATGATATTAACCTTGCTAATAATGAATTGAAAATTAAAATGATAAATATGTAGCAGGTTTAGATCAGTCATTAGCTTTTAATCGGAGATACTCATTAATATGACTGTAATTGTGTATATAGCACATGAGTTTTCCTTAATATGTTGACTAATTCATTTTTTATCGCGTGCATTCGATTAATTTCCAAGAACCTATGCCGATTGACGATGTAACATAACAGTAAATATTCCAGCACTCTCAGGCTCTCAGGAAGAAATACCGTTCGATTTTGCATAATTTATTTAGTTCAGTCCGCCCCGAAACATCAATTTCTCGATTGTTCCGCATCTAAATAAAGAATAGTCCAAAGAAGTGGCTTAATAAAAAAAACAAGAAATTAATATTTACGTGACGCACACTCCAACTGATTCCAACCCACGTGTGATCACTATAAAGCGCTAGTACAAGCGTCGAAAAGTTTTATTCCTCGTCACAGTGGAGCGCATCATGATTTCGAAAATTATCATTCATTTAGCGGTAAGTTTGGTCGCGTCGTACTTTGCCGCACTGTGCGCCGCGGCTACGATAAATCGCCCGTCGACGTTCGCCTTTCCACGACACCTCGTAGGCTTGAACGAGTCCATCGAGTAAGTCACCAAGCCAGCGTCGTTAGAGCGACGGCGAATCATTACCAAGTGAATCTTTTCAGAGAGGAGCTGCGAGCCTACCAGCAAAAGTACAGGCCCGTCGATTTGGGTATAGATTTGCTCGACGACGACGCGCCGATGTTTATCAGGCGGGCAATGGCGAACGCCACCCTGTCCGACGACCCGTACGCCAATCAGCTGACTCATCCCAATGTAAGAACCGTTGGCTCGATAGTGGCAAAGCGAGCCTATACCATTTTCCACTTACCGCTGCGATTCAGGGCATCCTCAGGCTCCGCAAAGCGATCGCCGAGATGTACTCGCCTCTGGTCGGCCGCCGACTCGAGCCGGAAGACCACGTTGTGGTGACGCAGGGGGCAACGGAAGCCGTTTACGCGGCGTTCACGGGGCACACTTCACCGGGCGACGAGTGGATCGTCATCGAACCGGCTTACCTCATGTACGTGCCGATGATTAAAATCTCCAAAGGTGTGCCCAGATACACCAGTTTGAAATTGGTACGCCGACGCTTGTTTTCCTGCCTGTGCACTCGGAGATTTTCACGCGGTTAGAACACGATAACGGCCGTGGAACCTTGCAGATGAAGGCAAATGGAACGATCAACGGAGACGATTGGGTGCTGAATAAGGCAGAAATGGAAAGTTTATTCAATGAGAAAACCAAGGGAATACTGTTGAACAACCCACTGAATCCCATCGGCAAAGTTTACAAGCGCGAGGAGCTTGAATTCATCGCTGGTCTGGCGATAAAATACAACGCGATCGTCATCTGTGACGAAGCACACGAGTGGATAACTCACAAGCCTCACGTTAGAATCGGTAAGTTTCACGTTTTCGCGCAAGGCATCCGTCTCGAAACCTGGTTCGTTGCAGCCTCTTTGCCGGGAATGTTCGAGAGGACCATCACCATTGGCACGTCGAGCAAGACTTTCAGCGTAGCCGGTTTCAGAATTGGTTGGGCGTATGGTCACGCAAACGTTTTGAATCACCTGAAAACTGCTCACGAAGTAGCCGTTTATTCCTCTCCCGCACCGCAACAGGTGACACCACGTTTGGAGACACCGGTGCCCGACTGTCCGACGACGCGCTTACCATGAAATCTGCTGGCCAAACAGGTAGCCGTGGCCTACGCCTTCGAGCGAGAACTGTGCAATTTCGGCGCTCCGGATTCCTACTTGATATCCCACCTGCGGACCGTCAAGCAACAGCGCGACGCAATGATCGAGGCGCTGGCCGGAACGGGCATAACACCTGTTATCGCCGACGGCGGTTTCTGCATGCTAGCTAACTGGTCTGCACTTGGAGCCAAAATCACCAACGTTTACGGATCCATGCAGTTTATTATATGGATGATCAAAAATGTCGGGGTGCTGGGCCTTCCTTTGCCGGCCTTTTACGGCCCCGAGCACAAGCACATTGGCGAAGACTTCGTGCGGTTTTGCTTTCACAAGGTTGGCGAGATCATCCGGATGCTCCTCTGACAAGAGTCTTTTAATTTTTGAAATTCCTTTACAGAAAATGGCGACTCTCCACGAGGCAGCTCGAAGATTCAAAAAACTGCGAGATTCATTTTTTCCTTGATAACTATTAGCTTCTACTTGTTATTATTTATTAAATTGAAGATCTTTGCTTTGACTGCACGGATAATGACTATTGTTCTTTCTTTACTGTTTGCTTTATAAGTAACCGACGTCTTTTGTTCATGAGCATTCTTCAGTCCGTGATGAACCAAGTAATAGTTTAATTTCTCATGGCTTAGTCTTCACAGAGAAAATATCTCGGTAGCTTACTGCTGAAAGATTGCCTTCGCTAAGTCTTTTATTATTTTTATTATTTTCCACTGACAACTTTGTAACCAATATATCAGCAGATAACAAACGAGCAGTATCAGGCTCATTAACTCTTTGCGCGCGCGCAACTCTACGCCATTCGTAATCCGATCTTAATTGCAGATAATATTATGCTCTCAAAAATTTTAATAAATAAATAACGCATTCAGTAACGTTCTGTTAGCACTTAATCGTTGCGATTCCCTCGATCGTTGTATGCCTTGTGCAAATAATTTCGATTCTACATCTGTTTCGGGCATTGGTCGTACGGAGCATGGAGCTGAAAAATTTCCTCGGTATGCGAAGTGTTGCACTACTAACGGTAATTATTTTTCAATACTAATTTTCGAGCTTTTTATTGGTGAGATATAAGTCGCATAAATAATCCAATCAGCCGACGTGAACAATTAGGTGTGCACTTTCGTCGCCTTATGCGCTGCTGCTAGCACGAAAAAATTTTCCAGAGGTTTTCCATTCCCACCTCACCTGATCGGCACCAATTACTCGGCAATGTGCGTTGACATTTCCCTTTGACTGTCGCGATGGCTAATCGAAAGTTATTGTTCCGCAACGCAGGAACGATTTACAAGCGTACAAGGAGAAGTACGATCCCGTGGATCTTGGAATCGATTTGCTCGACGACCACGCGCCCGAGTACATCAGGAGAGCGCTGGGAGAGGCCAGTCTCTCCGATCCCGCTTACAATCAATACACACCCAATGATGTAATGGCGATAGTCGTATAGAAAATGCATCGGCTGCTTTGTATATTCAATCGTCTTTACCAAAATTTAACAATACGAAGAACGGCAAAGTTGCAATAATTTCGCAGGGTACAGTGCGGCTACGAACCGCAATCGCGGATTTATACTCGCCCTTGGTCGGCCAACCACTGAACCCCGCGGAAAACGTGTTGGTAACGATTGGCGCGACCGAGGCTATGCACTCGGCCATCGTCGGCCACACCTTCGCCGACGACGAATGGATCCTCATCGAGCCTGCGTACAGCATGTATTTGCCGATGATCAGGATGGCTGGAGGTGTGCCGCGATTCACCGCCTTGAAACTGGTTGGTTCGGTCGTGTTTGCACCACCCGAGCCGCGTGCTCTCCCAGCTGAAAACCCGTTGTTGTCCGAAACAGAACGCGACCGGGGCTCCGGCCAGCGGTGACGACTGGAAATTGGACCAAGAAGAGCTGCAGAGTTTGTTCAACGAGAGGACGAAGGGTATTATCCTGAACAATCCGGTGAACCCGGTCGGCAAGGTTTACACGGCGGAGGAGCTGGAGTTCATCGCGGAGCTGGCTCGGGAGCGCGACGTGCTCGTGATCAGCGACGAGGCACACGAGTGGATAACCCACAAGCCGCATCGCAGAATAGGTAGACGGAGTGGAGGGCGGAGTGGAGAGCGGAGTGGAGGGGGCGGCCCATTGACGGCGCTTTGGCGTTGCAGCTTCGTTACCCGGGATGTACGAGCGAACGATAACCGTGGGCTCGGCTAGCAAGTCGTTCAGCTTGGCCGGCTGGCGGATCGGCTGGGCATACGGCCATCGGGACGTTCTCAACCACGTCAAGACGGTCCACATGAACAGCGTGGATTGCGCGCCTGCGCCCCAGCAGGTAATGCCAAAGGCGGCCGCTGGACCTCCTAGAGACGAGCGGTGAAGCGATTGTAACGTCGACGTGCCGTTAGGAAGCCTTGGCCTTCGCCTTCGAGGAGGAAATTCGTCATTTCGGATCGGCGCACTCCTACTTCGCGACGCATCGGGAACACGTGAGACGCCTTCGCGACATGCTCGTCGAAGCTTTCGCGGACGTCGGCTTGAAGCCCGTCGTCGCGAGCGGCGGATTTTGCATGCTGGTCGATTGGACCCCTATCAAGAGTCGAGTACCTCGGCTCGCCGGCTCTATGGACTTCGCGATGTGGTTCATCAAGCACATCGGGGTACTGGGCCTACCCGCAACTTCCTACTTTGGAGAAGAGCACAAATCTATTGGACAGGACTACGCGCGATTCTGCTATCACAAGGCAAGCGACGGATACTTTGAGGCATCGCGGACGAAAAGATTGTCGTGCGATATTACGCGTCTTTTTCTTTTGATTTTGCAGAAGGTCGATACGCTCGAGGAAGCGGCACGGAAATTGAGCAAACTGAAAGGTCTCTTGTGAAGCGTCGGTCGCTATTTGTCGAATTATCTTCGCAATACGCTTACATAGTTTTCAATGTACCGCTTTTATCTATCAAAATCTTTATAAAAATGACAATAAATTAGTTGTCTCTTGATGTATTGTGATTCCCTGATTACATCGTATTTATTCAATTTCTAAAGAGTAAATCAAGCTGAAAGAGAAATATCGAACATTTTCCTTGATCGATCATAGTCGACGGAATATATAACACTATTGAGTAACGATCAACACACCTATCAAATGCCAAGTGAAAACGGAGATAACGTTGAGCTCCCGTGCGCATCGATCAAACCGAAAACGGTATTACATTCTCTCGGGCAGATTCCGCTTTTATACTGTACTATTATATACTCGTGAATTATTTCACTTCAAATAATATGTTTTCAAAATAAAATTGTTAGACGGAACGGCATTGTAGACGCAGCTGCAGAAATAAAAGCTGAGCATTAGTCTCGCAACGAAGGCACTTTATTTAGCACATAGCACACACACGCTGTCACTTCGGTGAGAGAACGAGAGACAAGCGTGTCGCAGGACACAACGTGGGTAGTGAGTGACGCGACCGACGCATGCGTCGCCCCCATACGAGCATACGTGCATATACCTACCTATATACAAGCCATTCAACAAAAGTTATTTCAAAATTAAATATCTAATTATCGATTAAAAAATGACAAATCCGAAAATTTGATCAGATCGGGAAAGCGATGCCAAGGTGTTTCGCGTAAGGGGCGTTTCTTTGTTCGATTTAATTAATATTTAGATTATTCACTGTAGATTGTATTTTTGGAAGTGATACAAAACCAGCAAACAAAAATTAAATTAAGAAAAAGAGTTAATTTATTAAAATTGTGAATCTGCATGTAGAACTATGGGCCAGAGATGTTAGTATCAATTTAAAAAAGATATCTGTTGGAATTAAGAACACAAGAAACAATTGATGATAACGCCATGCCAATTTAAAGATAATATGCACTTCCGTATCAATGAACTATGCTTAATTTTTCCACTCGATCATTACAGATCTTTGCAGTCTTAATTATCACGACAAATTGATTAATATTATAACTTTTGGTTTAAGACCATAATCGCCCCTGCTATATAAACTCACGGACACTGGATTAATAGCAGCCTTGCAAATAAATTGTAAGCAGTCGGTCTACCGTAAAATATCATGGATAGGCGCTATGCATTTGAGAGATGCTCTGGCGAACGCGACACACGCGACTACGACGTGAGAAAGTCATATCTTTGAGCACGTGGGAAAAGAGAGCAGGATTTGCAATTAGGAACGTCAGCGATGGAGCGACAAAAGAATTAGTTAAATGCGTATTCGGCCGCAGGGATTACCGAGGGAGGCTGAGGCACGCCATCGCGGCAATGTACTCGGTGCTAGTCGGCCATCGATCAAGTCCTGACGATAGCGTGCTGGTACCTGACCATCGGCGCGACCAAGGCTGTACATGTGACTGTCACAGGGCGAGTGGCCGATCGTCGAACCGGCTAATTACAGCATTTATTCACCGATCATCCAATAAGCCAAATTGATCGGTGTTGCCAAATTGATGGCTGCAACATGGCTGAGTTGTTCGATGATCGCGAGTTTTGGAGCAATAGACGAGCAATCGTCCAACGTAGAATGGCTCGTAGAATGGCTCGGAGGTACAAACATGCTAATAATCAGCGACGAGGCGCACCACCGGCTCACCTTCAAACCGTGCATCAAAATAAATACACCCCGAAAATGCCGCTTTCATGATTAATCTTAATCCATTGATTGCAATCACCTCGAGTTCAGCATCGTTGCCAGGACTGTACGAGCGCACGATGACCATCGTCTCGGATCGTCTCATCGTGTTAATCAATATCACAATAAGAAATGAAAATTAAGATAAGAGAGTGCAAAGCTCGTCTGGCGTCACTAGTATTGACGGATTGAAAAATGCATTGAACTTTTGTAGATGGTGAACGTTGCAAATCTTATCTTATTGGATCAGATAAAGTGAATTTTAGATCACAAAAATTAATGATAGGCAAGGTGGATTTGAACGATGCCCTCCGATTTTAAAGCACTAATACAAAAGAACTTGTGCGACGATTGATGAGATCATTGGTTGGAAAAGGAAATTTGAAACGTATAGTCCCTATTAGAAATCGATACAAAGCAGGTATTTGTAAAGCTATTAGATATGCAGTTTATAGTACTTTATTAGACAATTTTATTGTATATAAAGGAAAACCCTACAAGTTCATTAATAAATCTGTTTGTGTCACTTTTAGCATTTTCTAAAAAGAAGCACGGCAATCCTGACAGTTCGACTATCGATAAATACAACGCAATACTGTCACATCCAATTACTACTCTTCGTAATACATACAGCAATTGTGCAGTAAAAAATTTTATGTATAAAAGGACCACACCGAGTCCTTTGACAAAATCTTGCAACAACTCAAGAGATTAGAATTAGAAAAACGAGCGGTGGTGGCCTGATGGTTCAGTGAGTAAGTACGAGTTCTGGCTTCCGTGCAAAAGATCACAGGTATGTAAAAATGTTGAAAAATATGAAATTTTCATGTGTTTGTTACTGTGATTTCGATGGTTCAGATTCTACCTTGAAAAAAACTTCTCTCTTATATCTTTCCAAAAGTGATAGGAGAAGTCAGTCTACGTGCGAATGACTATAGAGAACCAAGGCACCTAGTGTACCTTTGCAGCGTTCCACGTGAATGTATTCTTGAAGTAATAATAACAACAAATAAGACAACAATCGCCGACAAAACTGGGTATCGCTTTCGGTTCTGCTTTCACTCTCGCTTTTTTCTATATCTAGTTCTTTCAGTTTTCCGTTCCTTCAACGTTAATATCAGACAATTCTTAATCATCCATTCATTTTCTCAATGTTCAAAGGAATTGTTAACATTCACTTTTAATATTAATTTTAACAAACAAATGAAATATACAAAATTTATTGAAAAATAAGAAAAAATCATTTATAAATATTGCATGGAAAAAACGGGACACATTTTTCATTTATTTAAATTTTTTACTGTTTTTAAAAGTCTTCGTTGGCTTAAAAAATCATGGTTGGAAAAAATTTTTTACAGTTACTCTAGAAATATTCCAATTCCGAATGTTTTTGGAAAATCTATGGAAAAAAACAAATTACACGCGATATAACGTACTAAACGTACCAATACAATACAATATTTCTAAATTAAACATGAGAAAATTTTTCCAACTGTTATGCCATGATCTTTTTGGTAAGCCAAGATTTTTTTATGATTATACTTTTTATGAGATAAAAATGGCTTCAAAGCGTAGGCCATAACGATATGATATACTTGCAACAAACATACCTTTTGATGCAAAAAATACAAAACATAAAATTTTCCAAGGCTTAAAAGAGCCATGGAAAATCTTTGACTCAGGCGATATAGGTGAATCCCAACATAATAATTAAAAGTCGTGCAATATTGATACAAGTGTTAGTGTTACTAATTGTAAGTGATACATTTGTCAGAACAGCAGTTAAATTAGTGTTACTCCGATGCTATAAAACAATGCTTAAGACCGTCTTGTCATACAGTTCTATCGAAATCTCACTTTAGAATTGTCGTGCATTTGATTTTGGTGATAAATTCTCTAATATCTAGTTTAAAATGAGGTTCCAGCAATTTTTTATCTTTGTCACGATTAATCCGGTGAGTCGAGCAGTTGAAATCTTAAAATTTGACTTGCTATACGAGGGATACACAGAAGCGATAATTGACTGAAAGTGTTTTCAGCTGCTCATCATATCGATCGATGCTGCAGTTGTGAAAAGATCGCTGAAGCACAAGTTTCCAGAACACCTCCTTAACATCAACTCAACAGCCGCGTAAGCTTTCACGCTCGATTGTTGGATAATCGTCGATCGATCGACAGCTCATTTTCGATGTTTGTTTCTTTGCAGTGACGAGGTAGTGGCTTTCGCAATGGGACACGATTACGTGGACATGGGCGTAGACATGCTCGACGATTTCGTGCCGCTGAATTTACGAATGGCCTTAGCTAACGCTACTCTTGCCAACGATCCCATGACCAATCAAGTCACACAGAGTCATTACGTGAGAAATATGCCAAGTCACCGTCTGAAATTGCGCTTCGACGAACGAATGCCTATTTGGATTTGATTTGTGCAGGGACTGTTGAGGCTCCGAGCCGCAATTGCTAAAATGTACTCGCCGCTAATCGGCCAAGACCTGGATCCAGAAGCAAACACGCTGATAACCCTAGGCGCTACCGAAGCCATCTACGCCGCGTTCTTCGGCCACACGTCGAGCGGCGACGAATGGATCGTCATCGAGCCCGCATACTCCATTTACTTACCGATTATCAAGATGTGCCGCGGTGTCGCCAAAGTCACATCCTTAAAGCTGGTTCGACTCCTTTCCTTCTTTCTCGATTTATTCCCCGCCGAAGGAACGTTAATCGCGATTCACGCCAAACTCGCAGGGGAAACACAAAGGCGAAGTTCATGGAAACGATTGGGTACTGGATAAACGAGAGCTGGCAAGTTTGTTCAACGCGAGAACCAAGGGTATTCTAGTGAACAACCCACTGAATCCAGTCGGCAAAGTTTACACGCGCGAGGAGTTGCAGTTCATTGCCGATCTGGCCGTCAAATACGACGCACTCGTCATCACGGACGAGGCGCACGAGTGGGTCGCTTACAAGCCGCACGTGAGAATCGGTGGGTAGAAGAGCGACCTTCGCAGTAATTATTCTTTCAATCGATTCGATCGCTGCGAATCTCGTCAGGCTCGCTGCCGGGAATGTTCGACCGAACCATCACCATCGGCTCAGCGACCAAGTCGTTCTCCGTGTCTGGATGGAGAATCGGCTGGGCCTACGGACCGAAGGACTTGATCAACAATTTGAAAACGGTGCACAGGGGATCGGTTTACTACACTCCCACGCTGCAGCAGGTACCGCGCGAGACACCCTTGTACATCCAGAATGCGCAGCAAACGTTCACTATTCATTGGCATCCTTTAGATAGCTCTGGCGTACGGGTTCGAGGAGGAAATTCGCAACTATGGACTGCCAACTTCGTATTTTGTATCACATCGCGAACAGGTCAAAGTAAATCGCGACCTCGTGGTCAAGGCGTTTTTGGATGCCGGCATGAACCTAACCATTGCTGACGGCGGCTCTTGCATGCTCGTCGATTGGTCACCATTGAAAACTCGATTGCCGAACGTTCACGGAGCCACCGATTTTGCTAAATGGCTTGTCGCTAATATCGGTATATTGGGTTTGCCCGCAACTTCGTATTACAGCGAGAAACATCAAAGTATGGGTGAAGATTATTTGAGATTTTGTTATAATAAGGTGAGACAGCTGATTTTACGAGTTCTCGCGCTTTACCAAATTCGCTATAATTAGAATAACAAATTTAATGCCTTGCTCTTGATTTGTTCGAGCAGAAATACTATAACCTCGTGGAAGCGGCGCGAAGACTAAAGAAGATCAAATATGGAATCTCACAATAGCGATATTAACCAACAGATTTTCATTGGTTCTAGCATAATTTGTCTGTTATATTTTGGTTGTGCTATGAAATAATAGTATTTGAATAAAAAGAACTTTTGTAGGTTGTATGCTCTTCAATAAGCTTAGCGAAAAATATTAATGAGCGTTGAGTATTCGGAACATTAAGAATGTTTGTTGGCTGGATAAAAGGGAACAAGAAAGGGTAACCGATAGTATGCTAAAGCTTTGCTAGCCAGATACGGCGGAATAAAATCTGCTCTTCTATTTAGGAAATCTATCTACGATAGCCGTATAACATTATCTTATAGATCTTTCGTAAAGTCGCTTGATCCTTTCTGGCGAAACTTATCATCGCGGCATAGACAGCTAGGTTTATTTACTTGCAGTGGTCGGTAACAAACTGCCAGACATAAACAGAAACTAATAAGTGTAATTGAATGAAAAAATCACGTGCAAGTGCGAATCTACGTTTGTTAGATTGTTTGTGTATTGATATTATTAATAAATAGTCGATCGGCTATTATTTATAATAAATAAGGCTGTATCTTGATAAATTCTAGCATAATTTATTGCATATATAAACATTTTGATACACTTTTTTTTTCTTCTTTAAACGTTCGTTAAATTCACGTAGAGCTTAATGCTTTGTGTCAGTGGAATCGTTATATGATAATTAGATAAGACGTTTTTGTTTTCTACAGAGACAGAACTGATAGACAATGTAAATCGCTTTCTCTCCGATAGTCGAGTAGGCGTCGTTCAATGTAATTATCAAAAAAGAGACTGGACTGGAAAAAGTCGAAGGAGAGGGGGGCAGCAGGACATTTCTACGAGTTCCCACGCGATTTGGCATGACGCAATTGACAATGACGCTACGTGCACGTATTGCACTAAAAAGAAAAATTCCGTGCAGTCGCGCTAGCGAGAAGTAGAGGGGGAGAGAGTGAGAGAGGGTGACAATGAAGGTGAAAGAACAATCGGCGGTCGTCGATTGGCCTTGCTTCTGTACACGTTACGATGTGGGCCGGGTGAATAGGTGGTTGGAAGGAGGACACACAAAAACTGCTTCGCGAACTGTGTAAACGTTCTCGCTCGTACCAACGTGCCGCGCTGTATCCCTTAGTTCGTTCAGGTCCGTCGATATGCACAAGAAGAGTTAGGAAGAATCAAGAGCGTGTGGCGAACGGGAGCGAGCAATTTTATCACAGTCTAAAGCGATAATGACGAACAAGAAGAAGAGGAAGAAGAAGAGGAAGAAGAAGAAGATTGAGATTGTGAAAAGAGCTAATTAAATTCAATATACTACGTCTAAATTCGCATCGTACGAAGGACTAGATTCGAGTACTTATCGTTATAGCTATAACGTAATAATACAATTGGATTTATCCACGGAGGACTCAAGACGAAAGAGAAAGAGAGAGAATCAAAGAATTTGTATTTGTTTTTTCTTCATTACGCGTGTCTCGGAATGGACTTACTTGTATACGAGTGTAACGACGTCACGTTTTCATCCGTATTGTACATCGACTTTATCGTCACACACACGCTTTGTCCGCAAGAGAGACAGCTTTGAGCTCTATATATATGTATCCCTAAATATATATAATATTTATATATATAAATTACATTTACATTATACATTTACAATGGAATGTCTCGCTCTTTGTGTAACGTTTGCGTGTATATAATGTGTACACGTCTCGCAAAGGCTGGGACGCGGCGTGGAAAAGAATTTAGTTCCTAGCTCGACTATAAATATATAAATGCACACGACGGTCGAAATACCGAGCGACGATGCGCGAATTTAAGTACATGAAACGAAAAGGGAAAGACATCGAAAAGTTGACGACACACTAATAAAGGCCGGAGAGAAGAGAGAGAGAGAGAGAGAGAGAGAGTGAGATACGCTCGTGTGTTCAATGTACGTGTGTAGGATATGATGATGTGATGATGATTGACGTTGCCAACACCAAATTTGTCAGCGCGCCATCGTACTTTCGCTTTCCACGGTTTTACAAAAAGAATTAGCTAACACATATCACAGAATGCGTATTTTTCTTTCGTTTTTGTCGCGCTTCGAGAGACAGAGATTACATAAGGTTTTCGTGGATTTTTTTTTTGTTCTACAAATTAGGAGAAGAAGGATTCTTAGGAGGTTACGCGTATGTTTAATGTTGCTGCGGTGGCTGGCGTTCGTCGAATGATGCGGCTACGTGGTAGTTGCGACGACCAAAGGAAGAATGGTGAGGAGACGGCCAACGCGCCCGCCTCTTTCGGGGCTAAGGTCGTCGTACCTGCGCACAACGCCCATCGATTAATTTCATCGTAAGAAAACAGAAGAGAAATAGAAAATTGAGCGCAGTGACGAGAACGCTCGCGCCAAAGGATGACGTTCGCCCGCGCGCGTCGCAACCCCCGCCAACGGTCGCCTCCAAATTGAAAATCCCATCAGCGCCAGCCGTCGCAGCGAGGAACTTCAATCAAACGTGCCCCCCCCCCCTTTCTCATGATTTCCCGAATGTAACGGCGTGCGCGCCCCACCCATGAGGCGATCGTTCTCGTCAGCTTTCGGCCCTTTAATAACAGGCCTCGCGCAGCAGACACACGCACCAGTTGGAAGCGAGTCCGGCAGCTGCGGCCTAATCAAGTAAAAAAAGGAAAGAGGCGAGAGCGGCCTTCTGTTTTAGCGTCCAGCTGGTTCACTGGTTGAGGAGAGTGTTGGTCACCTCAGTGATGGACAGCAGAGGACTCCCGGCGTCCGGCTTGGCATGCTGCTGCTCTGCTGCTGCTGCTGCTGCGGCTGCTGCTGCGGCTGCTGCTGCTGCTGCTGCTGTTGCTCCGATTGGTCCAGCAGAGCCGGGCAGTACGACGACTCGGTGGCGCTGCGCACACACGTTGTCCGTGTGAATTTTCGAATGAAAGACAATTGGATAATGAGAGCTCTGCGCGCCCGGCGCAGCGGACACCGCGAAGTGAGTCCGTGCGCAGAGCGCAACAGAGAGAAGAGCAACAGCGCGAAAAGAATTCGACCTGAGAGAGAAAGAGAAGAGTGTGAGAGCGACACTCACTGAGACGCGTGGCGTGGTGCAGTGGGGTGATGGTGGTGGTAGGGATAGTACTGGTAGTGCTGAAGCCCCTGCCATACCTCGGAGTCCTGCTGGTGCGGCGGCGGCGGCGGCGGCTGCTGGTGCGGCTGCGGGGGGTAGGCCGCGGGCGCGTACTGCGCGGACGTGACGACCGGGTAGTGCGACTGTTGCGCGGGCACCACGACCGCCGGGGCCGGCGGGGCCTTGCGCGGCGGACTCGCCGCCGGCGACGCGCGCTTCCACTTGCAGTCGCCGTTCAGCGAGTTCATCTCCTGCAGGCTCTTGAGCGGGTCCGGCCGCGCTGCAAGCAGACCGAGATAGGGCGCTGCTGGCGCGCGACGGCCGCCCGCGCGGCGCGACACTCACCGTCGAGCTGCGCCCTGGCCGCCGGGGGACTGTAGCTGCCGTTGCTCCGCGGCGGCGTCCGGGCGGGCGGCGCGCCCCACATCAGCACCGTCTCCCGCGGCAGCTCGCCCCGGTAGGCCTGCACCTCGGGCTTCACGTCCTCGCTCTTGGGCGTGAGCAGCCCGTTGTTGTTGTTGTGGCTGCTGCTGTTGTTGTTGTTGTGGCTGCTGCTGTTGTTGTTGTTGGCGCAGGCGGGCGAGCTGCCCGCCGAGTTGGACGAGGCCGAGGCGGCCTCCAGCGAGTGGCGGCTGCCCGCCCGAGCCAGGCTCGGCGGCTCGGCCGCGTAGCCGGCGTACTGCTGGTGGGCGTTTTCGTAGGTCGGCGGCAGGTCGATGAAGCCGTTGTAGCCGCCGGGCGCCGAGTGGTACTCGGGGTAGTAGGAGCCGAGCGGCCGGTACTGGAAGAGGTTGTCGCTGGCGGCGAAGCCGCCGGGGTAGAGCGTCTGCGGGTGGTGCGGGTAGCCGTAGCCCGCGAGGCTCGGCTCCGCCACGGCCGAGCTCGGGTACGTGGCCGTCGCGGGGTACATGTTCAGGTTGCCGTAGGCCGCGACTACCGCCGCCGCGCTGTCCGACAGGTAGTCCACCGGCGCGACGCCGACGCCGCCCACCGAGGCTGGCGTCGACGCCGGGGACAGCGGCGACAGTTGCTGGGCCTGCTGCTGCTGCTGCTGCTGCTGCTGCTGCTGCTGCTGGTGCTGTTGCAGCTGCTGCTGCAGCTGCTGTTGCTGCTGCTGCTGCTGCTGTTGTTGCTGTTGCTGCTGCTGCTGCTGCTGCTGCTGCTGACTCGCTGCCGAGTGGCGTTCGCAATTAGGCCTCGCCGCGCCTCTCCCTCGACTCGAGCGTGCGCCCTTACCCATCTTGCTGGCTCGCTTGCTGCGGCACGTCGACAGGAAGTCCCTCAGCTGCGTCTTGTAGCGGCGATTGACGCGCTGGGCCGGCGGAGGCTGCGGCGCGGGACCCGGCGCCGCGACCGCCGGCGACTGCTGTGCCTGCGACGGCGCCGCTTGGCCGGTCGTCGGGCCGGCCAGCTGGACGCCCATGCAGGCGCCGCTGCCGGCCGCGCCCACCGTGGCGCCGAGGCTCTCGCTGTCCGAGAAGTAGCTGTTGGTCAGGCCGGCGTCCAGGTAGCTCACCTTGAAGTCCATCGTCCGCTTGCCCAGCAGGTCGCGACCCTCCTCTTCCCTGCACACACAGGTACGCGCGCATTAACGCCGATCGGCCGCCGGTGTTGCCGAGCAGTGTGCCTCGCTCGTCTCACATGAGAGGCCGGTGCGTGCACGTGATGTAGTCGGGCTTGGAGTTCTTGTACTGCAGGCGCGAGCTCGTCTGCAGCCACTGCCAGCCGCTGTCCTTGGTCTGGTACCTGTAGGCGATCATGCCGCTCGCCCCGGTCTTGAGCACTGCAAGCAATCGTCGCCTTCGCTTTAGTCCGTCGTCGTCGTCGTCGGCGCCGGATGCGCGGAGAGAGCAAACAAGGGGAACCGACACTCCTGGTGGGCGCTCGCGACGTAGGCCAGGTCGTCGAAGTGGACCAAGTCGTAGCCGCCGAGGTTGGCCAGCTCGGCCTCGTCGTAGCCGAGCAGGGTACGGCCGCGCTGGTCCATGGAGACCAGGCCCAGGTCGAGCTTGTGCCGGCTCTTGAACATGACCTCCTTCTGCGGCACCTCGAGCAGCGAGGGCGGCCCGAACGGCGTGCACAGGGCGAACAGCGCCAGGGGCGGCTCCTCCGTCTTGGTGTTCTGGCCGTGCAGCACCTTTACTCGGCCCCTGATGTCCAGGCGCTGGAAGCAAGTACGGACGCCGAGGCCGCGGCCACGTTTAACCAGCGCAATCTCGTGCGCGCGGGTTTTGCTCGTTTGACTTCTCATTGACGGGGCCGAGCGCGCCAACGTTTTCGCCGCGCGCGCGCGCGAGCAAAAACTAATTAGCTCCCGCGACTAATGAGATGGAGTCGGTTTTTTGGGCAGGCCGCGCTGGACGCCCCGAGATTATTAATTACGCGGTGCCCCTTTGAGCGAGCCACGCTGAAAAAGCAAACAGAGCTCGGAGCGACTACTTATATGCCTTCTTCTCCGACTTTCCGCCTCTTTCTATTCGCACCTCCAGGGCTCGCATGCGGCGCCGCGCCGATGGTTTTGCGCGAGCGCGCCAAATTGACTGCGGCCATCTGTTTTATGGCTCGGCTTAGAAGTGCAATGTTTCTCTCTTTTTGTCTCTTTTCCTTTCTTCTTCTGCGGGTGCTTTGATAATTGCGAAGCCCCTCCGAAGCCAGATTAAACTCCGTCCGACAGCATCGACGTTCGTTCGACAGTCGAATTGCGGGCCGCGCGAGCAAACGAAAACCGGCAAGACGTGGAAGCGCGCGACGCCGATGTTTCCGCTGTTTGGACTTGTCGCGGCGCTTCGACGCTCCTCGAAGCGCTCTGTCCGGGAAATTCGCTGCCGCGACGCGGAACGTTCGGCTGAAACGCGTCCTTTGCTTTGGGACGTCGTCGGGCAGCGTCGGACAGCGTCGGGCAGCGTCGGGCAGCGTCGGGCCGCGCGAATCGATTCCGCGCCGCGCGGCCGGGGAACGAGAGGCAAGCCGACCATCCGAGCGACGGCTCGGCTGGGTGACTCCGCAAGCGCGCAAGCTACGAGCGCGATGGGCAGCGTAATGCAGATACTCACGAGAAATCCGGACGTATTGTCGAGCAGACACCGGAACCTGACGGTGAAGCTCCTCTCCAGCAGGTGAGCGTGCTGCGGCGCGAGCGCCTCGTGCAGCGGCAGACTGGCGCTCTCCGCCGGTAAGAACGAGTTCCACATGAGCTGTCGCTGCAGCTCCTCGCGATCCTCGCTGTGCACCAGCTCGTACACGCTCTGGTGAACTATGTCCGACTGCAAGAGCAGCGTGGCCGGTCAATTTATGAAGCGCACTTTGTCTGGTTATCGGCAATTTCGCGGGCCGACGTGTATGCGATCGGTCATCCGCGCAGGGACAATGCCCCCCGCCGAAACGCCCAAGTAAAGAGCGGAGTGGCGCAGTGGAAGCGCGCTGGCGTGCTGGGCCCATAACCCAGAGGTTCGTGGATCGAAACCCCGCTCTGCTGGTGTTTTTTTCTCTCTCTCTCTCTCTCTCGTCTGCTCAGTGTGAGATCTCATTTTTCATGCGGTGCCGAGTTTTTTATGGCTCTTTCGGGGCCTTTACTTTTGCGCCAAATTCCTCCTTTTTCCCCTCCCGGACTCCTCTTGTTGGGTACCGTTAATTTATATCGGACTGCGCGCTGATTAAAAAAAATTGATTGCTAACGAGATTAAACTATATATTGGCCGCGTGTGCCTGGCGAAAAAATACAGAGAGAAAAAGGAAGGACGTTGCGTTATTATAGTGACACACGAGTTTCAACAGTCGTCTGCGGCGCAGCAGCGTTAATTTAAAGAGCAGCAACGAAAAAAAGCAGCGCGCAGCGTAGCGCCGACGGTGCACTCGATAGAAAACTCTGCGTATAACCGCGCACTTGAAAATTCAAATCATTCAGGAGAGAATTACAAGCGCACTCGAACATATTATTAAATGACTTACGGTGGAACGATACCCATCTTATGGCGCGTTTACACACACACACACACACACACACATTTATATATTAATACTTATGCGCCGGGATGCGCGCGTGAATTTATAAGTTGGTTGAATGCCAAGTGCGTATCACACAATCGCCTCTCGATCTCGGTGCGCGCGCGCCTTTCACCGCATCTAGCCTAGCGTTCATTTCGAGCTTAAATTTATAAAGCGAAAGAAATAATCAGCTAATTATATTCGCGCTGATAATTTTACAGAATTGGAAGAAGTTCCGCATAAATCATTATAGCTTTTAGCTTTCAACTGTACACACACGAGCGCGCGCGCGCGCGCACAGCGGCCTTTTCTCAAGCTGCAAAAAAAGAAAAACATCGCGTTAATTATATTATTTTCTAGTTCCTGCTAAACCATTTGAAAAGTAGTCCGGCTAATAATCAGCGATAATTAGGTGCGTATGCATTGCGTTTTTGCTCGCATTGCTTATTAGTAAAGGGGAATCCTCTCGAAAAACGCAGTTGAGTTTGATTGTAAGCGCGCAGGCATCGCTTCAAAAGTGATGCAGGACATTGAGTCGCAATCAAGAGAGCATTTCGAGGATTTATCAAGCCTAGAATTGGTCGGAAGCTACAGTTACTCGCGGCCTGTACGCAGCTCGGCCGTAGCTCGGGTCGCGGGTGGCTGCTCGCTAAGGCCAGCAATAAAATGCGATGCAAAATAAAAAACAATGAATCGTAATTGAATCGTCGCGCGTTGTTCAAACAGCAAAAGTCTCGTTAGGAGGCACACGCGCGGCCATACGTCAATGAATTTTTAAAGCGGCGCATTACGGAGTCAATCGCTGCGCGCGATTACCCGGAAATCAGAAAGGAAGAAGCCCGCGCGACTATAGAGTCGTGCATTTATAATGGACAAGTCGCATAAACAAGAGAGGAGGTTGACTCTGTCTCTCACGAGACAGAGAGAGAGAGAGAGAGAGAGAGAGAGAGAGGGAGAAAACTAGACCTGTCCGTCCCTCCCGCTATCGCGATCTATTATTATTCGAGAGGCTCGCTCCGTCGTCGGGCTCTATGCCTTGTTTACACGCCAACCTGCTATCAGTCGCGCGGCTGCTCTCCCATGCCCCGTGCCCATGCCAGACTTCGCGCCTCCGCACGCGGATGTGTCGGGTGTGCGCGGAGCTCGCCTGCGCTCGCGCCCGCAAAAAGCCCGAGGAATCGGCCGCGGTCGTCGAGACTGCGCGGGCCCCCGCTTCAATTAGGACGCCGGCGCCGCGGCAACATGAAAGCGGCCGCGGCCAGCTCTTCCTCTCCGGCGATAATTAATCCGCGCGCTCTCAATTAGCGATGCTCCCATGCCCGACTCGCGCGCCGAGCCCGCGATCGAAGTGGCGTGACCGACACGTGTTGAACTCGGCGCTCGGCGAGATGCGCGCGCGCGCGTTGTCGCTGACCCCGGCCGGGGGAGGGAGAGCCCGCACGCCATCCATTGACGGGCGGCCGGGCGGCCGGGCGACCACCGCTCACCTGGTGGAAGCCGAGGTAGCTCTCGATGCTGTGCGTGGCGAAGAAGACCTCGCCGTCGCAGGTGAGGATGAGCAGGAAGCCGTTGAGCGCCTGCGTGGCAGAAGCGAACACGCGTCAGTCGAGGGCTCGTCGTCGCCGTCGCCGTCGCCGTCGCCGTGGGCGTTGGTTGGCCTCCGCGGCGCCCCTAGGCTCCACCCTCCCGCGCGCGAAAATCCGCGCCCGAGAGCTTTCACCTTGACTCGGCTGGTAACCAAGGCGGTAGCCAAGGCTCGCTCGGAGCTCGCGCGATCAATACCGCGTCCCTTCCTTCGGCGGAACAACCAACGCCCACGGCGCCTCGGGGCAGGCCTGGGGAGGGGATGGCGCTCATACCTGCAGGAACGTCTCGCCGTCCAGGTGCTGCTGGTGGTGCTCGTAGGCGCCGCGGTAGTGCGGGTTGTCCTCCTTGTCCTTGTGCATGACCACTGCAACAGAGCGCCGGGCGCGCCAGGCCGGCCGATAAGCCATCTGCGCCGGCCGACCTCGCGCAGCTGTCGCTCGCGAGGAAATGTCACTCGCGCGCGGACGCCCGTTGGCCCGCCGACTGCGCCCGATACACCGCTAATTTTCGAGGCCGGCCCCGCGCTCCGACTTCCGGGCGACCCCTAAGCCGACCACCGCTCGGCCCAATTGAGACTTCAAGAGCCGAGAGCTCGTAACTGAATTATGAACTCGTGACTCGTATCAGCGAGAGAGTGTTTGATTAAGCCGCGCTCGTGAATCACGCGCACAACTGCGCGCGCCTCTAAAGGCCAATCAGGCCCCGCGCGCTCCTCGTCCCTCGCCCGCTCTTTTTCTTGTTTTCGAGCATTATTTACGACCCATAAAGGCCGGACTTTAATATCCCTTTCTCGCGCAATGCTTTCTTCGGCTGCGTGTGCGTCTAATTATAATGTTGGATTGTTATCGGCGCCGCGTTCCGGGGAGAAGTCGAGGCAGCGGTTACGGAATGCCGCGATTACGCGCGCAAAACTCTGTGCCCCCATGCCTCGCCGCCCACACCGCCGCCGACCGAGGCAAAAAATCCCTTTACTCAATTACGCTCGGCTATAGCTCGAGAGAAGTCTCGTTTTGCTTTCCGCTCGCGCCCCCTCTCGCGGATCTACGGCCGGTCTTTCGCGCGAATCCATAAAGCGAGCGGCTCGCCTCGCTGGGCGCGTGCCGAGCGCCTATCGCGCGCCCAGCCACAACAAACAACAATGACTGGCGCGCATCCCTTAATTGAGCGATCGGCGCGCGAGCTCTCTTTCTCTCGGTCTGTTTTTTGCGCCCGCGTCGAACGGATGATTAATGGATCGTCGAGTCACGAGCGCGCGAGCTCGGCTCGGAATCGGGCCGGCGCTCGGGAACGCGCCTCGCCGCCGATTTTTCGGGGCGACAAAGGCCCGGAGATCTGGTAACGAGGCGCTCATTAATCTCGCCGCGGGCGCGCTAATTGTTATTTACGAGGGGACATAAACCAGCGCCGCGGCTTCATTACCTCGCCGGGGCCGTGCGTCGCGCCGATGCCCCGCGATGCCCGAGGGCGCGCGACCGATACTGCTAAGCCGATCAGCCCGCGAGAAATAATCATCGGCCGTCCGCGTGTGTATAAAACAGGCCGCAGAGCCGGGCGACCGGGGGGGGGGGGGGGGGTCGAGAGAGAGGATTAGCCCGTGAGCGCGGCGCTGCCTTGCCCTTCCGAGAGCGATACGGCAAGAAGAGGACGCGCGAATTAGCCTCTTCCTTTTGCCCCGCTTGGCGAACAGCTGCCGCTGCCCGACGCCAGGCGGAAATTATTTTCGAAACTGTAGCCTGGAATTTCACGACGCGCGATTAATTTTTTCTCTCTTGCTGTCGTGCGAGACCAGCTCCAAGTCGACTCGACGAACAACGAGAACGGAATTATTACGTATCCTAACGAGAGCTCGTTCCGGCAAACCGGCAACGATTGGCCGTTCGGACCTCGAGATGAGCCGAGCGAGCGCATTGGAAGCGCGCGTGAAAAAGGGGTCAGAAAAGAGAGGCAAGGCAAACAGGCCTTCTGCCCCGGCGACCCCCGGCGCGCACATGCACACGGCCAATTCCGAACGCCAGCTCGCGAGTGAGGCCCTCCGCGCCCCTCCGGTGCGCCGCGCGAGCGTGACGGATCGATGCGAGCGCGGCCGAAACCTACGATTTCTCTCTCCCTCTCGAGGCGGCGATCGATGGCCGAGAGCGCGCGCGCGCGCGCGCCCGCCAAATCAGAGGAATATAATTGCTCGGCTCGAGGGGGTGGCGCGGCCGGGAGGGGCCGCGAGGGGCCGCGCGGGGCCGCGAGGGGCAGGGAGCGCGTATGCTAATGCGAGAGCGCTCCGCGGCGATATCCCAGCCAGATAAACAAAGCAATTACGCGAGGGCGTACCAGCCGCGGCGGCGCCCGATCGAGAAACCGACGCATGCGCACTAATTAATAAAGGCAACCCCTTTCGCGGGATCCGCTCGTCTGCCGGGCCTTTTCGCGTTCTGGGGCGCTCCAGTCCTGGCGTTCGGGCCAAATTGTATACGGACCCCTCCGGACCCGCCGGCCTCGCCGGCCTCGCCGGCCCCGCGGACGGCTCGACGAGCAGGGGACGAGAGCGGCGAATGCGCGCCGGGCGCTCTCTCGCGGAAAAAACTGGGTAAACTACGCGCGAGCCACGGCTCCTCCGCGCCTACGTGTGTGCGTGTGTGCGCGCGGGAGCAGCTGGCTTTCATCGAACGATCGTTAAGGAGGTGTAAAATCCGTGAAAGAGTCAGCGCAGCGTGACGCCGAACGAAACGAAAGGAAAAGAAACCGAAAAACACAACCCACGCGCGCACGGACACGTAAGCCGCGGCGAAGGAGGAAAAGCGAAGGAAAAGGGAGCGTTTGATTTATGTATAATGGGAATCTATATATCCACCAGGTGAGCGCGGAGCCTCTAGATTTACAGCTAATCACTTTCGGCCCCCTGCGCGCCCAAGGGCTTTTGAGTTATCGGCGGGGGCGAGAAATCGAATTAATATCGAGCCCGTCGTGACGAGGCGCGCGCACATTGTTTTTCGCCGGGGACGCGCCCGCGCGCCCGCGCGCCCGATTACTTCGTCAACGCGCGTCCGCCCGTAATCGTGATCGACAGCGCGGCCCCGCGGCTCGTTAACGTCGATGGAAATTCACGCGCCGTGCGCGCAATTAGCCTGCGAGAAGCGGAAGCGAGCGTCGAACGTTCACCTCCCGACCGCGCGGCGAGGAGTTCGCCGTCCAGCGCGCCGATCGATCCCGCGGACGAGGAAGCGCCGGCGCTCGGCCCGAGAGAGAGGAGGGTCCCTCCTCGGCTCCTCGGCTCCTCGGCTCCTCGGCTTCTCGGGCGCGCGCCTTCCCGCTGGCGTGCTCTCCGCGGCGGCGCACGTATACGCGCCACGGGTCAGGGTTGACGTTCAGTAGGTCAGGAGCCTGCGGGCTCGCGAGCTTGCGTGCGCCACGCGAGCCGATCGCGACGTTAAAGGCTATTAATTAGCTCCTTCCGCGATTCCGAAAAACGCAACTGGCGCGCGCGCGATAAAGCATGTGTGCCGATGCACCGACGCGCCCGACACGGCTCGCAGCTTCGAAGACGCGCGGCCGTCGGACGGCTCGCGTCGCGGCTCGCGGCTCGCGGCTCGGCAAGAGGACGCGCCGAGATCCGGTCGTCGACCGGCTTACCTTGGAAGTAGCTCTTGGTTCTGAGGTAGCTCACGCTCAGCCTGAGTATGCTCAGCCGGTCGAGCTTGCTCAGTATGTTCTGCTCGAAGGGCAGCAGCGACGCCAGGGTGTCCAGCTCGGCGTTCAGCCGCTCCCGGTGCCTCTTGCTCGGATTCGACTTGGTCACTCCGTCCTTCTGCGCCGGCTTCAGGCTGCAATTAATCACGCTCTCTGAGCCTCGCCGGCATTTTAATTACGACATTCCCCCTCCCCCGCGCACGCACGCGCGCGCGCACTCGCGCAGCCCGGCTGCGAGAATGATAACGTTTTTCCATTAATTACTCGCGCGGTAATTAACCGTATGCGCGCTTTTCTTGCGCCGCGTTTTTTCCTCGCGCTCGGCTCGCTTTCGTCGTGGCGCTGCGCTATTTTAACGAGCGGCAGTCGCGCGTCCCTCTCTCTCCGTCGCGCTCTCGTTTTCGGCGTCCGCGTTGCTCGTGGAAAGCCGATCATCGATCAGCTCGGGCCACCGAGGCTGTGCGTGTCTCGCGCGAGCGCGCCTCGATTGAGACGCAACGCGCGCGCGCCCGGCGACTCATCAATTCCCCGAGCGGCCGAGCGAGCGAGCGAGCGAGCGAGCCAAGTCGGCTTTCGCGTCGGCCCCCGCTGCCGACCACCACATGGTCCGGGGAGAAGGCCTCCTCGGCCGGCCGGCCGGCCGGCCGTTAATAAGACAATGAGCGATGGCCTCTATCTCTCGATTGTTTCATAAAGGCGAGCGCGGGGGGAAGGCGCCCGTGCGCCAGGTGATATCTGTTCTGCGGCGATGGCTATCGCGTGAATCACCCTGCCCGGCTCTCGCGCCATTTTGAGCGCGCGGGGAGAGCATGATATTCCGCCCTTATTCGCCGGGCGGAAGAGGGAGGGGGACCACGACGACGAGGGAAAAAAGCGGCGGCGGCCGAGGAAAGGCGAGCGCGCGCACGCGCCCGACGCGGCGACAGCGAGCCCAACAGCAGCCGCACAGCAGCTCTCCCGTGCACTCGCGGGTTATGGATTTTTTCGCCACTCGATCTGGCGTCGAACGGAGTCGCGCGATTCGGTCATTTATGCGCGCGATGCCTCGGCGCTCTGCCTTCAACTGGACTGAAAATTGCTCGGTACGCAGTTTCATTATCCTATGGACTTCGCTCCCCAAGCCGCGCACTCCCCCACTGTCTCCGCGCGCCGTAACGAGCTTACGGCCCGTGACTAGTTTTCTGCGGTTTGACGTCGCGGCGCGAGCTTTGCCCTTCGCCTCGCCGAGCGATTCGAATCGCGATCGCGCAGATCCGTCGAACTCGCGAAGGGTGGCGCGCCGCGTTGAGCGCTTTTCGCCCGGAAAATCGAATATGCAAATACAAGAGAGACTCCAGGTGAGTCAGTGAAAAGAGAGAGAGAGAGAGAGAGAGAGACACGTTATCGCGGCGCGAGGCATTTACATTTCGGCGACTATTACCCACCCATCCAACCCATATATACCTACCTAATTAAAGAGTCGTCGGGGGAAAAAAAAAGACGAAATTTGTTTTTTCGGGTGGGGTTCGCTCTATATAGGGTGCCAAGTGTGCTGCTGCCGTAATTTATGGATATACGACTTTCGTCGACTTTATAACATTTTATGTACGTGTGTGTGTGTGTGTGTGTGCGGAGAGTATCGAGAATGGAATAATTTTAGTAATTGCCACTGCCCTCGATACATTATTCATATGGAGAGCGCGCGCGCGCGAGAGAGAGAGAGGGCGAGAGGGGGAGAGAGAGGTGTGTTTATCATAAAAATGTTTTATGAATTTCTTTCTCTGCGCACTGCGGGGGTATCAGAATGCCAAGATAGCAGTCGTTTCTTTTTCCTTGTTTTCACGAGCAGGTAAACGCCACGATTACCGCGTTGCTCGCTTCGGCCTTGTTTACCGTTGCCCGCGCGCGCACCCGAGCCGAGCGAGCGTTGGAGGATTGGGCTCGAGCGTCCTCTCGCCTGCGCGCTGGAAGTCGAGCGCTCGAGAGACAATGGCTGATACGAGAGAGGCGATAGCGCGCGGAAGGCTGGAAAGCCCACGATAGTAATTACGCGGACTCGCTGTCCGGAAGCTGCAGCAGCAGCAGCAGCAGCACCAGCACCAGCAGTCCGGGCGAGATCCCTTTTCTCTCGGAAATCGCGCAATCGCATCTGGCTCGTGGAATCCTTCTCGCAATTAACGCGTCCCACGCCTCCCCCCTCCCGCACTCACGCGCGCGCCTTTTTTCTCCCTCCTCGCGGTACGATACGATCGCGCGCCACCACGGACTAGTTCGCTCCTCTCTCACTCTATATGCGTATAAATCCGGCGATCGGCTCGTAAATCGCCGAACTTTCGTATAAATCAGTGCCGAGGCCAATTAATTAGACGCGTAATTAGGAGCCCGACGCCATATGCCGAAGCTATATATGCAAATGCGCTCGCTCCTCGCGATTGAGACGTTCGCTCCTCTCTCGCTCTCTCTCTCTTGCTTGTTTTCTTCTTCCCCTCGTGCCCCCCACCCCCCGTACGCGCGAGGCAATCGAATTAAAATGCACGCGGACGCATACGTCTCGCGATTTTTGCCCGGCCGAGCGGGGATTTAGGTGCGGCCGCGCTCGTTACTCGTCCCCGCGCTCTCCTTTCCATTGGTCGCTCCGCGCGACCAGCGAGAGAGCCTTCATTTCGCTTATTGCCCTTAATGTCCAAAGTGCTGCCTAAGTATACCCTTGGCGGTCGGCGCGTCCACTCGAATTTTGCACTGTTTGCTCGTATCGCGCCTCTGCTTCTGCACTCTTCGCATTGTCATTATTATCGAGCGATCGCAAAGGTCGGTGACGTTCGACGCGCCGTCCGGATGCGCCTAGGAGTCGGCCTAGAGCTCGGAGTGAGTCGCCATCATTAAATCGCTGTAATTGACAGTGGTACATCCAAAAAAGCCCGCATTCCAGCGGCAGCAACAAGAAGGAGGGGAAAAAGAAGGACACGGGATGCGCGACAGGCAGCAGCGGCAGCAGCGACCGGCCAATCAGATTTAACACCTCACGAAATAAGAGTGCAGCAGCGCAGCGAATTTGCATCAGCCATCAGATAAATCCCTCGTTTTAAACGTTTTCGCTGGCTCGGCGCGCTCCGCCGACTAGTGTAATTGATAATTAGGCGGCCGAGAAACGGCAGCAGCACCGGCAGAGGCTAGCAGCAGCAGCGCAGCAGCAACACGGGAGCGCAATTAATCGGCCGTGGCTTTCTCGCTGCGAACGACGACCGACTCCTCGGCGATGATTCGAATCTCTCGAGAGAGTGTAGGAGCTCTCGGTTGGGCGCGGACAGGGCATAAATAACCCGCGGTAGCACGTGTGCCGAGAGAGAGAGAGAGAGAGAGAGAGAGAGAGAGAGAGACTTTGTTCTCCGGAGCGCGAGCAAAAAGGAAGGTGCGATCGTGCCGGCGTAATGGGACGCGCTGCGACGAGGGGAGGACGGGGAGCGCCGAGAGGGGGCTACCGAAACCAACTGCGATTTGGCGAGAGAGAGAGAGTGGCTTTTGGCTTTTCGCAATTATCGCTAATGGAGGCGCGCGACGCGGCAGCGCGTACGTGGGCGAGATCGATTGAAACGCGAGGCACACACGATCTCCTCTCTGCCGCGCAGCCTCGCGGCATTTGCATATTTCGACCGCATTCTCGCCCCCGGCGCGTATCGATTCGCCGCGGACGTGTACGCGATCGAGACGCGCGCGCAAGACGCACGACCGCATGCAGAAACCCGATGCCCCGCCGATAGCGCGTCGCGTTATACGCGTCTTAATTCGCTGCCGCCGCTGCCGCCGCTGCCGCCGCTGCTGCCGCTGGCGTCGCGGCGCAACACGAGAAGTCGAGCGTAAGGGTCCGTAACAGGATACAGCTTTCTTCCGCCGGGATCCCGAGAGTTTTCGCCCGTCGAAACAATAGACGACGAGCCGAGCAGGCCAGTGGATCGGATTTTCGCGGGGGGTCGCCGAGTTGGCTGCGTCGGAACGCGCCGCGCTGAATTACGTAAAGAGGGAAAAATTGGCAGGCGAGAGGAAAAAGGTCGTCGCGCACTCGTCCAAGAGGAGTTGAAAGCCTTCAATAGCGGCGAGGAGATAATCTAGTTAAGCTCTAGAACTGCATCGCCGGGGGCCCAATGAGAAGCGATTTTTTATTGGATCGCGGTTAGGGGGCATCTATCGCGTATGCGCGTGCATACCGTGCGGCTCGGAAGGGGATCATTCCCGCTGTAATCTCGTTTGCGCGCTATAGCGATCAGCCTATCCTAGAGTCGTGCAGCTAAACCACGCCCTGGGAAAGCCGCCCCCGATTCCGCGCCTCGCTCGCCCCGCGGCCGCGTGCGCGCGTCATAACGCGAGCGGCCTGTCGCCGGCGTTCGTCGATTCGGCGAGCGCGACACTCGCCCGAGTCGGAAGGAGCGCAAGAGAGCCGCGGCCGAGGGAAAAACCGAGCCGAAGGAACGAAGAAAATCCATACGACGAGGAATTCGACAAAGTGCCTCGTGCACGCGCGCGGACGAGGCAAGCTGATCTCGTTAGCGTCCTGTGCGCCGCAAGCCCGGGATAAACCCTCCTCTTCCCCTTTGCGAACGCGCTGCGGATTCCGATGCAGGTGCGCGCGTGTACGCGGACGCGGCAACCCCCTTCGGACGGCGAAAACGAGCAAAACCAAACAAAAGCCTCAAGTTTCCGCGCTGATTTTTTCGAAACCCCGCTCCGTCGGAGTGTGGCTTTCACAGCAGTGGGTGACCGAGGCGCTAGTCTCCGTACACTCATGGCCTCTCGAGGAATAGTGGGTTACGACGGCTTTCGCTGGCTTCGATTTTCCGCGCTGTCGAAAAACCGAGACGGAGGGAGAAAGAAACGAGCGTGCAGCGCGACAGTCGCGAAAGGGCCGCCGTACTGGCACGCGAGACAGGCGCGTAACGAGCCGTGCCGGCGGCGCGCGAGGCTGAGCGTGCCGAGCGTCGGACGCGCGAGGCTGAGCGTCCTCGCGAGCCCGTATCAATCATCCGCGCTCGAAACTCGCCTTTAGTGCCCGCTGAAACGGCTTCAATCAAAAATCACTTTTCGCGCGGGGGCAAAAACAAACAAGCGGCGACGAGAGCGCGCAGCGGCGGAGAAAGAAAAGAAAGAAAAGAAAGAAAAGAAAGGGAAAAAAGGCGGCGGCAGGGGGGGGGCGGCGAGCGGCGCGGACCATTAGGCTCTCCGGCGGGGTTATACGACTCGCGGTCGTTTCGCGCGCGCCGCGGGCGCCGGTTCTTTGTTTATACTGGCGGGCCTTGTTAGAGCGGCTGCGAGCGAAAAACCGCTCGCGCGTCCGGCAATAAATGGCCCGCGGGCTTTCCGCGAAGCGGCGCGCCCCGTGGGAACGAGTTTGGAAAAGCCGCGCGGGCCGATTTATTGGGCGGGCAAAAAGCGTCGGCGCAATATCGGGGGGGCACGCCGTCGCGCCGGGCGTTTTTGCGCGCGCGGCGCTGCGGCCTCGGCTGGCCGTGCCTCGTCGCGATCGATGGCCAGTCGCCCGGCGAAATCGAAACAAGTCGATGCCGCGGAGAGATGAGGCTCGCCGGCGCGCGATCAATCGGAGCGGGGCGCCGTCGCGCGCGACGGTGTCAGCCGGCGCCGGTACCGGTCGGCACCGCCGCCGAGCGCCCGAGTATCTCCGCGGATGTGCGCGTCTCGCGGGCGCCGGAGCCGGTGCGCCAGTGGAGCGATCGATAGCGCGCCGCGCGTCGCGACGCCCAGGCCAATCTCGTTCGGCCGGGCGCGCTCCCCTGGGTCCATCCGCCGGCCTCCGCGATTGGACGGCGGCGCGCTCGCGTGCGCCGCTGCCGACGAGCGCCGACGGACGCGCGCCCCGCGACGGGTCGCGGCGACGCCGCCGGCCGCGTCGAAAACGGCCCGATTACAAGCCGCCAGCGCCGCGGCCAATTTCAGCGTCTGCCCCTGAAAAATATGCAAATGCGGCGCTCGCGGATAATGCCAGCGCGATATAAATAGCCGGTGCCGCGCGCGGTTTCCCCGACGGAGGAGAGCAGCTCTCGCTCGAGCATATCGGCGGCGGGAGCGTCGAGTTACCGCGCGCCGGAGAGCCCAGCGCAGACGTGTAATCTGGCCACTGGGCGGGGTAATCACACGCTCCTCCGGATCGATATAGTCGCTCGGGAGCGCAGCGGCGCGAATTCCTGCGACGAGCGGCAGTCCTCCCTCGGGCTCGGATCGCGCGTCCCGTCCGCGAGCTGCCTGGTGGTCGCGCTCCGCGAACCCGCCGCGACTGGCTTATCGCGGCGGCCGCGATCGGAGGGCACGGGGCTCGCCCGAGCGGATCGACGGTCGCCGCGACGCGCTTTCCTCTCTCTCTTCAAAGCCAACAGCAATTATGCAAATGTCCGTTCAGTCCGGCGAGCTAAAGCGACTTATAAAGTTCCAGATCGGCGCGGCGAACGAGATAACGCGCGCCTACGTGCGCGCGGCGTTCCTTGTCACCGCGATCTCCGCGTACACATGTTAAGCTCTCGCGCACGTCAGCTCGCTGCTCGCGCGCGCGCGCGTGTCGCGGAGAGAAAGAGCCGTACGCGGCTGTTTTGCGATACTATGGAAATACGCCGATAGCAGAAATTGTATATTCATTTTTCTAATCGTTTTCTCCCACCGCCAGACTTTTGTTCGCGAGCGAACTCGAGCTTTTATCGCCGCGCCGAAGGAGAGCGGGAGAGAGGGAGAGAGAACAGCCGCATCGGCCTCGGCGTAATCACGCTCCCCGCTGCAAATAACAGTGATCGCGGGAGACGCGGCGGAGGACTGTGCAATTCTCGGGCCCCGAAAGGCTGCCTCGCCGCCACGGCGGGGGGAGGAAGGGTATCGCGGGCAAGCCGCGGCGGCGAGATCGTCGCGGGACGCATCGATCTAACAGCGCTTCGGGGCGACACGTCGCGCGCACTGTTTACCGATGCACGCGCGCGGCTTTATCGCTCGGCCGACCCTCGCGGTCCGCTCGTAATAACCGCGCGGCGAGGGGCGCAGGATTATGCAGATATGCGGCGAGCGAGCACTTTATCGCGAGCCGCGCGGCGGCCCTATTGATTTTCGCCTCCGCCGGCGCCGCCCGCTGCACCCGCGCTCTCGGAGGCTCGCCTCGCCTCGGCCGAGCTCGCGGCCCCGCAGTCGCGCGGCCGAGCCGTCGCCGCGCCCGCCGCGGCCTCGAGGCGAGCGGCACGCCATCTTGGACGGGCGACGGCGATCGACCTGCGCCCGCGGAGGACGTCGGGCCGCGCGGCGTGTTTTGTCGATACGCCGGCGGGTCCGTCGCGCGACCCTCACTCGCGCCGCGGTCGCGCACTCGCGCGCGGCGGGCCCGGCCGCGTCACACACGCCCGGGAACACACCTCTTGCCGTTGCGCCGTCGCCTCTTGGTGGCGTAGACGGTGCCGAGCTGGCTCATGGCCACGGGGTTGTTGGGGCTGGCGGCGGCCACGGCCGGCGGCGGCGCGGACGTGGGCGTCATGACGAGCTGCAGCTGGCTGCCGGCGTCGCCGAGCACCGCCGAGGCGGCGGCGGCCGCGGCCGCGGCGGCGGCGGCGGCGGCGCTAAGCGCGGCGGCACTCGTGTGCTGGAGGGCCTGGGCAGGCTGCTGCTGCGGCCATCCCCGCTCGGCGCCGAGGAGCCCCAGGCCCCCGGCGGCCCTCTCCAGCGCGTACACGGCTCAGCCGCGCATCTGCGAGCCGCTGCACGAACGCCCTGCACCACTCGCTGGGACGGCGGCCGCTGGCGTGCGCTGCTGTGCGTGCTGGCTGCTCGCGAGCGGGGCGACGGTCCGGAGGCGCGGTGCGCGCGCGCCTGCAGCTCCAAGCCGACTGCCGGAGCGCCGGGCCGCGCCGGGCGCCCGACCGCCGCCGCCGAGCGCCGCCCACCGCGGCCGGCCGCCGACCAATCGCCGGGCCAGCATGGCGCGCGCGCGCGCGCGCGAGGCCGCGGCGCCGTCGTTGGCGGGCGTGGGGCCGCCGCCGCCGCCGCCGCCGGCGCGGCCGAGGCGAGCGCCGATCGAAGCCGAGGGCAGGATCGTCCCGCGGCCGGTCGATGCGCTCTCCGCGGCGATCCACGGGGGATGCGGGCAAACGGCCGTAACGGAACGACGTCCTTCCTCGCGGCGCGCCGACGGCCGACGAGAGTGCTGCCCGTCGGCGGCCACGTGCGGCACGCGCGCGCGCGCGACAAATCTCGCGACGCCCTTCCGCGACGCGCGGCCGCCTGTCATTGACCTTCGCCGATTCGGGAGAGGGTTGCCACAGCCTGCCGCCATCTGTCGGGCGCCGGCCAGGGTGGCGTCGCGGAGCGCTTACCTTGCGCGGCTCGTATCAGGCGAGGCTCGCTATTGACGCGCGGCCGTCGCGACGCTCGCCGCGCCGCCCGCCGGGTCGCCCGCGCGGCCCGTGGCCAGCGGAGCCGTCGCGGTGACCGAGTGCTCGGCCGGCCGTCGTCGGCGGAAAGCGCGCGAGCGCGGGGCAGGGCTTCGCCGGTGGATTCGGCGCTCTGGATGCCGTGGCTGCCAATTAGCCTATCAATCGGTGCCTCGCTCTGCTTTTCCCTCTCGTTTTCACGTGCGTATGCGCGCATAGCGGTACTTAAACGCGAGAGCTGTGCACGCGCGCGTGTCATTATGGAACTGGGGAGGCATTGTCTTGCATTGTTACGCAAACACACGCGCGCATTATTTTTATTTTTTTTTTCTTCTTTTTTCCGGCTCATTGTCTCGCGCAGCACAGATCCGCGAGCGAGTACGCGCCGCGGACACTTAATTTTATGTCATTGTTTAAATATTGGTGCCCGCGACATGGGTTATGGTTTCGCATGATGACGGGGCAGCGACGCGCGCTGCGCTCCGAGCACAAGCTGCTCTCCGCTGCAGCGCGGAGTTGTCGACCGATGAATCCGCCGCCGCCGAGTGACCAAGTTTCGCGTGGTTCTGCGAGATTCGGGCGCACTGTCGATCGCAGCTGCTGCTCGTTTCGTCTGCGCATTGACGGTTTGGTAAACCGATGGTAAGTCGACCGATAACCGACGTCGACTCCGGTGAGAAAAGAGTCACGCGTAGGCACGCCTGTACGCGTCAATCCTCGACAAGTCAATGCCGGACTCGTTTGTATCTTTGAGCGTTTCGCTTGTCCTCGCTATGGTTTTATTTCTTACCGTTATACTAATGCTTATGTACGTTATATCTCTATCATCATTGCAATTGCATTTCTTTATTTTTCTTGATTACGTTTTATCACTTGCCCTGTTAACAAACAGCCAATTGTTTATTACTGTTAACATTGTCAAACAAGCAGAATCGTCGTATTTGAGACTATTCTGACGTGTCTTTGTGAGAAAAATGACTTTTGATCTTACACAATGAGTGCTGTCCGCCCCAAAATTGGGCTTTAGCGCATAAAGTACAGTTTTCCAATCAATCTTCGCTGGAACAGTTGTATTGACTGGCAGGATTTGGATGGAAACAAGTTTTCCCCCTAGACCAACGGTGATAGGTCCTTGACCGCCGTAACGAACGATGTATTACCTTGATGAAAATACTTGTACTGTTTCAATTTATTAGCTACCTTTCGTTACTTGGCAATGTGCAACTCTATACTTAAGCGAGTCGCATCTTTCTTATTGCGATTACGTTAGACATGTACAGACTACGCTGCAGATTTGATTCTCTCTAGCCGTGGTAGATAAATAAGACGTTTTAGCTTGGCAGACGCTTTGGACGACGCGACGAATGCTCGCCGTCCCGTGCTTTCCGTCGGGCTTGAACAGCTCGTCAGTCGCGTTGGCGATACCGATAACGAACAAGGACTGGGGCACGGTCGCCTCGCATCCCGACAAGCCGTGTCCGAGCTCGGAGCGCGCGCGCGCGCGCGCAATGCAATTCAATTATCAGCGGCAGTGTGAATCGAGAGCGAGTCGTCGGAGTTGGCGCCGAATCCCAGAAGAGCCAGGCCGGACGAACCCTTTCCGTGGAGCGGCCGGTCCCCCAGCGGCCAGCGCGCGCGCCGCAATGTTTTGATCCTCGGGCTGGAAAGCGGCAATAAAAGGCCGAGCGAAGGGAGAGCCCAAATGGAATGAGATTGCTATTTGCGGGGCAGCGGCAGGTCGCGCGGGTGGCGGCCGAGCGAGAGAGAATCGTCACGGGATGTTGAGCGCTTCATCGGGGGATCCATCGGCCTAATGCTCCGGCAATATGCTCCGTCCATTTGTCACTGCGACTGGCTTTATTTCCTCGTCGCGCGGTTATTTACGAGCGCTCGATGGCCGATCGCGCTCGTGCCGCTCTCCCTCCGCCGCTTCCATTCCGAGGAGCGGACCTGGATTTCCGCGCGGACGACGAGCAGGCGAGATCCCGTTGGCCGACCCGCGAGCGAGAGAGCCGCCGAATCGGCCGACGCGGCGGGCGGCAGCTGCCCGGCCGCGGCGCAATAAAGCGCTTTACAGCGGCCTCGAGCGGCTCTCGAAGCCGGAAAGCGCGCAATAACGCTATAAGGCGCGCTCGCGCGGCCGCCGCCGCCGCCGCCGCCTGATGGAATTGACCCTGGCGTGCGTCTCTCTCGCTCTCGCTCTCGGTCGCTATCCCTCGGCTCCGTCGAAGGGCAATCATCGGATTACATCGCAGCAGCCGCTGTCAATCATCTCCGAGGCCCCGCTAGACACCGCTAATTTCACTCAATTTTCGATAATTTCTCCGAACGCGCCGCCACCGCCGCCGTCGCTGTTTTCCGTAATTGCGCGCGGCGCGCATTATAATAACAATGCGCGCGCGGCGCAATTACGCGCGGCCGCTCGCCCGGGATGCTAATCGCCGCGAGTTCTTTCTCCTTCGAGAGCTGGCCGGGCTTGCGCAACGCGCCGAGCGGCCCCGACATCGTGCCGAATCTGCGGCGCGACCGGCCGCGCCCCTCGAGGGCAGACCGCAAGGGCCGCCGCCGAGGGCGCGCCGCGGCGCGGCCCCGACGCCGGGGACTGCTCCCGGCCGAAAACTGCAGGCCCTTTCACGGCTGAGAATGCGCCCGAGTCCGCTCCTCCGCGCTCCGTCGCGCTCGGGAGGCCAATTACGCGCTCGGCTTTCGGCCATTGTCCGCGACGCCGCAAGCGAATTGGCGCGGCACAAAGGCAGCGCACAAAAAGCGCGCGCTCCGGCGACGGATGTTTCCCATGCGCTCGCTCGCGTGCGGTGCGCGTCTTGCGGCCGAGTGCACGGGCCGCGGCGCGTCGATGTCTCCGCCGGCGCCTTCCGTCTCGCCGCCCTCGCGCACCGCCATCTTGGCGAAAGCGCGCGCGGGACCCGTCGCTCCTCGGCGCTCTTTTCGCCGCCGTTCTCGCCGCTGCTTCCGCCGCTGCTTCCGCCGCTGCTTCCGGCGCTCCTGGCGGCGCTCCTGCCGCCGCGGAAAGCGCGACCGAGCGTTCGGCCGCGGATCAAACGGATCAAAGAGGCGCTGCGCGAGAGAGCGAGGCCCGCGCGGCGGCGCGCTTTGTCGGCAATTTAGACCGATGACGATCCGTCGCGTCCGTCCTTAACGCGCTCGCCGCGTCGGAATTGGCTCAAAAAGCTCGTTCGTCATCCATGGACAGGCAGGCGGCCCCGCGGACGCCGCGAAAAATCAGCTCGGCGCGTCAGCTGCCCGGCATTATCAGCTCTAATTAGCCGCACCTTGCGATCGATATCGCTCCTATCGAATGCAAATGCGGCTGCTGCCGCCGCCGCGCGATATCATCGCGGCGCGACCGCGGCAGATGCTCGCGCGCTGCCCTCCTCTCGCAGATCCGAATCGTTTAAACACTCTTAATTCGTCGGGCGCGAGCAACCGGCAAACGTGTTATTTCAAAGGTGCGCGAGGACGAGGAGAAAGAACGAGAAGCGCCAGAGAAGGGGGTCGTCGCTGCTTGCGCGCTCTCCCCGTTTTCGCCTCGCTGCAGCGTCAATTTCGGATGCTTTATGCACGCGCGCCGCCTTTACGCGGACGGCTAATTGCGATTGCAACGAGATTGAGTTGTCGCACGCGCGCCGCGCAGAAACGGATCGGCGACGCGAGTGCAGTGCTCGCGAAATTGCCGGCCGAATAGCGGCTCGCCGGCGAAAAGTGTCGGGCATGAAATATTCATGCGAAAAAAAGGAAAGTACGCCGGTCGTGATAAGCTCAACTTTATTGCTCTCCCCGCAGATGCTATCTGCGGCCGCGCGGCCGTTGCGCAATTTCGCAAAGTCAAGCTCGCGCGCGAGTAGCGAGTCGCGAGCTGCGAGCGGGTGAATTGCTTCATTATCTCGCAGCCGCCGATCGAAAAGCCGCGAGAGCGGCGAGGGAGCGCGGCGACGGCTCCTCTCCGGCTGCTGGCGCGCGGCTTGGGCGTGGTCGCGCGACAAAAGCGCCGAGTCGCGAACCCTCGCGGGGGGCGGCGAGCGCACTCGTCGCGGCCGGCGGCGGGCAGCGCCGCGATCCTAATTGTCGCGCGCGTCGCGCGCATGTCCGGCTAATTAACGGCAATTTACACGCGCGTCCGCTCGGGCGCAGGTGCGCCCCGCGGCATCTCCCGGCCGGTCCGCGCGAGGGCCTCTCCCGTGCCCCGCGCCTCTTTCCGCGCGCCGTGGCCCCTTTGCGCCGCCGCTGCCTCGCCGGCAACTCGATACCCGCGCGCCGGCAGCCGGGAGAGGATGACGCACGGCGAGCGGGGCGCGCAGCGGGCGGCCGAATAAATATTTGACTTACGGTTCGCGCGTCCTCGTAAAAACGTCGTCGACGAGTCGGCTTTAATTTCGCGCGCGCTCGTATTTCACCGGCGCGCGGAATCGGCAGCCGCGGGTC